TAGTTTTTGTAATCGTGGCTGCAAATTGCCCGGACGTCTATCATCGTGAATAACGCAATGAGAGCCTGTGAGTACATGCCGCGCAGTCCCGGGTGGTCATCAATCGAGCCTTGGGTAACGAGCTCAACCAGGTTTTCGCTTGCAACGTAGTCGAACCTAAGCCCCATAGTGATCACGATTGTGGCTGCTCGACTTGCGACTTTCCAGTGAGATACCCGGGCAAGATTGACCAATTCCTCTGCCAAGGTTGCCTTCTTCTTCTCGATGAGCACACGTTTCTTGTTGATGGCATCGCGCTTCTGGTCAATCTCACCCTGGACGTCTTGACCCGGTGCAATCGATTCGATGATGTCTCGATCGAGAACTGCCATTCTCTCCATGGCACGTCCATACTCCATGATTTGGTAGACGGCACTTGAGCAGATTCTCTGCACAGATGGCTTGTCGACAGCGCTCGCGTCGATGAATGTTCGAATAAGAACGGGTGCGTACTTCCAGTGGCGCCCAACAGTTTTCGCGACACTCCCCAATAACAGAGAAAATAAGGCACCCTTGATACGAGCATGGTCGTTCTCTCTAATACCCTTCTGAAGAGCCTTCAAAAGAGGGGGTATCACTAGCAGACGGGATCCCCAGACAGCCTTGAGGGCCGACTCTCCTGCACTTTGAGCGTTGCGTCGAGTTTCGGTATACAGAGACACGCAGGACTCGGCGATATCTAAGAGTAGAATCTCATCAAGCTTGGAACGACGGCGCGGGGCTGCGTTATGCCGGAGTCGTTGCAGATGGTACACATTCGCCCTTCGTACGAGCAATGGACGAGGATATTCCTTTCGCAGGCCACTCATCTTATAAGGATGAATGTCGGCCGCAAGAAGTCGAGTGACTCTGTCTAGGACATGAGCAGAACGTTCAATACCAACGTCAACGAACCAAGAGCGGTACGCCGAGTAAAGAGCTGCGAAGCATGGCACATCGTCCTCTTGCTTGTCGGACAGGAATCTGTGCACGTCGTGCAAGACCCAACCTGCCCTTTCTCTGATGTCATGAATGGCTGTGTACAGCTTATCGTTCTCAGTCAAAGGATACCCAGTAGGATAGGTAAAAGTATCCCTGACTGCGGAATCCTCAGAGCTATCAAGAGCCGAGTCAGGATCCTCATCATCGCTTGGAGCTTCCTTCGAGTCCGCCATCTGCACATCAGTCGATCCGTCGGAAAGCCCAGCCGAGGTAGTTGTAGATGCAGCATTAGGGTCGAGAAGCACAGAGATACCGGAAAGGATGAGACGTAACAGCACCAGGTTCCGAGTCACTTCATCCGACCAGTCTTTACCGCTTCCATCGCGCTTCACGCTGGAGGTCTCATCGGTCAATGCTTTAAGCTGCTTCAGAGCAGACTCTGCCTGATTCTGGAAGAGTTCCACAGCAAATTCAAGTTCCTCGCGTTTCGGCACGTGCCATTTTACACTCAGTTTACAAGGATTTTGCTGATAGCTCCAGTGTTCGGGCTGTATGCCTTGAGCGACAACGTCAGGCTCGTACAAGGAGTAGTCCGATGTATATGTACCCGTTAGGTTGAGAAGGAGATGGTGTATGAAGTTGGAGATATGTACTGTGGGTATCCCCCGACATTTCTGCTGCATATAGACGGCTATATCGAAGAGCTCTTTCTTGTGAGCCAGTACGGCATCTCCGACATGAACGACGCACATGCTGAGCATGCTGACGTTCCACACCAGGCCACGGTCTCGAGGTAGAACATCTGTTCCTGTCGTTCTGGTCGACCCTGCACCATTGTCGTCAATCTCGGTACGGATGGCCTGCGTCAACACTGGGATGAAGCGCTTCAAGGCCTTTGCAGGGTTCACTTTGCAGACTGAGTTACAAATGAAGGCCATTGCATCCCGAGCTTGATGAATCACATGGTTGGAGACGAAGTCAACAACCTTGGACAAGGCGATATCATAGTATTCGGGGGAAAGAGACGACAGCAGTGGCATGAAGGTGGCCGGCAGGGTGTTCACGATGTTCTCCTCAGGAGATCCGTTCCGAACCCTACTCACGTCTGGCAGGTTCTCCAGAAGTGTGAAGACACGACCCAAGAAGGAGACAATGAAGTCTCCAAAGCCGCAAGTAGACGAGCGAAGAATCATCTCTTCAGTCTCATCGTCCAGCTCGGTATCATAGTTCAATTTGATGTCAACACCTTCCTCTTCCATGCGTTCCATCTCGCCGGTAATCCATTGCATTGCAAGCATGTTACAATTTACATCGTCTCTCCCTTGGGTCAAGTCGGCCATGGGTATATTGTAGCAAGCAGCCTGAATGAATGACAAGGAGTGCAAGGATTTCTCCAGATCATTGGCGTCAATCCCTGGTAATGCGAGCCCAAGAAGAGTAGTCATATGGCAGCGGTAACCCTTGGTTCTGGAGATGATGCGCGATAGAACTTGCAGAGCACGGAGAGACGATGTGGTCCGATGAACTTCTACAAGTCCTTGCAACGAGGGGTAAATGCGCTGCAGAGCCCCGGGAAGGATGAGGTGGGGTTCTAGGAAGGCCAGGTTCTGCAGCGTAGACAAGGAGAAGCTCATGGCCGTGCCACTTTTGGCGTAAATGCCCATGAATATCACGTCGCGCAGGCAAAGCACGAAGCGACGTTTCAGGGGCTCAGTCAACCTGCGCTCGGGTGGGACCTCCATCTCGCCGGTTTGCTCTCGGTTCCAACGCATCACAAAGAAATCCGCCAGGTAGTACACCAATTGCGACAAGGTCTTTGTCCAAGCGCCAGAGTTGGACGGATGGAAGAAAGTCTCTACCGCCTGAATAAGGCCTTCGAGCTGGGTGAGAATCGACTCCTGAGCATCGAGGCATGCTGGTGACAGCGACATTACAATCCACCTGGCAATGTGATGTGCGACCGGATGCTTTCGTGTGTCACGGTCAAGCATGATACCCAGCCCGGAAGAGATATCGACAAGAGCACTATAGGGAGAAGTTGACTGTCCCACCGGGATCTCTAGAAGTCGCAAAATAGCGGTGAATATGAGCGAGGATTGATCAGGAGTAAAAATGCCGTGCTCCGAGAACGGTATATGACTGGCTGGCAGGGAGTCCCGAGCAAGCCGAGAAAGGTAGTCCAAGAAAGTGATATCGAATGTCTTCGACCGACTAACCAGCGACCATAGATGGAAGTAGGTCGGCATGTAGTGCTGGGGAAGCAAATCCTCTCTTAACTCGGGCGGAGGAGATGTAGGCAACATCAGGTTGATCAAGCCGACGACAACGAAAGCACCTTCTGAGAAGGAAGTCGTATAATGAGGGAGGAACTCTTCGAGCATCGCCGGCAGTTCACACGGATCAATGTACAGTTGAACGAAGGCACAGAGCTTGGTCAAAGTCTTGATGTTCCGTTTAAGATTCGACGAATGCACCAAGCCCGATTCGGTCGGCAGGACAAAGGATTTCAGCTCTCTATACAAAGGCTTCCAGTCCAGCGTTAGATCCTTGACGGGTCTCAGGTAGTGCTTGCGCCTGCGGATGCCATTAGTGATACGTATGTGAAAGGCTTGAACACGAGTGCATACTTGGTGAGCAGCATGAACATGCTCGCAAATCGTTCCGCAACATTGGGATCGATTCCGGGGGCGAGGGAGAGCTCATAGTACAGTTTAACGAGATTCACCCGTTGCGTCCGAGTAGGGTCGAACTTTAGTGACAGCCACCCTCGGAGCTCTCTTGTCCAGTGCACCGCGCCGGGACTGAAATCTCCAGCTTCAACTGCGATGTACAGTTGTCGGAGGATCTCGCGAAAGTTCTTGTCCCTCTCTGGTTCGTCCTCGAGCGAATATGGTAGATACTTGAAGTACGGGTATGTGCGTGGGCGAACTCGCGCCTTAGGCTCACCGTCCCCATTCATGACGGCAGGCTCACCTCCTGGAGAGGTGGCTCGAGACAGGTGTTGTGTATTGTGAAAGTTTTCGGATGTCAGGATGGGCCTAGAGCCTGAGTGGTCCATTGCTGTATAGACTGTCAAGCGTTTATGTTCTGGTGGGAGGTAATGAGGATGATGAGGATGAAGATGGTTCAGCTGAGGTCGGATTCTAGGGATTCGATCTTGTTAGCTAGGTTTAATCCACAATATCGAACCACGGAGAAATTGAAGAGAGATAGAATATTCGCACAGTGCACATGGAGGTCCGCGATTTAATGCTCAGGTGCAAAAATCGATGCCCAAACAACGACCTGCTGTCGGTTCGTTTCGCATATGCGATCCAGGTGTGCTCCGCTAGTAAGGCGACCGGAAACCAAGCTCCAGAATCGAAGCGACGAACGAGCTTAAGATGTATGGGATGTTGAAGGAGAAGACCCTGAAGCCCAATGATTGTGAGCACGAGCTTTGTGTGCGAGCGAGCTTCAAAGCCAAAGACGGGCAAGGATGGTAATAGTGTAGATTGTGTAGGTTGTGTAGGATATCTTGAAGCTCACGCGTAGCAGACCGAAGTTGGAGGTATCATTGAGTCGGGTCTGGGTCAGTTTTGTCAGATCGGTGATGACATAATTCCACATAACGTAACGGCCGGCAGCCTAACGATGGGTCCGACTCCAGAGCGACCTACCACCACATAGAACCCCAATTAAGACTCCGTGCACCACCGCTCAGCTTGGATCGGTGGGCTAAAGTAAAAGGTTAAATGAAAGGTGAGAAAAATAAAAAGGCGGGGGAATTGGGGTGGCAAGTAACCAGCAACCGCTGTTGTCAGACAGGCATCCTTCCCTGCCCAAAGGGCTTTCCTCCAACTCTATCATGTTTACAGAATATTATCTATACAGTACTAAAATCTTTTCATTGATTTTCTTTCTACTTTTTTGTCCTTCTCATTTGACAATGATTCGTATTCAAGCCTTGACAGTTTTATACGACCAGCCGCAAAATTAAAAATGTATAAATTTGGTATGCAGTGGCTTGGAAGCGTTCTGCCTAGCTTGGAGCTCTACCCTCAGGCTGGTGGTAGGAACGATCCAAATAATGTGGCTTGCACTAAAGCATATGTCACCATTCCCTGCACCGCACTTGTGAACGTACGGCTGTGTTGAATTGAAGGCGGAATTTGACCCCAGTTTCCAGAAACCAAGTACGCAAGATACCAATACCACAGTGGGTAACCTGAAGCTATTCGATTAATGATTTGGACGTGATAGCTGGTGAGGGCCAGTAAGGCCAAGATTCCCTGAGGCGCAGCCAGTCGTAGGAGCAATGAGGCGGTGGTAGCTGACGATGAAGCGTGATCAATCCCACTGAGAGCCCTGGGATAAATGAAAGGGACAGCCATGTCAAGTGCCCAGAAAGACGAGCGACCGAGTATAGCCAGCATGGGCATTGCTAGAACGAATAGTGGAAGGTTCGAGAGACTCCAATACCGAAGGAAACCCACGTTCCTATTCCTATGATTAGTGTACTTGGTGCAGCTCAGAGCTAGAAGATCACATACCAATATTGGCTTTGCACCCAGCCATATATACTCGGAACATACCATTGGCACCATGGCCGGGAATGAGAATCATTCCCACAGTATGCTGTATGTGCGATATATTGAGGGAGAATGAGCCCCAGAGCAATGATACAACCGCTCACGATCGCAACCAGCAGGTGCGCACAGGCGTTCAATGACAGACTCTGTGACACGACCCGTCGAAGCTGGAGGAAAGCGTCATAGGCGAATAATATCCCGCTCAAGATGCCATTGCTGCGAACAGTCGTTGCTGCAGAGAACAGAACAGCGGACAAAAGCGTTTTGTAATCGCCGGACAGACGCTTGCCATTCTTGTTATCCAAGTAAGCGGAAGAGTAGAGATAGAAACCAGTTATGTTCAGGAACGAGAACAGTGACTCTCCATATGGAGCCGAAAGAAATGCTCCGGCGGGGCAGATAATATGTAAAGCTGAGGACAGCAGGCAGATGAGTCGTTGCGTGGTACTGTCGTTTCCAAACACATTGACAGAAAGTCTATAGAGCGCAAGAACGGAGAGGTAGTGTGCAATGTGAGAGAGTAGGATCGCCTCAATCGCTATTATGACCCCTCCTCCCAAGCCGGTGAGGTTTTGAAGAACTACATCGGCAATTAGTGGCTACCATTGGTTTGCTTAGAGAGAAGAAGCTTTTTTTTTTACCGGAAGTCAGGTAGGCTAAGGCTTGAGTATAGCCATAGCCAAATGCCCACTCTTGCTCGAAGACATACCCTTGCTGAGCTATATGCAAGAAGTAGATAGAGTCCCACCTAACGAACTTCCGTGGAACGGTGAGAAGTAGATCTTCGATGTCCTCTGATATGACATCAGAGCTGTTGGGATCGTGATACTCATAAAGATGGCTTGTGGAAGTATCGTAGCCCAATCCTGGGCACGAGACGATGACCAGGAACACCAGCACTTTCCATAAACAGAAAGCAATTGTCAAGCCTCTAATAGGACGGGCAGGATCCAGGATGCTGGGGCGATTCGCCGCTCGCGAGCCTGCGTAAGTTGATGAACTCATATTGTCCGTAGGCATCAGCATATCCCAACTATGCATGCACCCTTTGGTCTTCTCTATCCAAGTAGTCTATGTGCCTCTCTAGATAACTGTCATTGTGACCTCGATCGAGGACAGCGCAATGAAACCGAAGTGATGGTCTAACGCAGGACTTCACACCACTTCTAGTCATGGGATGATGGCAAGTAACCGAGGTAAGTGGAGGTGGTAGGTAGGTATGTATTAGTTATGAAGAATTGGACATGGAGGGATGATTAAAGACGCGTTGAGCCAAGCCGTGGCTAAACGGACCGGAAAGTTCGGCAAGCATAGCCGTGTCTTATTCAGCATATGGCGGTGCACAAATACGTAATGCCTTGCATCCTGATGGCGAGGGTGGCGTTTCTTTCCATTGCAGTGATATGAGTATGATCGAGCCTAGTATTTTAGGAGTTTACTGATACATGTAGTACAGTACAAAGAAACACTTCCAAAAGATAGACAAGCGGGGATGAGATTCATGTCAATTTACTCGGCTTACAGTACTCAGTGAGCATCATAATCATTCACGATAGTGATGATGTCAGAGGACAAGGTTTCTCCGGATCGCGGAGACAGTTTTGGGAAGTGAGAACTCCCCTCCTTCAAGGACCAATGGACCTCCCCTCAGACAAGTCAGCCCTACCGGATCAACTGGGTCAACCTCTCATCTGGAGTGTTTTGTTGTTCGGATATCCGGTAACGCAAGCAGCACGTCAAGGGCATCCTCGATAGGGAAGGTCAACGGCCATTCTCGTCCAACCTGAGTCAGTCTCCATCACTATGTCGAAACTGAAGCAAGCAGTCTTGAAGTACATTGGATGCAAGAACTTTCCGTGCCAATTTCATAGGTTTTCATGATGAGAAGCTCACTGCATGATGTACTCGGCCAGTGTCCGCTTGGTCCATGTGTACTACTGTACCTTTGTTTCAATTTCTGCTGGATATGTCCCCTTATGCAACCTCTGTTCAAGATCCTCCTGAGCTCGAGCCCCACCGCTTGATCACGCGGAATGCTTGTTGTACCGACCAGTGGCCGGCCACCTCAATCCATTGAAAAGAAATACGATGGGCCCATCTGTTACCGTACATTGAAAGTTATACTCGGGGAGGTGGCTCGCATTGCCCCGTGGACTGACTGCTACAAGATAGCTGACCATCCAAAGCCATCTATACTCAGGTACTGGCCAGCGAAATCCTTGGACAGACCGACTTTCCGGCCAGATCCATGAGACTGCTCAGGGAAATTTGCGCGAAATAGCGAAATTTGCCATCGAAGTTTCCGCTAGGAAGGAGACTAGACCCTCGTTCTGGTTAAGTGTAATGCCAAGCACTGGCCGAGTCTGGTCGACATTGTGTGTGGCAGCTAATTTTCTCTCGCAAGTTTTCGAGTATGCGGATTGTTATTACTATGAGTCAGTTGAAATGACTAACTAACCAAACTACAATCCTTCAGTTAAATTAGTCAAATTCTATCAGGATTTGTCATAAGATATCAATGAGAAGAAGAAGAAGAAGAAGAAGAAGAAGAAGAAGAAGAAGAAGAAGAAGAAGAAGAAGAAGAAGAAAGAAAAGAATAGTTTGATTGAGTAGTGTGAATAGTCTGGTACTTACTCGGTACTCGTACCATCTAGGGGATTCCTGCGATGATCTGTCAGCCGGGCTCATCATCGAAACCGAGAAACCGAGAAAGAATAATCAGGCCAATTCAGCCTTATGCTTCTGGGGCAGTCAAATTCTGACATAAACCATGGAATCATGGATAGTGCAGAGGCCGAGGCTCCGAAGAGGAAGACGGCAGGTCGGCGTTTCCGGCTTCCGTGACGGAGAAGGTCTTGCAAAATCCGTTCTTCCGCCCAGAGTTACGGACGACACGGAGGTTGCTTGCAGTCTGCAACTCCTCCACCTCCGAACGCCAGCGGAGTTATTCATCTGTATGTATGATATGAGTACTGTGTACGGAGTTACTGTATGTACTGTAGTTAGTAGTTATCTGCTACATACCTTAAAACTAGTAACTGTACTGTACCTTCCTCCTTGTGTCTTCGCCCCATGCATAACTAACTCATTATGCCCCATAGCTACCGGAGGAAACGCTCCGTAATGGGCTGAAATGTTGAAAAATCGATACGAGCCGTTTACCAAATGTAGAGGAAGAGTGGTTAAGTGTGGGTGCCGAAGATCGCCGTCTAGTCTGGTCGCTTCACAGCTCCATCAATGCAGCAGCGTGATTTGTTCCTTGAACCTAAAAATCATGCTGAAGAGCTGATAGATCGGGGAAAACTGAATAAATCCAGTCAACTGGATCCATGATTAATGATCATTACTTTGGCTGCTCATTGCTGGCCCATCACCAAATTTCTTCTTCGTCTTTTTTTTTTTTCTTTTCTTTTTCTTTTTTTTCCCCTTCTGAGTCTCCCCCCTCATGAGACTTCTATGATACTTATATTAATTACCGAATGACACTGACCCTTTCCTTTAACCTCCGGTGCTTCATCCTGAGATTCCTGACCGCCGTCCACTTCCTATTCCTATCCACTTCCTTCCATTAATGATCCACGATCCCCTTCGTCTGACATGCAGCAAGTCATCCAGGTGGTCAATTCTAGTGGGATCTTATTCTAATTATTAAGGCCGACCGTTCCTTGCCCGAGCAAACGAAAGGCTGAATTAGCAAAAAGGCTGAAAAGCTTCCTCCCCATCACTACGCAGCACTACTACGTATACTTGAGAATCCATCCTTACACCCCCGTCCTCCCTCTCCTCCCTATACTCGTTACCCACTCACTCTCTTGCCCACTCTTCCTTTGCCTCCTTCGTCCCACGATCTATAGATTTCTCCACGTTTGTCCGACGTGAGCTTTTCCGGGACTTCGTTTCTCCTCCTATTCTTTTATTCTCCCCCTCTTGCACTTCTGACCTCACTCCTTTCCTTTCCCCTTTCCCCACCCAATTTCACAGCCTCCGCCTCAGCCTCGCTTGCTACCGAGCTGTTCATTGTCGTGCAGGTCGCGGCCAACATCATCACTTCCTTAAACTCATTCTCATTCAGCTCTTTGCTGATGCACTTTCCTTCCTCCATTTCCTATCCTCTCACCATTTTTGGATTTTCTATTGAACGAAGCTTCGACATTTAGCTATTGACAAGCACAATTCTCCGCGACCACCAACTATAGACACGCTCCCCACCTCTGTCGCCGTACTACTGGTCAATGGTAGTCCGGGAGCACCGATAGGCGTGGTTGAAGCCCAGAAAAGAATGCTATTCAACCTTGGATTGACCGCGGATGCAGCAGCAGCGCACAACAGCGACGTTCTTGGTCCCCAGTCCGATCCCCAGACCTCGTCGCGCCATTCCTCGCCGCCCGTATCCTTCGCGACGCTACCAGCCTGGGGTCTGGGAAGCTTGTACGGCCGGCGCAAAGTGACAGAAACAGACAAGCCGCCGCTGCAAGAACCACCACGTGCAATGTCGGGGCCACCTGCAGTAGACCAGATAATATTGTCGAGCGATGACGAGCATTCGACCGTCGGGCCAACTCTAGCTTCCTCGAGGATCGCTCGCTCATATTCGACTAGGAAACAATCGTCGCGACCTAAAACGTCATACCAATTAGCGCATCCCGCATCCCACGCACGTCACAGGCGACTGAAACTCCGACCCAAGCTCCTCTTACAACTCCAACAGGTGTCACAAACCCCGCGTCCTTTACCCATTTTGGACGTACTCCCGTCAAGTGTGTTTCTGCCTAGACTGGCCCGCAAATTCCCAACCATCTTCCGCGGCAAGAAAGGACTAGGCCCCAACGACCTGATCGTCGTCACCGGCGATCGCTATGAACAGAGCCAAGGCGATTTCGCCGACAGGCATCTGAGCTCCGATGAAGAGAACGGAGAGCACCGTGAAGTGGTCGCAACGATATGCCAGCTGTTAACGGATGATGCATTATCGAAAGGCAAGGCGGAAATCTGCCTCAGTTATGGACCGGTTTGGGAGGCGACGCCTCTGGCCAATGGCTCATACGAGTTCGTGGCCCAGACCGACGAAGGTATCCAGGTCCTGCGATGGGTGCTGCGGGGAGGCAAGAATCGTCGCGTGTCGGCACCCCCCGATTTTGGCCTCCAGGAAGACAGCAAGCGCTTCACATTCAGCGTGATCAACCCCAACACCCGCCGTCACCCTGTCCTCGCCACGATGACCCGAAATCATTTGGAGGTATTCCACGAGTACTCGATACCGGCCACCTCGGGGATCGCATCCCCTACTTCTGCCATGTCTGTTATCAGCGACCTCTCGGAGATGGACGAGCCATTGGGCGGAAGGATGCCTGTTGACGACAACCTACGCATGTTGATCATCGTTACTAGCTTCTGGGTGGCCTTCCGAGAGGGCTGGTCGCATACCTTCAGCTACAACGACGCCGCTTCGACGCTTAACCCCAGATCTCGCTGTCCGTCACGACAGAGCTCCCCGACAGCCGTTAGGGCTGAAACCGATCGGTCGTTGGAGGAAGAGGTCAGCAACCCAACAGGTCCCGCCGCCACGAACCGCAGACATCGCATGTCCACCTCCAGCTGCATGTCATCACCTCCCAACACAATTTCCGACCAATCAACGCTCGGGCGTCTATCGAGACGTTCCAACTCAACCGGAGCAGCGTTCATTGAGCGGACCAACCGACGTGCCTCTGGCACCCTCGGCCGCCTCAACCGCCACAGCACGCTTTCCAGCACCCGTGAGCCGGTCCATGACGCGGATGCCAACGCCACGCCTACCCCGACTCGACAAGATTCGAGCACGCGCAGACGCTGGTCCCACCGCAGGAAGTCCGAGGCGCCGGTCCCGAAGCAAGCGCCCGACAAGGATATCGACCGGTCGCAAGGTACAAGAAGCCCTCGCTCGCAGCCTCAACAACAACATCCACAGCCGGACCGAGCAAACGGGAGTGCGTCTCCATTGAACAACAAATCCATCGAACAACCACCAAAGGGCAAACGTCGACATCGACTCAGCAGTCTATTCGATTTCATCATCCGCAAAAGCACCCATTCACATTGAAATCCACACGTCCCACGACAAAGAAACAGAAGCCTGGTGCTTTTACTATGACCTTATTGACCACACACACCTCCACTCCAATCCTCTTGTCCCACCTGGGTGCTGGCTATGCTAGCCCGAACGACCCAGTACAGCGAGGAGGCCGTCTTCGATTCGATACATTCCACCTCCCTCTTGCAGAGGTTGAGCAATACCCCCCTTTTTCTTTTCCCTTGTTCCATGTCCGAATATCATCGACCATTGCAGAGTATTGTCTTCGTAACATAAGAGCCCGGAGCTGGAGCGTTACTGTCGATAACATTTATTTGCCATCGGACTAAGTGAACCTTGATTTGTGTTCTTGGTCCCTGTGCGGTTGCCTGATATCTTGACATCTTATTTGTGTGACGGATTTATCCGTTCGAAATCTTATCTATCTATCTCAGCTCACTTTAGCCCTTGTGCGAATGAATACCACGATTATCAATGATTATTTCATATTCGTTCTGGTTGCTCTACTTCCAGTAGTGATGGTCTAACGCGATATACATGGCGAGATAATGGTCAAGGGTTGCGTTCGTAGTGTGGTATCATAATCCCAGTCGGGGGCTTAGGTCCCGAGCGCAGAAAGGTTCCATAGTTGAAGCTTTGATTCAGAAATCATATTTTTGGTAAGATAGAAGCACTACACCAGATCCAGCGCGCCTCCAAATCACCGCTCCAAGCTCGACACGGCTCTAGGGACATACGGTTCCTCCAGATACTTGATCTCCTCGGCGGTCAGCTGCACCTTGATGGCCGCAACAGCTTCGTCGATACGCTCCTTGCTGCTGAGACCCAGGATCGGGTTCTCTTTCGGGTGGCTCAGGGACCAGGCGATGGCGATCTGGGCCATGCTCACGCCCTTCTTCTGGGCGAGCTCCTCGACGCGGTCCACGATCGCCTTGTCGGCCTCCGTCTCGCGGCTGCGGATCAGCATCTTGAGGGCGCCGTCGGTCGACTCGCGCACCGTCGAGCGCGAGCCCCAGGGCCGCGCCAGCACGCCCCGCGCCATGGGCGACCAGGGGATCAGGCCCACGCCGGCGTCCTGGCAGTAGGGGATCATTTCACGCTCTTCCTCGCGGGCCAGCAGGTTGTGGAAGTTCTGCATGCAGATGAACTGGTGCCAGCCGTTGCGGGCGGCGATGTTCTGCAAGGTCTGGAATTCCCAGGCGGCCATCTTGATGATAGCCCGTTAGTATCAAGGTGTATTGAGCATGAAAAGCATCGTTTGCACGATATGTTGTCTCAATTTAATGGGCGTTGCTTACCGTGCTGGCGCCGATGTATCTCACTTTCCCACTCTCCACCACATCGTTGAGCGCCCGCATGATCTCCTCGCGGGGCGTGTCGCGGTCCAGCCGGTGGATCTGCAGCACGTCGATATAGGTGCCCAGTCTCTGGACACTGGCGTCCACGGCGTCGAAGATGTGCTTGCGCGACAAGCCGACGCGGTTGACGAATCCGGCGTCGTTGCGGCCACAGGCCGAGATGGGAGGCATGCCCCCTTCGTCGTTCACGCCGAAGAAGCACTTGGTCAAAATGACGACTCGGTCGCGCGGGATGCTGAATTGCTTCAGCGCCTTGCCGATGATCTCCTCCGAGCGACCGTGGGAATAGACGTCGGCCTGATCGGGCTGTCAGCGCTGGGTGATTTGATGAAAGAGGCTGCTAACGGGGAGGGAGAAAAGTACCGTGTCCCAAGTGTTGATGCCACGCTTGTAGGCGTGCTCGATCAAGGGCAGGGCTTCCTCCTCATCCAGTACCCAGTCCTGCCATTGTCTGGTGCCGTAGGACATGGTACCCAGGATGATCTTGGAGATCTTGAGGCCGGAGTTGCCAAGGCTGCGATGTCCATGTCATTAGCAGGGGAATTGTGCTTTCAATTGAGAGTCTACGGTGATGGTATACCGGACATATTCCATATCAGAAGCCATGGTATAATTGTGGTTGAACAGTTGATTCTAGTAGATGGCGGTTAGCACCGGAACAGGCGGATATCTCGTTGAAGCTGCACAGACAATTACAGAAGTGACTCAAAACGATATCCTCGGCGAAGATGCTATTGAGAGTGACAAAGATAGGAGAGCAGAGGAAAAGAACATGAATCATAGTGGGGACCGAGGAGGGGGAGTTCTTATCAATCGGGTATAGTTCAGAATAGGAGCAATGAGCTCGTACTCCGCGACTCGTATCCTCTCTCCTCCTCTCCACTCCGATCTGCCGAAACCCTGAAGCGGCGATGCTCTTCAGCCGACTTATTGCCGGCCACTCCCTCGGGCTTGGCAGAGGCTTGGGGAACGTCGGAATTGCGTCTCGGGACGTGTTTGTAGATCGTTGATGCCAGTAGTCTTGTTGGAACTTACTATGTGAAAGAAGAAGTGCATGGTTGAAGAAGTCCCGTGACCTCATCTTTCTCCTTCCCTTTTAGTTTCAGCTTCAGCTTCAGCTTCTCTCTCTCTCCCTCTTTCTCATCTCTCTCTCTCTCTCTCTCTTCTTTTTACAAACATCATCTATCTCTAGATGTTATGCTTGATTGTCCTTGACTTACTCCTCGGGCATATCTTGTTTGTGTTCGATGAAAAAATTGTGTTTGCGCAATGACAGACACCTATTCTCACCGTAGCAGGACCTTTTCTGTTTGCCAACAGGTTCCTCGCCACAGTGAGGAAAAGCAACGAACCCTTGTGACAGCCGGCAAAGAAAAGCCACGAGCGGCTGGCGCTGCTGACGTGGACGCTTTGCTCCAGACTTCTTGATCACAGAGTCCTCCGAGAGGATACCGACGAGACCAGTCACCACCCGTGCTAAGAACCATGATTTACGATTTTGTGTAGCCCTGCGCACGCGGAGTGAGTTGTGTCACAACCTACTGCCTTCGGTACACCAAATCTAAAGGTCGTGTCAGTGCCCGGGATGATCAAGAGGCTGGCTGAAATCCATGCCGTCAACGCCAGCTGTCACTGGGACAAGGGCTCTAGCTGCCACACTGCTACCGCAGGACCGACACGACGAACGGTTCGTCCTAAATGATCCATGAACATGCGCAAACTGGGCCTGAATGCAGCGTACTCAGCTGCTCATTAGTTGAACCCAACTGGTTCCTCGGCCAGCTTCTGCAGAACATCCTGCAGGGAACGCTTGTACCCCTGTCGTGTGATGCATATCCCCGCTCGGCTTCAGCCACTGCCCCGGAGAATGCCAACCGCAGCCTAATCATCGAGTCTCGAGAGATTCGCACTTTGGCTTGTTCCGAGTGAAGCTGAGAAGTGCATGGCAATCTTGCTTACTTCGTCTGGAACAGACTCACGTCGTAGTACTGCCTGCCACCTCGAAAGGTCATCTCGTCCACAAGTGATGGTATACAATCCAGCCTGTGTTTTCCTATACCGACAATCGTGTCTATCGTGGGTTGTTTCTACTCAACACCATACTTGTTCCATACCCGTTCATCACATCAAGCATTGATAGCTATGGATAAGCCGCTTCATTGCCCTTTGTGCCGTTGGACGGCTGCATTGTGGTAGAACTTACACACCTCGGAAACTATTCTCTCGCTGCCCAGTCTTGTGCTAGGCGCAGATGCCAAACAGGTGGAGGCCTTGTAGAGTCAGCAGTTGCAGCTTTTACAAATGTCAAACACACACCTCATTCGTGTGCAAACAGTGTTCTCCACAAATGATTCCCACTAGCGACAAGTGATTGGATTTATGGCCAACATACAGACCAACCGTCAATGCTCTTCGTGCCTGCCAATTGCCGAATAGAAAAGCGTATAGATGCCTCGATGCAATCATGTTCCATGTCTGGTCAGCTTTGTGGCTAGCTGGAGAACGCGCAATGTAAGCTGTGCTAGGAGAAGCAGGTCTTCAAAGAGCGTGAGTTTGTGCCTAACACTGCGACTTGCGACTAGACAACATGAAGCTGCAGTGTGAAAGCCGCGCAGATAGCAGTTTGTGTCAACTCGTCTCTGTCAAACCCATTGGACTCAATGTGTGAACCACTTCGAAGTGCGACACCATCTCACGAATCAACCCTCTTCCAGACGTTCCGGTTAAGGTCAAGACTCGAAAGCCGTTTCCTGCCTTTCGGTCACCCCGGTGTCTATATAAGAGACACGCATCGCCATCTCCAGAGGTCTTTTCTGCATCCTCATCATCACCAACATCCAACCTCCAGAACAACAAGCACGTCCCACTCATTGCGATAAGACTAAACCAGAGTTCCAACTCAATCAACCAAGATGGCCGCCGCAGTAACCCGCTCAACTCCCGCTCCTGCACCCGCATTGATGGCTCTCCAAGCTCCCCAACTCGGCCTCGCCGACGACGAGCTCCTGGCCCTCTTTCGCCGCGTCACGATCAGCGGCTCCGCCGGCCACGATGTCTCGGAGACCCAGATCAAGAAGGCCTTCGACCAGGAGATCAGCCGGCCTCTGGGCCGTCAGGTTCTGGAGGCCTCGCTGCGGGACGCGCACGAGTGCTCTTGCTATCACTGGAACTACCATGACCGGATCCGGGGCAAGGTCGACATCAGCCGGGTCGACTTGAGCTTCGATCTGACCTCTCAGAGCATGGGACAGTCGGTCCGGGGCGAGGTGGCTGGGTTCTTCAGGGTGAACCATGCTTACATCAAGTGAGTCCCGCCATTGATTCTCTGTGCAATGGACATACCACGTCACGTTTGTACCATCTTGAGAATCTGAACATCACGCCTGACAATAATGATTAGCGCAACGGTCTACTATGACGACCAGCAAACCCTCCAAGGAAACCAGAGCATCAAGGTCTCCATGGACGCGAACGTGAGTATGAGCGAGTAACATCATGGGGGAATCCCTGCTGACCGACCGACCCAGAAATTCATCATCGACTTCTACCCCACCGACCAGGCGGAGAAGCCAATTGCCCGTATCGTGCAGACCAACTCTTCCTTCACCTTCCAGGGAACCTGCACTGGCGATTCCACCTGGTACATCAATTAGACAGGTGTCAGACAGCCATGATGCCACGGAGAAGATGGATCGCAGTGCGTGGTCCGAGATATGAAGAATGCTTTGAGTTTACTTGCTTTTCTGCATCTTTCGCGTTGATTGTTTCGCGGTAGCTAGATAGTTAGTTTGTTTGCGTTTGATGATTTGATGATTTGATGCATGCATGATTTATGATCCGCTGAATGACCGTAAATAAACTCTAAAGCAGTGAAAATGGTATATCGAAAGCATCCGACCAAGATAACGCCAAACAAGCCCTAACCCAAGACAATCAACCTCCCCCGACGACACCTCTTTCCCCTCCTCCTCCCAGATCAATTGCCTCCGCTAAAGCCCAAAATACCGCCCCCTCTCCTTCAGCAACCCCTCATGAGTTCCCCGCTCCACAATCCTCCCCTCATGCAACACGCGGATCAAATCCGCGCGCACCACCGTCGACAGCCGATGTGCAACCACAATTGTCGTCCTCTTCTTCCTGTTCCCACTCCCACTCCCACTGCTACTATCACCCGCCGCAAACAAAGCCCGCTGCACCGCCCCCCTCCGTCTCCGTATCCACGGCACTCGTCGCCTCATTCAGCCCGAGCACTGCCGGATCCCTCAGGAGCACCCGCGCGATCGCCACCCCGCTGCACCTCGCCGCCCGACAACTTGTACCCCCCCCTGCTCGCCGACCGGGGTCGCGTACCCCCCCGCGGGAAGGAGCGGATCTTCTCGTGGATCGCGGCGGCGCGACACGCCGCGTGGATCTCCGGCATGCTGGCGGCGCGCCGCGCGTACCGCCGGTTGGCGAGGATGGAGGCGTGGAAGAGGAGCGGGGTCTGCGGGAACCACGCCGATTGCGCTGCGGAGCGAGGATCGCGTGAGCATGCGGATGTCGTGCGTGTCGAGCGTGATGGTTCCTGAGGACAGGTCGTACGCCCGCAGCAGGAGTTTCGTCAGGCTGGATTTGCCGGCGCCGGTGGCGCCGACGAGGGCGATTGTTTTTGGCCCGGCGGGGTGGTTAGGGTTATGTTTTGCAGGGTTGGCGCGGGGTGCGGGGGTGGGGGTGGGGGTTGGTTTTGGGGCTTGGCGGTAGTGTAGGGGAAGGTGACGTTTTTGAACTCGATGTGCCCCTCGACTGTTGCCGGGTTGAGGGTGATGGCGTCCGGGGCGTCGGGGATGCTAAGTTTCGTGAGGAGGAGGTCGAGCAGCCGATATGCACTTGAAGATGATCACGCGAAGGGCTGTTTTGCGTAAGATTGAAGGCTTGACGTGCGTCTCGGATTTGTAGTCCAGGAGAAAAGACGTCAAGACAAACAGCAGGGTGACGGCCGTCGTCACCACGTACAGTGGTTAGGCGACTCTCTCGAGTGCCATCGTTGGGAAGTATGGCGTTGCTGCATATCATGATGGTGCGGCTCAAACCTTTAATACTTGGTAGAACAATATTTTCACGGGTTGTGCTGTGTTGTATGTCTATGTCGCGGATACTGAGACTCACCTTGAGTCACGTCGAGTCAGAGGGAGATGAGGCTGTGGTAACTGAGAATTATTGCTGCCTAGACGGTCGATGTAATAGTAAGAGAATTCTTCTCTTAATTATCTATTCCCCGAACTATAGATAATCGAAAATATGCCTCGAACATCGCGGCATACTATACCATGCCATACGTAACTCGTACCATAGACTCATGAAACTTTTAATACTCCCTTCCCCCAAAATATACAAAACGCTAACACACAGCAAAAAGCGAGTGCGACTTTTAAGAAGCACCACCACGACCACCAACATTAGCCAAGGCCTTCTTCTGGTCCTCCGTCAACTGCGCCGTCGGCAGCGGGCGGGTGCCAGCAGCCGTGGGCGGAGGAAGGAAACCGGTAGCAACGAGGTACGCCGCATACAGACCAACCAATTCCTCGGTGACACCAGCGCCAGCGGAGGCATCAATGCCGGACCAGGCGGCGTCGGCGCGCAAGGAGGCGGCAGCATTGACGTCGTCGAGTTCAGGAGCCTTGGTGTTGGAGGGGAGGTCGGAGGTGACGAAATGGTAGAGGGGCATCCTGAAGTACGAAGATTAGTAATTGTTCGGGTGCAAAGCTTCAAGAAAAGAGGGAGAAGGAAGTAGGTGTTGACTTACAAGGCGTGCTGGGATTCGGGGTCATCGTGCTGGCCATCATTGACGTACTGCTCCAAGGCCTTGGACCAGGGAACGTAATCAATCTGGGGCACTTCGTAGCCGTAGAGCTGCAGGGCGCCCAGGAACTGGTTGAAGCGGAGGCGAGGGTGACCGGTGACTTGGGCCACGCCGATCGGGGTGCAAGGGGGCTGGAAGGCGGCGGCAATGACAACGCGAGCAACGTGGTCGACGGGCACCATGTTGACGGTGTTGTTGATGTTGGGGCGGGCGGAGAGCTGGATACAGCCCTTGATCATGCGGATGAGGAAGTCGTCCGTGTTGGTAGTTCCGGTCTGGGAGTCACCGAGGACGTAGCCAGGACGCACGACGGTACCCTTGAGACCGCGGCGACCAGCTTCCCGCACGAGATATTCACCCGCCCACTTGCTCTGACCATAGCCGGTTCCAAGGCCGACGCTGCTACCCTCGAGGTCGTCCGCCTCGCTGATACCAGCTCCGCCCTCGGCAACGATCCGCTCAGATTCCAAGACGTAGTGGTCGCTATCGAGAGTACTGGTCGAACTGACGAAGGAAAATTGCTTGGGCTTGCCGCTGGCGCAGAGCTTGAGAGCGTCAATGGTACCCAGCACATTGGCAGGCTTGAGGGTGGAGTAGGGGTACACCCAGTGAACCAGAGCACCGTTGTGGATGACAGCATCCACCCGCTGGATCAGGTCCTCCCAAAGAGCGTCGGAGAAACCGAATCGAGGCTCGCCCAGGTTACCGCACACGCACTGGAGCCGGCTGGTCCAGGCTTCGTCCCAGAAACCGTACGCCTGGCAGGTAGAGCGAATGCGGCCGAGCGCCTGCTCGTCAGTCTTGCCGCGCACCAAGGTCACAACCTTCGCCTGCGGTGACTTGCGGGTCAAGAGATCCCGGAGGATATGAGCACCTAAGAAACCGGTGGCACCGGTGAGGAAGATGGTGGGCTCGGATGCAAGAATAGGCTCGGTGCGAGTAGGGAACGAAGCGGGCAGAGTCTCTGCCAACTTGCGGGCATCCTTCGAGTATTCGTCATCGAGCTCAGCAGGAGCTGCGGGCTCTGCAGCAGCGGTCTTACGCTCGTCGTTGCTAGCGAACGACTCCAGATTCAGAAGACGGTCGATCTCGGCAGCGAAGCCCCGGAGGGTAGGGCTGCGGAAAATGGAGTTCATGCTGACATCGATCTCGCGCCACTTGCGTCGAACGTCGAAGAACATCTGCTGAGCCAAGATACTGTGTCCTCCCAAATCGAAGAACGAGTCATCAGGGCTAATCATACGAGCGGTCACATTAGGAATGCGCTGACCCCAGATGGAGGCCACAGCTTGCTCCGTTTCGCTGAGGGCTTGCGCCACCGAGGACTTGCGCCGAGGAGCGGCGGCACTGAGCTCTGCAGTATCAGGGAAGGGCAGTGCGGGCTTGTCGATCTTGCCATTGGGGTTGAGAGGCATGCGCTTGAGGGGGATGAAGACGGTCGGCACAGCGTAGCTAGCAAGCTTGCTGCGGAGATGGTCTCGAATGTCGTCACGCAGGGGGCGGAATCGTCTGAGCATGCCAACCATGCCTTCAGCGGACTCATCGTCCTCAAGTCCCTTCTGCTGCAGCCATGAAGCCCACTTACTCATGTCTGGAACGAAATAGCTGACCAGGGTGCGCTCTTCGAACTTATCACGACGTACCAGAGTAACATTTTCTCTGACAAGCGGGTGACGAGACAAATGAGTGTCGATTTCGCCCAGTTCGATACGGAATCCACGGATCTTGACCTGATCGTCTGCACGTCCAGAACATTCGACCTCACCGGTGGGGGTGTAACGGCCGAGATCTCCGCTGCGATACAACCGATCTCTCGGGCCAAAGTAGAACTCCCTCCAGGGTTCATTCGAGCCCTGTGCTTCGGCCTTGTCCTTCTCTGTCCAGGTTTGAGGGTCCACAAACCAGTTGGTCAGGAACTTCTTCTCGTTCAACTCCGGAGAACCGAGATAGCCCTCTGCGAGACCACCAGCACGGACGTAGATTTCACCCACTTCACCAATGGCGCAAATGCGGTTGGGCTCGAAGCGGTTGACAACCAGCATCTGAACGTCGAGCATACCCCGTCCAGCTGGAATGACATCCTTCATGGTGTCCAGATAACCCTCGTCACTCGAGTAGCTAGGGATTTCAAAGTAGCTGACCGCACGCTGCGTCTCGGTCGTGCCATACATGTTGACAATGTTGACATTCGGAGCCAATCCCTGAAGGGAGCGGCAATCTCTCTTAATGAGAATATCACCCACGAAGAAAGCATGGTGAAGCTCGGGGAATTGAGCTGAGGCACCGCCCACCAGAATCTGACCCATGGCAGGTGTAAGGTGAGTGACAGTAGCGCCGTACTCGCGCATCCATTCGGCGAGCTTCTCATTCTGGATATCCTCGCGAGCAGGAACAAGCAGCTGAGCACCTAAGAAGAGAGGGGTAAAGATGTCTCTCTGGATTGGATCGTGAGCAATACCGCTCAGCATCGTAAAACGATCGTTAGGGTTGAGCTTGAAAGTCTCCGACATCCACGGGAAGTAGTATGCCAGGGAGAAATGACGACCCCGGACACCCTTGGGCCTGCCCTCGGAGCCGGAGGTAAACGACAAGGTGGGGGTAGAATCCGGACCGACCACGACGCCGACAGATTGAGCCTTGAGAGACACCTGTTGGGCCAGCACGTCCTGCCCATTGACCAAGCCACCTTCAAGGGTACCATCGTCGCGGAGGGCAAGCGCGGGAACCTCAGTACGAAGCTGCAGGTTCTCGTCAATGAATGAGCGGACCTCATCAGATAGTTCACCGGCATCCTTGGTAGCCTTCTCAATGTTGATCAATGCGCGAGGACGAGCGACATCCAGATAGATGCACTGCCTTTCCGGAGGATATGCTGGATCGATGACGGAGAAGGTTGCACCGGCCTTGAGAATACCCATAACAGCAACCACGAGATCGACACCACGGTAGGCGTAAACCATGACAACCTCACCCCGCTCGACACCAGCTTGAACCAAGTGATGGCCCAGGATGTTAGACGCCTCATTGATTTGTCTGTATGTGAACTCCCTGTGGGGGGATCGCTCCGACTTAGTCTCGACCACACAAAGCTTGTCGGGATGCTTCTCCGCATTAGCGGCGAAAATCTCATGAATGGCACCACGGAACTTGGACCAGTTCAAATCAGAGGTAGGGTCGGGAAGGATTGCCTGCTGATCCTCAGTCATGAAGTCAATACGGCCGATGGCCTGTTCCGGGTTGCTGGTCGCATTCTCCACGAGCTTGGCGAGCTGCTTCAATATGGTGGAAATTCTCGCACTGGAGAACAATCTCTGGTTGTAGTATGCTCCCAACTCGGCCTGAGATGTCGAGTCATCCGATGCAAGGACTGGAGCGATGTTGAGGACAAGATCGGTGGTCTCGAAGGTGTTGGCGGGATAGTCTTGGGAGGCAGCGGGTGCGTCATAGGCAGCGAAGCGGAAGAGGATAGGGGAGCGCTCGGAGCCGGACTTCTCTTGGATGTAGTTTCTTAGACTGCCCAGAGGTACGATTTCGGAAGCACCTTCTTCGAAGGCCTACATAAACCAAGGTAAGAATGGGAGGGGAGAGGGTTCATGAACAGAAGAACATACCTTCTTGACCTTAGCATAAAGCTGGAGAAACGTCTCCGAAGCCTCAATTGGGACTCTGAGAACGAAAGGGCGGCCATCGTCATTGGAACTGGTGCCGATGGCGATGTCCTCATCGCCGGTCAGACGGGCAACGAGAACAACGAAAGCAGTGAGGAAGACAGTGAAACTCGAGGAGGAAGCGGAGATCTTCTCGAGGGCTGATTGAGAGCCCTGGGACAGTTTAATTGACTCAAAGGCTTCAATTGCTCTCTTGGGAAGCTCCTGCTTGTGGTTGTCGGGATAATCTCTAGTGAGGGGAGAGACAGTAAGGTTCTGTAGTCGTTGAGCCCATCGCTCAAGACGCTCCTGTAAGGAGACTGATTCAGCACCCATGATTGCAGTCCAAGTCAATGATTGCAGTCAGGATGGTTGTGTTGGGGGGAGGGGAAAGAAATGAAGTTTAGTAGTTTATCGATGGGCGAGAGGCGATGAGTCAGGAGGGGCAAGCGAATAAGTGCCGATGTCGGCAGCATCTCTTTGGGTCCCCACATACTTGCTCGCCTGAAGCTGCCTGAGGCTGTTATCCAGCTCACCGCCTTTGGCGGGGCCCAGCCACATCCATAACTTATCCAATTAGGGAGTACCTATACGTACACGGCCTAGCCACAAAAGACGGGAGCGGACCCTGAACCGCCTTTACCGCATGCAGCGTAGTGCCCAGTGGTTGAACCGTGCCCCCGGTTTGGGGCCTTCCTTATCCTTGGAAACTCCAGGCTCCAGGTTGAGCTCCAGCGCTGCATCGTTGCGCTCAGGTACTAACTAAGTTACTAACCTGACACCCACTACACCACTATACAGTACATACCACCCTGAGGGCAAGACATGACTTCGTTGACCATGGCTTGAACTTTTGACTTGTTGTCGTGACGTCTTTCCACTCTTCCACTCTTTGCCAGCCATTACCCACTTCCCCTAAAAGTGCTGCCGTTCGTATTCGCGTCCAGAGAGGCGGAACAAGAGCCCATCATCCTGTCGCACCGCCTTCACTTTCTCACCTCCTATACTCAAACGACTTTGTTCTTGTTCTTGCTCTCGACGCTCCGTTCGAGACGGTCACATCCCTATGTCAACATGATTCCTCATCGGAGCACGGCTCTTCTGACCATTATTGTTTTTGTTGCTCTTATATTGATAATCTTCTCCTCCTCCCCAGCTACCAATTCTTCTACTGGTGCAGCAGTCTCCGGCCCGGCCAGATTTGTCCCTCATCCGAAGCTTCCCTCCTTTAACGACTTGCACCTGCCATCCTTCCGTCCCACCGTTCATACTCCCCCCGAGCCTCAGCCGAACAGTACAAGTGGAGAAACCAGCTGGTTTAGCGATTGGTCATGGATCAATCCTTTTTCGTCCTCCATCACTCTCGACGAGAATCGATCCGTGCTTCCCCCCTTGAGGGATAGACCGTTCATTTACACATATTACGAGCCGAACAAGGGCAATGACGTGGAGGAGAATAATGCTGATGCTCAGCTTCTTCTCGCATGGCGCAGAGCTTGGTATGCTCAAGGATTCCGTCCGGTAATCCTTGGGCGGGGAGAAGCCATGAACAACCAATTCTACGAGCTGGTTCAGCGCGTGAAGTTCAAACCAGAACTCGAAAGCGAGATTTTCAGATGGCTAGCTTGGGGACATATGGGCGACGGCTTGCTTGCGGATTGGCATTGTTTCCCCATGGCCAGGTATGACGACGCGCTCTTGTCGTCCCTGCGCCGTGGATCCGATCCAGCTTTCATTACCCGCTTTGACCGTCTTGGGGGCGCCTTATATTCCGGGGAGAAATCACATATCAACGAAGTGATCAAGCAGGCTCTGAACAAAGTTGATGAGACGTCTACCACGTTAGTGGGGTTGGCCTCGCCCGACCTCTTCAAGGTAGAGGAGGCTAACTCGCTGGCTCTGTACGACTCTTCTACCATCACTAGCCATTACCCAACAATTGCTGAGAAGATGGTTTCATCTCCGACTGCAGGACGATTGGCATTGGCAGAGTTGATTAACTCGCATCTACACAACACTTTCCAAAATGCCTTCCCAGCAGGCATCGCCATTTTGAAACCATTTCCGAAGCACACGACGGCTCTCGTTGAGCCTGCTTTGCGTCTTGCGAAGGCCCTCGTGCAATGTTCGACCTCTCCTATACCGCAGTCATGCCCACCCAACTTACCGAAGTGTCACCCGTGTGATCCGGCGAAGCCAATGCAATTGAGCCAACCGGCTACCTACAGGAATACGACTCGAGTATTTACCATCGGAACACTTCCTCACCCTTTTACATTGATCAGTCTGCAGCAGGATTCCACCGACGTGAGCATCCGCCACATCCGGCGCGAGACGGATCGTGATGTATGGTTGACCGAAGTCACCAAAGACCAGTTGGGTCTTGAGATTGGTGGATTACCCAGATCTACGGTGTTCAAGAGGGCTGTCGCTGATGATACTGTCGTTGGAACTTCGTTATGGATGACTGTTGAGTCTTTGCCCTCTCATGCCGGTCAATCCCTTCCGACTGAGCTGCTGGACGAATTTGAGTGGCAGTTTGGCTTCAAGATCCCTCGAGACGGCAAGGTAGATGCCAAGAATGAAGACGAGAAGAAGGAATCCGTCCAACATGCCACTCCGAGCGAGCAAGGAGTTCCAAAGGAATATGAGATTATTCAACAAGCTCGCGAAATCATCAAGGCTCGGAAGCCCAACAACCGGCCCAACCCCAAGGCTGCTGCAGAAGCCTGGAACCTGGCTGACTCGGAGGTCTGGCGGTTTGTGAGAGCATACCGGTACGTACTACGCCACATTGGAAACCGAGGACCATGGGCTAATCATAGGTTATTGTACAGGGCTCGTAGCGTGGTTGAACGCAAGAAGTGGGAGGAAGACGAGAAAGACTTTGTTGGTGCTCAGCTAAAACAGTAGGATGAGTCAGTGCGCGTGAATGATATCCAATATTACTTGCATCACCATAGACATGCTATAGCATGAGAAGCATAATTCATATTTTGATATCAGAGGAAATGTATAAGTACATTTCAGGATTCCTAAATGATTTTCGACTATAAAACTTATTATCTGCCTCATTAAGATATCCTATCCTAGCTGTTGTTGTCTGCCAGTTGCTGACTCGGTAGCCTGGTCTTGGAGGAACTTATGCGTATTTACGTAGTTTTACATCCACTCTGTATACTCAGTTACTCCGCAGTGATACTTACGTATAATGTAAGCGACATCATAGATACCTTCAGGTTCCTGTCGGCGAATCCTTCTCCTGTAAGACCTCGTTATACCGATCCTCGGTAAGGCGATCTTCTGTACATAGGAATTTAGTTCTACTATACCAATATCGCTGCATCGCCTTATAGCAATTATCGGGACGACTAGATTAGTCGCCTATACAAGTATCGTTGAAACGAGGTCCAAAATTCACGTAGAAAGGTAAAGGTCTATGCAGATCCTCAGGTCTGAGTCAATATATATAACTTAGTTGATACTGGAGGTCATGTGCTTACTCAAACTCCACATAACAATACTACTGATGTTTGGTATACCAAGACGATTAAGTTGCAAAGCACTAGTTTCAGGGCTAGTTTCTGACTTCCTGTCGGCTTCGCCCCACTCCCCGACTTCCCCCACACAATTACAATCTAAAGTCCTCCCACACTACGGAGTACTAGGTACTGTACCTAGTCAACTACTGCATTTACTACCTATGGTATGTATGATACCATCCTGACACCCTGATCCAATGAACAAAGATGACACGTGGAAACGCGCAACGGCGTGCACGATCCGCCGTCCCGTCCGCTCCTCCCCAGGTATTAAAGAAAACCACTGTAACTGACTTGACTACTTTACCACAGCACATGCCTACGCATCCCCTACCCATACACTCTGCCCATGAAATCAGAATGGAAGAAACATTAATGCCCTACCTGCGATGTACTGAGAAGGACCGCCGGTGAGCAAGCGCTCTGTTCCATGGTGTTCCATGGCTTCTGATCGATAATCACCTAACTGTTATCTACATAGTCTTGATGCGCCTGCGTTTTCGCTCGCACTTCAAGGCCCAGAAAGCCTGTCGCGCACAGCTCCATATCTTTTTCAGGTAACACTGCAGCGTGTAGACGAAGAAAGCAAGATTTGTCTCTTCTCATGGACCCCGCAGATGCATGGCTTTATTGCCGATGGCGGATTTATTCTTCTTCATCATACCGCGCAATGCGAATTGAGACTAGTCGGCTCCCTGGATGCAATACACTTCCTCCACTAGAACTTTGGCGCTCTTATCCTCTGAAACAACATGAATTTGGTGGAATTCAGCAGTATTACGACGTCTTCCCCGAGCGTCTTCTCTCACACCTTCAAACTGGAGAACGATATGTACTTCTCTGGCCTGGGCAACGATATACCTCATGGTGTCTGACCGACGGTGCAAGTGTCTATGGCTATATCCCCCCCGCAAGGACTGACCTCGTCTTGCCAGGCGGTCCATTTCTGTCCTTCACGGTCGAGGATGACCGGGACAGACCGATGGCGCCAGCGCCATTTTCCGGGTGAGATTCGGCTTTCCCTGCCTGCCTTCTTCCCCGTGCTCTCTTCGAATATTTTGCGTGAACCTGTTCTTTGACCTCCCATGGCTTTTGAAATTCAGTACCTAGTAGGCGAACATGCTAATATCCCCCATCCTCAGAGCGAGAGAATCCTGTCCCACGCTAATCGCAAGAATTGATTGCCATCCCCAGGGCCAGGTCGCTTTGAGGGATGACCTTGTGACTGCGACGCTGCATGTTACTTACGAACGGACCGGTGATGGCAGTGGTGGACCAATTACGTTCAACACTACGGGACTAAGCCCCAAGCTCTGGGTATGGCGCGATCGATGGGTGAATATGGAAGGCTTCAGTTGCGGTTGGGGTAGTAATACCTTCTGCGATGACCCGGATATTCAAGTCTCGCCCGGCTGCGATGACAGCTTTGCCTGTCTGCATCCGGACGAAACCTGGTCTAACACCGTTCGATACCCGTTGATTACGGACATTGAGAGCAGCGATGGTGGAGAGGCTGAAGTCGGGGAAAGGATACGGTGTCTCTTTGGAGGAAATGAGCCTGTTTGGTGGGCGTGGGGAACTCGAGAGGATCATCTGGCGACCATGGTCACAGTCCCAGCCACTGGAAGCTGGACTGTGCTGGGTCCTAAGCAGAATCCTGTCGTTATCGTTCCTGCGGCGGCTCCAGTTGATTTGCAAATTGTATAAACCGAAACAACAGATACTTTCTTCTCGGACCCCATGTCTGAACGTCGTGCATGCCCTCCGTATAAAAATCAGGTACGATACTTAATTAACGACATACATTTCATGTACATGGATTACAGTACAGTACTGTATTGTCACAATACAACTAGTTCGTCCCTGAACCACAGCCCTAAGCGAACACACCGAGGCTCGGATCCCTGCGGCTGTCTGAGCTCTGATCTTCGAGAGCCAAAGCGGATGAATGATTCTTCGTGCATCAAGAGCAATCCCTGTGTACTTTGCTGCCTATCGGACAGGCCCCGTCAGATGATTCAAGGGACCTCGAGATCGCATTTGATTATATGCCGAGACATCTTGTATTGCGAGATTGGTCAACATAGGAAAATTATCCCTGATAGTGGCACCCACCTCTCCTCCGCCTAGCCTCAACAGGAAATACATACAGGACTGATTGAGCTTGGGCTCGGAATGTCCCTGAGGCTTGTGGCCTTGGCACAAGCACTAAAATGCACGGGCTCGGCGCGACGTTCGGAAGCTCTACGGAGTACCCAAGAGGATTAATCGAGGCGATCTACTTTGTAGTCTTTGGGACTTGCCTCTGGAGAACAGGAACTGCAATGAGGGCGGGCTATTTACTGAGAGCTGTCACATCACATATGTACGACGTAGTCTTTCGCTGCAACGCTCTTTCCCTCGCAAAGAGCCAACATAAGATACAGTGGGCAACATCATTGCCAGCTGCATTCGTGTAGCTGCCAGGAATCACCTTGAGTCAGTTATCAGGTGGAGCTCAGACTGACCGTTGTACATGGTGGTTTGTGAGTGTTCATTTAAAACCTCCTGGGATTGAAATTAATGTCTCTCCACACGAGGCTTCCAGTGTCACCACGGATGAGGTGCCCCAGTAATAGTCAACTATGAGAAGACTTTCTGCCTACCGGACCTCACGGCTAAAAACACTAAGGCTAAGGTAGCGCAGGTGTGGATTGCTCTAAGGCTCAACTACCCTATTACTATACTACCTTCTGAATGGCCTCAACGGGTCGACGAGCTGTTTCGAGTCGCCGTGGTCGAACCCGTAGTCATACCTTCATGACCCGTTGGCAACAGCTGACGAGCTCGCGTAGTAGTAGCTCCATGGACCCTCATTCTGTGAGAGTATAAAGTCGGCTATCGATGCACCTGCAGTCTTAGTTTATTGCTAATCCATCCATTCGTTCACTCACTCACTTATCTATCTATTTATTCTTCTCATTCTTCTATTCTTTCTTTATATCTTTACTCGAAAACTCAAGTATTCATTCTTTTATAACCATATCCAATCATTCCGTTCTTTACCTATTCATACTCGGGCTTATCTATTCCTTTCGAGCTGGAAACTACAGTATCAATGAGTTGGTTCACATGGATAGCCTTGGTGGTGGCCTTGCAGGTTGTTCACCAGGTACATGCAAGAGCTGTGTTTGCACATTTCATGGTACGTTCGTGGTCTTTGCTCAATGCACATACTAGAGGAAGGGGGGCTCTTCTTCACATCTCAAGCGGTCTATAGGAACTCGGCAAGTGACTGGAACTCATCTATATCATTAGGTAACAAACTCGGAGAACTACACGCTTACAGACTGGGAAAAAGATATGAAGCTGGCTCAAAGTGCACACATTGACACCTTTGCCCTGAACATGGCATACCTCGACAAAGCCAATGATGCTTCCGTGGCAATGGCCTTTACTGCTGCTAACACCGTCGGCTTCAAGCTTCTCTTTTCCTTTGACTATGCTGGCAACGGGGCGTGGGACCAGGCGGCTGTGATCAAAATGATTCAGCAGTACGGGTCAAATGGAGCATACTTCTTATGTCTAATAAATCTTATTTAAAATTTACTATTTTTGTTGAAAAAAATCAGAGAATAATAGAATTTGAAAGTTCTAACTGTAAAAGAAAGTCTGCTTTCTTATTCTACCGAGCTTTAATAATAATTAAGGTATTTTAGTAGAGAAATCGACGTTTGTATATGTCAGCGTTCCTAGGCAATCCGGCCACGTGATTCCAAAGGCCTCTTCATCTTGTTTACCCGCGGGAACGTAGCTAGTTTCAAACAACCAACCCAACCACCAAGAAATCAAGAAAACACGTTCCAGAGCCTACCCTGAGACCTTAATATCGCCGATAGTATAAAGATGATTGATGGGGTGGCTGACTTGCTTACTGATTACATTACCCCTCAATCCATGCCGCCCCGCTCCCCAAAATTCATCTGAGTGTATCCACTGATAGCAGCTGAACAGCTTAATTGGGAATAAAGCATGATGATCTTACGAGCTGAGGATCAATAATCTTGAGCTGGTCGCATCCACAGTGCGAGAGGGGCGCTCGCTTAATATTGAATCTCTTACCCGCCCCCTTGCTGCATGGACTACCGATCTTGATTTTCTTGCATATCGCCATTTCCGTCCAATTGCTTCACAATCAAAACAAAATGGCGACCGGCACATACTCCATGCAGGCCTCTGCTCTCAGAGCTAAGCAGTATGCGTTGATTGATGGTCGCCCTTGCCAAATAATTCGGGCATCATTTTCGAATGACGAGTGCCATCTCGAGGTAAAGGACTTGTTTCTTGGCAACGAGTTCAAGGCCACCTTCCACCAAGATGACAATGTGGAAGTTCCGAACGTCGACCGAACTGAATACTCTCTTGTAAAGCTGCCAACCCCTCACTCAGGCTGTATGATTGATTAACCACCGGTTTCTCTCCTCCAGGTGAATATCGACGACGGAATGCTTAACCTGATGGCACAGGATGGAAACCCAAAGGATGATTTGAGTACCCCAAATAACGACCTTGGGACTCAGATTAAGGAGGACTTTGAGTCTGGGAAAGAGATGCTTGGATAAGAGATATACTGTCTAAAGGATTCAAATCCCTGCACCTCTCCACTAAACTAACAAATCAATGCAGTCAACCACAGTATAAGTCGAAACAGATTTGACTAAGTAACTGCTTTCTGAGTCTAATCAATCATAGATAATCTGATTATTCTCAAAGAGTTTGTGGGCGGCTTTGGGTGTGTCAAGTGGGTGTGGATCAGGCGTTCATCTCGCGAAAGTGTAGAATAAGTCTCATCTGAAGCCAGAGCTCTGGATTCCATCCAGTGATTCCCTTACAATCGTCAATGGATCAAGAGCGAAAAGAACTCACTTTGCCAATGCCTTGCAGAATCTTATATTGATATCAGCTTCCTGCTCTTAGTTTCAATCGACCTAAGAAGACTAACTCCCTCGGATTATTCCTCAACAGCAAGCGCGGGATGGGCGGCTGAAGGCGGTCGACTTAATCTCAGTGGCAGAAACGACGGTCGTAACGCACCGAACCGAGTGTATAGATTCATCATCAATCAGCTAACTATGTTATATACAGGGCTTAGCATCTAAGACTCGCAAGTGCCTGAATTAGCAAGCTTTGGAATGCTCCACAGGTCAGCCGTGTCTTGGTCGATACGCCACCGGATCTTGGGTCCTGGCAAATATGGTATATAGCCCAACTTGCTACCTCGCGTGTATTCCACGGAACCCTGACAAGACCCGTCTAGTCGCAGACGTCAAGGAGGAGAAGAAGAGTGGCACGCGCTTGTGATGTATGCCGTATGCAAAAGATCCGCTGCGATGGTGTTTCGCCTATTTGTGGCTCGTGCGAGCGACGGAAAGCGCGATGCTCTTATAACGGCGCAAATCCGACAGAGACCCACGAACACCGGTAGAGTCTATCCACCATGTTCACGATACTGAGTCGATTCTAATGTATAACAGATATACTTTTCGAGTGAATAATCTTGATTCAAACAACTCTTCTACCAGTCCCCGCTTGCAGCTGCGGAACCATTCCCCTGGCCGGTTAGCAAAGCGCCAAGCACAGAGAGGAATCGAAGACGATAATGTATGTACTGGCTCAGAGCCATCATCTCTGCTGGAATCCGAGCTGCTGCAACCACTCGCCGAGAGCGAACCCGGGACTACGGCAACAGGGATAATTGCGGGGCATGCTAGTCACTCAATTGAGCGAGATCAGTTCTTTGGAGACTCGTCAATCGCGTCCTTCTTGAGGCAGATTCAGGATTCTGCAGGTGTGCCACGTCCAGCGTGAGAATCCCGCAAATGTAGGCTGATGTGCATCTAGAAAACGAAACGGTTCCTTTTTGCCTGCCGAACATAGCTGCACAGTCATTCTCTGCGGCCCCAACACCCAAAGCAGTTGATCTGCCACCACGAGAATTAGCGGACTACCTCCTAGATTGCTACTATGAGAAAATTCACACTCTATATCCGTTTTTCCACAGGCCTGCCTTTGCTCGCGCATACAGTGCTTTATGGGCGCCCGGGCCTACAACGGATGCGAATGACTTTGGAAAACGAATCGGCTTAGGAGACCCAAGTGTGCCCTGGCCGATATTTCACGCCGGGCTGAACATTATCCTAGCACTGGGTTGCCAATTCTCCTCATTGGACAGAATGACGCGTGAAGCCACCGCGGATGCTTTCTTCCAGCGCTCCCAGAGGTTCTTAAATGGCATCTCCATGGATAAAGGGAGTTTGGCTCTTGTCCAGACACTTTTACTGATGTCGTCTTATCTGCAAGGAAGCGAATCCCCGGCACGGTGCTGGAATACCATTGGCTTTGCATGCAGAATGGCGCAAGCACTCGGAATGCATTCCTTGAGTTCGGATAGATTTCGATCGACGGCGGAGATCCAAGTCAGAAGACGCGTGTGGCATGGGTGTATCATGTTGGATCTGTAAGCTTCTTCTTTTGTTGATGTTAGAAGGATCGAATTGATCCATCTCGATAACCGCTAACCAAATCTCCCTAGAGCGAGCAGCATGATGTTGGGCCGCCCGCCCATGATCCAGGATTCGGCGGTCCCTCTTCCAGACGCTATCAATGATGAGGCCCTCGATCAACCGAACCTAGTTTCTAGGCTACCACCCACAGCCTTATCAAGAACAGAGTTCTACGTGCGCACGTTGCAACTGTATCAAATCCTAAGGCAAATCCTAGCAAGGATCTTTGCGCCCTGGGAAGGTAGACAGGAGAATCTGGCGGAGCAGCCTCAGGCTGAAAGCAGCCAAGCTAGAAATGTGATGGAGCTAGAAGTAGAGCTATTGGCTTTTAAGTCAGGCCTTCCGGTAGAACTGAACTGGCAAAATGGAGAAATACCGGCCAATACCACTAAGCAATATTCGCGCGAAAGTTGCTTGCTAAGAGCGAGGTGGGTGACTTGCGAACAACTACCTGATCTCTCTAATTCCGAGTATCTTTGTCAGATTCCTGCAGTATAGAATTCTGCTACTGCGCCCTACCTTGATCAGATTCTGTCGGCAATTTCGAGTCTCGCATGCTGCCGCTCTGCCGGAAGCGTCTTCCTCAGAGATGCCGAGCGAGATATTTAGGGATTTCAGGCTCAGCTGCTCTATAAATTGCGTCAAGGCGGCCATCGAGCTGATACATCTTATGAATGATACCTCGACAACTGAGCTGGCCAGTGTGTGGTGGTATAGTGTATTTTGTAAGTACCTCTCACGAGATTATTCATCACCACACAAGATATCCTGCTGACTTACTTCACTGCTTCAGATACCTTTTCCGCCGGAATCGTTCTTGCCCTAGCTCGGACATGCTCCGCTATCAAAGCCAAGTTTGCAGAGCAGACTCTGGAGGATTCCTGGAAAAGCTGCTCCGAGTGCCTAGAGAAGATGAGTTCACTTACAAAGTCTGCTGAGATCGGCAGCCAAAGTCTCAACAAGGTTTTGTCCCTCCTCATGCAGGCTCAGCATGATCCATCTATCATCAACCCAGCCGTCGGTCAAGAACACAGATTACAGCCTCAAAGCCAGGACATGCATTGCGAAGCTTCGGCAACTGAGTTACCTGTTGCTCCGGCAATGGATTTCGGGGATCCTCTCGGCTTGGATGACGAACAGCGCTTTCTCGGTATGCCGGGTTCCGACATTTTCACCTATCTGCTGGGAGAACCAGGTTTGGCTGGGTCAATGGATGAAACGATGGGTGACGAGCTTTGGCCTGCGGCACCTTTGTTTCTGTGAAATCGAGATAGATACTACGATTAGGGTGGGGGGCATCAAGGATTGCCCTGAAGACGCATGTTAGACTTTTCGAGGCTGTCACATGGAATGATGAAGGTGTTCTCTAATGAACATCAAATCATATTTCTCTGACTAGCGACACGCTTCTTATACCGGATAAGACTGAATTACTTATGCAATGCGTGCTTGTATAAGCACCACAAACCCAGATCCGAGGATTGTCATGTACGGTACAAGGATGAACAACTAGTTAGACGAAGTGCCCTGGTTACATGTATGATGAGCTGAGTCTTCTTGTATATCCACCCATGAGAGCACACTACTATAGGCGATGTGAAGTCGACCTCTCTCTCCATTACAGGACGAATGGTTTCATCAACCAAGCCACTTGAGTAGCGTGTCATTCAGGGATTTTCAAGTATGATTTCTGATTCAACTACCCAAAAGTGCAACAAGTAAATCCTCTACGTACTCGACGATTCTCTGGTTCTCCGACTTAACCGAATGCCTATTATTCAGCTTTATATGAAATTTCTGTCGAACCATGCGCCCTGCAGTCAGCTTGCTGCGCGTAGCACCGAGTAATTAGCTTGATAGGTCTGTACTGTACTGTACATATCCGATACCTTGAATACCTACTACGAACCGTCATTCCACAGTCCGGAATCTTCTTCTACCCACCGTGTATTACCACCCGATACGTTATCCGGTATTTTCCCTTCTGGGAAGCGCACTGATGCCGGGCGTTTCATAGAATGCTTGAGAATGAACCACGACTCAAGCATAAGCCACTCTTTGCCTTTGTTCACAGTATGCTGATTATGCCCGGGATGGGGTATAAGAGATGAACATCATCTTCCTCAGACTCAGTCTTGTCTGTTCAATATTGTATCATCCTATCTCTCCACTACTGCCTTTTCCTCCTATTCATTGACCATTGACCATTGACTCTCTCGCTGTGCATCATGTCCGAGATCATTGAAACAGATGTCTTGATCTCTGGCGGTGGCCCAGTGGGCCTGCTAATTGCTTACTCGCTGGCACTGCAGGGCGTGGATTCCCTACTCGTCGGTAAAGCAGCCCTTACCCTTTCCTCTGTCACAGACATGGCCTAACAAGACTGGAAAAGAACGACATGACAAGGCCCACCAAGCGATGTATGGCCGGGCAACAACTCTCTACCCTCGCACCCTTGAGATGCTCGATCAGCTGGATCTTCTCGACGAACTGAACCAAATCGGTTACGTGGCGCGCAACAGCGTCACCTATCACAAGGGCAAGCGCGTCACCTCCCGGGGATGGCACATCATGTTCCAGCGCACGTATGGCACCTTTCTCGACTACTGCCTCAACATCCGCCAGAAATACTCCGAAGACGTGATTCGGGGCGCTTATGAGAGCCTCGGATGTAAGCCCTACATCGGCTGGAAATTGGACGATTTCGCGGTCGACGACGCTGCAAAGGATGATTATAAAGTGACTGCGCATGTCACTGAGGTCAGCTCGGGCAAGAGTCTGACGGTGAGAAGGTAATTGGTCCCGAGGACCCGATAACCGACCGTCGAGCCCGACTAACAACTGCCAGCAAATACATCGTCGGTGCCGATGGCGGTCATTCCCTTGTGCGTCGTCTCGCCAATATCCCCTTCGAAGGCGATCAAACTGTGTTCAAGTGGATTCGTATTGATGGCTACTTCAAGACCGACATGCCTGATGCCGATGTGGGCTTCGCTTCGATCGAGTCCGAGGCTCACGGAAATGTACTCTGGGTCCAGCTGGACCATGGCGTCAAGCGCATTGGCTTCGCGATGACAGCGAAGATGCTCGCCAGATACGGCGACAGCTTCACTCTCGAAGACGCCAAGGCGGAGGCCGTCAAAGCTATGGCGCCCTTCTCGCTGGAGATCGAATCGGTCGAGTGGTGGACCTTGTACGGGTATGAATGTCTTGTCTACGCTTTTCAGGTTGCGCAGCACCCTAACCGTCTGCAGTATTGGCCAGCGAGTGGCAGACCAATTCTTCAACAACGACCGAGTCTTGCTGGCCGGCGATGCATGTCACACGCACTCGTCCGGTGCTGCTCAGGGCATGAATACGGGTGTCCATGACGCCGTGAACCTGTCCTGGAAACTGGCGGGCGTTGTCAAGGGCTGGTACGGCGCCGACATGCTGCAGACCTACAACACGGAGCGTCGCCCAGCCGCACAGCACCTGATCGAGCTTGACAAGGCCTTCTCGGCGACCATCTCCGGCCAAGTCCCGGACAAGTATAAAGGGCACGGCATAGACGCCAACGAGCTGTTCACCAAGCTCTTCGACGAGACCATCCACTTCAACATCGGCCTCGGGATCCATTACGACGCGAACCCGATCAACAAGCCCCCGTCAGCAACCATGAACAATGCGGGCTGGCGAGCGCCCGACGCCTTGGTGTACGCACCCGGCTCGCGCCTGCCCACCCGTCTCTTCCACCTGACCAAGAACACCGGCGTCTGGTCTATCCTGGTCTTCGCCGGACAGCCGGAAAGGACGAAGGCGACCCTCAAGGCGGCCGTGGAGGATCTGGGCAAGCTTCACGTGGCCCTACCCCGTAGTGCTGTTCGTCTTTTGACCCTGGTCTCGCAGGCCTGCAGCGGAGGTGACCATGTCTTTGATACTCCGCGAGCGGGCAAGCTGTACTATGACGCGGAGCGGTCCGCTCATACCGCCTACACCATCTCCGACTACAATGGCGGTCTGGTGGTGCTGCGCCCGGACGGCATCCTGGGCTTCGCGACTCACTTGGATGATGTAGCGGGTGTTGCCGACTACTTCCGGGGGTTTATGAAGTGCTGAGTGGGTGTGTGTACTGGAGAGTGGTGTTTTGTTTGGTTGGAGCTTTTCTTTATCGTCTTGTAGGAAACAATTAGGAGCGATATTATTGATTAGACATACTGATAGAAAGTTAGACATAGAAATGATAGATGTTATTTTTCTAGTTATCTTGTGCCCTGAGTCACTTGACCGGCAAGTCCGTTGCTACCCCAAAAGATTTATCTGGTTGGGTTTAAAGATCGATCATCATCCATCACTTAACTAGGGCTAGCTGATGCAGCACTGCATTCAGTCAGGGTGAAATTGGGCAGTATGAATCAAGTTTACCACGCTCTTAGGAGATCGAAGATGAGATCATATTTGTGGGAAAAAATGGCTGAACGAGTCACCTCCTTATCTCTACTCTCTACTCCTTAGTTTCAGAAGTAGCTTAGAAGAGTTACGAATATTTAGTAAAACAGTACTTCGATATATTGTTACTATAGTATTGAACCAATATGGGGAAGCCTTATTCAGCTGACTCGGGGATAGTAATACTGCCGACGGTTGCCGCCCATCGGACAGTGGCGATCGCCGGGGGAAAGCGATAAAAGCGATAACCGAGTGGAGAATTTGCCCCCCTTCCCCTTACTCCGTAACCCCGATAAGACCCCCCATCGTCTCTTCATACAACAGCTATGACTAACTGACTAACTTACTGGTTCTCACATCTTTGATCGTTGACTTAACTCTTTTCTACTATATTGTATAATCCTTGTCTTGTACAAGTCTCCTTTCTCTCTTTGCTTCCTCTCTCGACACTATTACAACCTCTACTTCATGCCAGCGTTGAGTTACCCCGCATCAACGCTGGTTCCGAGTGGCGGTTTCTCCACCCTCTAGGAAATTCGTCGCAAGACACTTGATTTGAGTCAACAGCCACAGCCAACGCAGCAAGATGGCCCCCGGCATACTGAGCTCATCCCCACCGACGGTGCCATCCAAGGCCGTCTCTCTGGCCCAGCTTACCGAAGAATGGGACGACACTATCCGCTTCTACCTCAACGGCACCAAGGTCGTCCTCGACTCGATCAACCCCGAAATCACCTTATTAGAGTATCTCCGTGGGATCGGCCTGACGGGCACAAAGCTGGGATGCGCGGAGGGAGGTTGCGGTGCCTGTACGGTGGTAGGTCTAACGCAAACCCTACTGGGATCTGGTCATTTGCTAAGTTCAATCAACTCAACGTAGGTGGTTTCCCATATCAACCCCACCACAAAGAAGCTCTATCACGCATCCGTGAATGCTTGCCTGGCGCCACTGATTAGTGTGGATGGAAAGCATGTGGTCACCGTGGAGGGGATCGGCGACGTGAAGAATCCTCATGCCATCCAGCAACGGCTGGCGGTCGGTAACGGTAGCCAGTGTGGGTTCTGCACTCCCGGAATCGTGATGGTATGGCTCTTCGATATTCCTTTGATGAATCATGAGCTAACTTGTTGGACTTAGAGTCTTTATGCCCTCCTACGCAATAACTCCGAGCCATCGGAGCATGACGTGGAAGAGGCGTTCGATGGAAACCTCTGTCGGTGCACCGGGTACCGACCGATTTTGGATGCAGCTCAAAGCTTCTCTGCACCGAAAGGCTGCGGGATGTCGTCCGCGAATGGAGGATCAGGGTGCTGTATGGAGAAGAAAGGCGGCTCGGGAGGTTGTTGCAAGGAAACCTCCGCCGCTCCGGGCAAGGACGAGAAGATACAGACATTCACGCCGCCCGAGTTCATCGACTATCGGCCGGACACGGAGCTCATCTTCCCGCCTCCTCTCCGAAAGCATCAGTTCCGTGCTTTGGCCCTGGGAAACAAGAAGAAGAAGTGGTACCGGCCAGTCACACTGGAGCAGCTCTTGGAAATTAAGGCGGTGCATCCCGACGCTAAGATTATTGGAGGTAGCACGGAGACGCAGATCGAGATCAAATTCAAGGCTATGAAGTATAGTGCCTCCGTCTATGTCGGCGACATACAGGATCTACGGCAGTATACACTGCGGGACGACTGTCTCGAACTGGGAGCTAATGTTTCCTTGACTGACCTCGAGAGAATCTGCGACGAAGCGCTTGATCGATATGGGGGTGTGCGCGGACAGCCATTCAACGCCATCAAGAAGCAACTCCGTTACTTTGCTGGAAGACAGATCAGAAATGTTGCTTCCCCTGCAGGTAACTTGGCTACTGCTTCGCCCATCTCCGATCTCAATCCTGTGTTTGTCGCTACGAGAACAATCCTTGTCGCCAAATCACTCGGTCAGACCATCGAGATACCGATGGATCAATTTTTCAAGGGCTACCGAACCACGGCTCTTCCTCAAGATGCCATTATCGCTGCGTTACGAATCCCGGTTGCGGCTGAGGACGGTGAATACATCAGGGCCTATAAGCAATCCAAGCGAAAGGACGACGATATTGCCATCGTCAATGCAGCTTTACGTGTCTCCCTGTCGGAGTCACACACCGTCAAGAGTGTGAATCTTGTCTTTGGTGGTCTCGCACCGATGACTGTATCCGCACGGAACGCCGAGGCATTTTTGGTTGGCAAGAAATTCACAAGCCCTGCAACACTGGAGGGCACTATGGCCGCTCTGGAACAGGACTTTGACCTGAAGTTTGGGGTTCCTGGTGGAATGGCCACTTACCGCAAGTCTCTTGCCCTTGGTTTCTTCTACCGATACTATCATGATGTCTTATCCAAGATTGAAGTTAAGAGTGCAGATATTGACGAGGACGTTATTGCGGAGATTGAGCGAGCCATTTCGACGGGAGAAAAGGATCACGAAGCTTCCGCGGCGTATCAACAAAAGGTTCTTGGAAAAGCCGGTCCGCATTTCTCCGCACTAAAGCAAGCCACGGGAGAGGCCCAGTATACCGATGACATTCCAACATATCAGAACGAGTTGTATGGTTGCATGGTGCTGTCCACCAAGGCGCACGCCAAACTCCTCAATGTTGACCCAACTGAGGCCTTGGATATTCCTGGGGTTGTTGACTACGTGGATCACACAGATCTTCCAAACCCAGAAGCCAACTTCTGGGGAGCACCAAATGCCGACGAGCTTTTCTTCGCTGTGGACGAGGTTAACACTGCTGGTCAGCCAATTGGTATGGTTCTAGCGACATCTGCGAAAATTGCGGAGGAGGCTGCTCGGGCCGTCAAAGTGGAATACGAGGACCTGCCGGTGATCCTCTCGATCGAAGAGGCCATCGAGGCGGAATCGTTCTTCGAACATTATCGATACATCCAGACTGGCGATGTTGAGAGCGCCTTTGAGAAGGCAGCTCACGTATTTACGGGCGAATCAAAAATGGGCGGACAGGAGCATTTCTACTTGGAGACGCAGGCTTGTGTCGCCATACCTAAGAACGAAGATGGAGAGATGGAGGTCTGGAGTGGGACCCAAAATCCGACGGAAACGTAAGCCGTGCTGCCTTGTGATTTCTTTTAGCCCTGGTGCTAATATTGCTGCAGACAAACTTATGTCGCCCAAGTTACTGGGGTATCAGCCAATAAGATTGTGTCTCGAGTGAAACGCCTCGGTGGCGGTTTCGGTGGAAAGGAGACTCGATCGATCCAGCTGGCCGGTATCTGCGCGACGGCTGCTGCAAAGCTAAAGCGCCCAGTACGGTGCATGCTAAACCGCGATGAAGACATCATCACTTCCGGTCAGCGCCACCCCTTTTACTGTCGCTGGAAGGTAGCCGTCAACGGAGAGGGCAAGCTGCTCGCCCTTGACGCGGATGTCTACGCCAACGGCGGCCACACACAAGATCTCTCCGGCGCAGTCGTAGAGAGAAGTCTTTCACACATCGACGGTGTATACCGTTTCCCGAATGTCTACGTTCGGGGCCACATCTGCAAGACCAACACCGTCTCCAATACCGCATTCCGCGGTTTCGGTGGTCCGCAGGGCATGTTCTTCGCTGAGAGCATCATGGAAGAGGTTGCGGACCACCTGAACATCCCCGTTGAAGATTTTCGGATCCAAAACATGTACAAATCCGGCGACAAGACACACTACAACCAAGAGCTCAAGGACTGGCACGTGCCATTGATGTACAACCAGGTTCTGGAGGAGAGCTCTTACGCCGAACGTCGAAAGGCCGTGACCGAGTACAACAAGGACCACAAATGGTCGAAGCGCGGAATGGCGATCATCCCCACCAAGTTCGGCATCTCCTTCACTGCACTATTCCTAAACCAGGCCGGCGCGCTGGTCCACATCTACCACGACGGCAGCGTCCTCGTCGCCCACGGTGGCGTGGAGATGGGCCAAGGTCTGCACACGAAGATGACAATGATCGCCGCGGAAGCCCTGGGCGTGCCGCAGTCCACCGTCTTCATCTCCGAGACCGCCACCAACACCGTAGCCAACACCTCGTCGACCGCCGCCTCGGCCAGCTCCGACCTGAACGGCTACGCGATCTTCAACGCGTGCGAGCAGCTCAACGAGCGCCTCCAGCCCTACCGCGCGAACATGCCCGGGGCGACGATGAAGGAGCTCGCGCACGCCGCGTACTTCGACCGCGTCAACCTCTCGGCGCAAGGGTACTACCGCACCCCGGACATCGGCTACGTCTGGGGCCAGAACACGGGCCAGATGTTCTTCTACTTCACGCAAGGGGTCACCGCCGCCGAGGTGCAGCTCGACACCCTGACGGGCGACTGGACCCCGCTGCGCGCCGACATCAAGATGGACGTCGGCCGCACCATCAACCCGGCCATCGACTACGGCCAGATCGAGGGCGCCTTCATCCAGGGCCAGGGTCTATTTACGACCGAGGAGAGCCTGTGGCACCGCGCCTCGGGCCAGATCTTCACCCGCGGCCCCGGCAACTACAAGATCCCCGGCTTCCGGGACATCCCCCAGGTCTTCAACGTCAGCCTCCTCAAGGACGTCGAGTGGGAGAACCTGCGCACCATCCAGCGCTCCCGCGGCGTCGGCGAACCCCCCCTGTTCATGGGCAGCGCCGTCTTCTTCGCCATCCGCGACGCCCTCAAGGCCGCCCGTCGCCAATGGAACGTCCACGACGTCCTCCGCCTGGAGAGCCCCGCCACCCCCGAGAGGATCCGCGTGAGCTGCGCGGATCCGATCATCGAGCGGGCCCGCGTGGTGCCGCAGCCGGGCGAGAAGAGCTTTTTCGTGGCCATTTAGTTGGGCCTCGAGAAGTTGGACTTATTCAAGTGGAAGGGCATATATCATGAATCTTACGACTCGGCATCCCGGCATGTAGCAATTTATTATTTATCCATGCATCCGTTCGAACCTTTTGATCATGCAATATAGAAAACACTATCGTAGCCACGTTCTACGGGTATATCACGCGAAGCCTCAACGAGACGTAAGGCGACAGCAGCGCTGAAAGTACAAATCATCCGCCAGAAAACTGTAGATAAGACCCAAAGAAGAAGAATGAAAGAAAGGCTCAGTAACTGGATTCTCAACTCGCCCTCACGGAGCGGAAGGAAATGGGTGAGAAAGGGAGCTCAATGCTTCTCCAGCCCGTACTCCACGTAACTGCTGCCCCGCAGATCCGACACCCCATCCACCCGTAATGCGTTCCGCTGGCCCGCGAATCCGACCTTCTCATCCGGATACACCCCTAGCCCTGCAGTCGTTGCACTACTGGTTACATTAGTCGAAGCGGTAGTGGTACTCGCGGCGGCCCCGCGCCCCATCTGCGTGGCGACCTCGTACCGCGGCGCAGCGGCGGCGTCATGATCATCATCATCATCATCATCACCACCACCACCGGCATCGAGACCGAAGCGCTGCTGATGCTGGCGCGGCAGACTGGTCAACGGCACATCGATGAACCCTGCATCACCGGAACCGGGATCCGGCCTGGAGGAGACGGGGGCGGGCCCGCCCTCGCCGCGGGTCTTGTCCTTCTTGGCGAAGAGGATCAGGGCGCGGGTGACGCCGAAGAGGGCGTTGACGACCCAGACCAAAAGGATGAAGGCGGCGATGATGGTCTCGAGGCGCAGGCCCTTCTCGAAGGCGGCGATGAGCTTGTCGACAACCTCGGTGATCTTGTTGGAGGTCTTGTCGCCGGCCTCGGCGAGGAAGCTGTCGTTCTCCGACGAAGTGCCGTTGATGGAAGCGGCGGCGCCGCGGGAGAAGACGTCGTCCGGGAACAGGGGGAAGTCGACGTGGGCGTGGTCGTGGGCCCAGGTGAGGCCCTTCTGGACGCTGGCGACCTTCAGGCCGATCAGACAGTTGAACACCTCGAGAAGGGGGTCGTAGAGGATGGTGTCGCCGAAGGTGCCGTTCAGCACGTCGATGGTCTTGTCGACGAAGGTGTTGAGCGTGTCGTTCAGCGCGGTGGTGCTGGTGTTCACCCACCCCAGGACGTTGGTGTTGATCTGCGAGTCGACGTGCAGGATCGCCGTGTTGGTGTCGTTGGCCCACTCCGCCGAGCTGTTGGCCAGCGCCGCGACGACCTTGTCGGCGAACTGGCCCACTTCCTCGGAGAGCTCGGGCACGGTGCGTTTGACGGCCGACAGGAGCACGTACTGGCACAGGCACGAGAGGAGCCCCGCCAGCGCCAGGCACAGCACGAACAGCGCCGCCGGCGTCGTCGCGTACGCGATCGCCCACCGCACCAGGATCTGCGCGCGGCTGTTGCTGAACCGGCTGGCCGCTTTGATCCCCGCCGCCGCCGTGTACGGCCGCGACACGATGTACACCACGTCCATCGGGTCGTGGGCCTCCTTGCGCACCAGCTGCGAGCGTTCCTTCATGTGCCGCCAGCGCCGGATCTCCTGCCACGCCATGGGCACGCAGGCCAGGATGGCGGCGATGACGAGGATGGCGATGAAGATCTTCCGCGCCGTGAGCGCGGCGTCGGTGGCGCCCTCGAAGAAGGAGTTGATGCCGTCGTTCGCGTCGCAGAAGGTGAGTTTCTTCTTCGCCGGCACGGAGAGCGCCGACGCGTTGAAGCTGTAGTTCCCGAGGGAGCCGTTGACCAGCTTCTTGACTTCCTCGAACGGGAAGCGAAGCACGTTCTCGGTGAAGTTGCTGACTTCGTCGAAGCTGGGGATCGAGCTGTTGAGTTTATCGAGACTAGCGTCGATGGACGAGGGGAGGTGGGCATTTTCGAGGGTGTTGATAGACTCGGTGAGATTCAGAGTTGGGATGCTGGTGCCTAGTGCGCTGAGCACGGTGTTGACCTTTTCGAGGAAGCTGTTCAGCGTGTCTTCGAACGTGTCGACGGTCTTGCCGATGTCCTCGCCGACGGTCTTGATTGTTGAGTTGAGGAAATCGGCGGCGTCTTCCAGGACGCTGACTCCGATCTCGACGGCGCCTCGCACGACCAGCGTGAACAGGCAGAGATAGGTCTGATACATGACCTTGATGAAGAAGATGACCAGCTCTTCCACGGCCGTTAGCGACAGCGTCAGCACGCTTTCCAGCCCGTCGATTGCTGCATTGACCGTCTTCACTGCCACCTCATTGACGCCCTGTGCTAGATAGTGCGGCATGGAGGCCATCGTGCTGCCCATGGTTTCCACGGAGGTACATGCCGACAGTGCTTCGCTCTTGGCCTTGGCCATGTCGCTCTGTATGCTCGATACGGCCATTAGGACTCTTACCAGGACCAAGAGCAGCAAGATGGTCCATCGGTTGATCCATGACTGTGACAAGCGGGCTCGTAGACCCAGGTAGGGTGTGATGCCGTCCGGGTGAAGTGGGATAATCCGACCAGAGCCCCCACTAGGATCATGGGCGCCGTAAGGTGGCAGTAGGGGAAAAATGTTTCGTGCAGGTCCGAAAATCCCCATGATGGCGATTGACTGGGAGTCTCGCCGAGAGTGCAGACACAGAGGATGATTGCCAATGAAATTACAAGCAGATTTGGTATTTGTCAAAGGGAATGAAAATGATAGAGAACAGTAAGAGTAAGATAGTCCTGATCCAGCAGTGAATTATCTCAGAAGCACGCAAGCAAGTCTATGATGCAGTGTCTAGTATGTCGGGATGAAGGTTAAACAAAGGGAATTATCGAATCATATAACGGACCAAGAGAGCGCAGTGTCAATAGAAGAAAGGGATTAACACAAGAAAAAGTCCATCATTCAAGAGAGTGCAAAACAATGGAGATCCAAACAGGGGGGGGCCAGGCGGGCAGTCATTGTATAATATATGGGTCTTCTCTTTCCACCAGGACAGCTCTGCGGGATAAACACATTCCAGGCGCTGCGAAAGTGAGACAAAGATAGTAAGCCATGATTGTTTGGGGCTCCATCGCCGCGCCAAAGGAGGCTACCACTCAGGACAGCGGTGCGGAGCTCGCAACAAAGACTAGAGTCCCGACGGGGATGGGCAGCTGATTTCGAAAGATCTGCCGTTCTTTCTTTAGGTAGCTTGGTTTCATCTGGCGCAGAGATTGTTCCCGTGCAGACAGGCAGATAGACTAGGTGATCTGATGGGTTTCTGCAGCAAGGGCCCGGCCGAAGATAGCAACGGCGCTTAACGCTTCAGCCCAGCGCAACCGCTCTGAGCCACTCATTTCGATCAGTCCTGCAGGATAATCAACCTGGAGCCCCACAGCGATCGAAAGACTAAATTAGCCATAGTATTTTGTTTATGGTCTTTTTCATCTGGGGTTGTTTGGTGTTGTTGAACCGCGACGGCGCTTCCTAGTCCGTGGTGTTGTAGGCAGCAGGTAACGGGGGTTTCTGTCCGTTGACTATTCCTGGAGACAGTTGAAAGTAGAAACTGAGTACTTTGAGACTGAGTACTCAGGTATTGACAAGTGTTTTGGTCATTGACTCAGATGATGGTATATGTCTTCGCTTTTCGTCAAAGTGTAGGTGGTTGTCTGAAACCGGAAGTCAACCTGCGACAGAAACAGAGACAGGACTGGCGGCACGTGATGGCCAACTCTTCACTTCGTGCTTCAAACTGCATCAGGAGTCTGTCTTCCTTCATATTGCTATTAGACTCGATGTTTACTTACGAAAGTTGTGCTCGATCTGCTAGAAGGTAAACCATGGAGTCAAGGACTCATCTTGCTATATCCAGGGAAATAACTATTACCACGCTATATGCTTCGATATAAACAAGCTGAGCTTGCATCGAGTACATCATCTTTTCTAGACATGTTCCGAACTAAGACGGTGAACGAATACTGGGAGTGCTCATACCTTAGCTTGGGACTCTCGTGGACACAACCAAGCTGTAATCTCGCAGCGCATGCCAGTATCTCACAGTGTAGTGAAGAACGAACACAGGATGGCGGCGCTCATAACAGCCCCGTAAGAGAGACCCGCATGTTGCTGCGGTGAATAACTGTAATAGGTTCCTGAGCAACACTTCTGTATGGCGTCCCTCTTTCTCTCGTGCTTCAGTCCATCAAACCTGTCGGTCACCCAGCCACCAAGAACAAGTACAAGTATGTCGAACTGTCCATTTGTGGTATGGGCTGAAGCACCACTACCAGTATACCAGCACACTTGCATCTACCAGACAGATTAGCACTGACAAAGGACAGAAGTCAAAAGCAGAACAATAAGAAAGAAAGTCTCACTAAGCAGCTCGTGCATCTAACTAGCTTCACCCCTCCTTGTCCTTACAGATCGTGCAGACCCAATGTGATATCAAGATGGCCAAGAGTCCTCGAGGCAACAACCAAAGAGCAGTGGCAGCCACAGACTCCGGCGAGAAGGCCGGATCGTCCAGCTTCCTGGCCGAGCTGAACGAAGCACTGGGAAGCCGGCCAGTTAGTTGGTTACAGGCTGTGGAGACTCTGAGCCAGAATCCATCAACGAAACCTCCAGGTCACGGGATCACCAAGTCGATCGAACAGACAACCATTCACCACAACACAGATCAGAAAGATAACAACACAGTGGAACGTGACGAAAGCAACACCGCCTTTGATAACGATATCTCTCAAGTCGAAAGCTGTGGTGCCAGTGAGTTATTCCTCTACACAACCATCACTTCCACCTCCCCCATCGCCCCATCCCTCCCTCACCTTAACCTTCATCTATGCATACTCGATAAGATGGGTCGTCCAGCCAAGCTAATGGAGTCTATTGGGCAACCTACAGGCAGTTCAGAAGATGTCCCAGTAGACAAGAGATCTCGCACTGAGGCAATCGACTTGCTCCGCGCGAGAACAGCCACTCGTTCGACTCCCACTTCAAGCCCGACCCCGACGCAGACTCCATCTACACCCGTTGTACCGGTGCTTGATACCACACCAGCCAGCCAAGTTCCTTCATATCCTCTCCCTTCTATCTCCTCTTCATCTGAGACCCAAGTTCATGAGCAGCCAGTCAGCTCGTCTGTTTCATCATCTCCCAAGATCCTACCTTCTGAGCAGGGCTCTCCTGTTGCATTGTCTCCCAAAGCTCTACCATCCGAGCAGCCAGCGATCTCACCTCTCTCTTCAGGATCTGAGGGAAAACCTTCTGATCAGATACCAAGTCCGCCTGTCTCATCGTCTCCCAAGAAACAACCTTTTGCGGAGTCTCTGAGCTCGCTCGCTCCTGCAGCGTCTGTGGGTATATCCAGTGAGCAGCCAGTGAGGTCGCCTGCCGCATCATCAGAGGATAAGGAGTCTGGGCAGCCTTTGGACCTGTCTGCTCCCATAACAACGGAGGGTATATCTTCTGAGGCGCCAGTGGCCACCCCTATCCCTTCAACAGCTGAGAACAAACACTCGAGCTCGCCAGCCCGTTCATCTTCATCTGAGGTTCAGACATCGGAGCAGACATTGAGCTCACCTGTTCTTTCGAAACCCGAAGACAACAAGCCTTCTGAACAAACTTTGAGCTCAGATGTTCCTTCAAACCACGAAGACAATTCTGAAGAGGAGTTGAGCTCACCTGGCCCTTCGAAATCTGAAGAGAAACCAGCCGACTCGACCATCTCTTCGACATCTGAAACCAACGCCTCTGGACAGCCACAAAGCTCTTCTGTTCCTTTGAAATCCGAAGACAACCCTTCCGAACAACCACTCGACCCAACCAACCCCACCTCCGAAAAGCCATCGAGCTCACCTGTTCTCACAACCAAAGACAAGCCTTCTGAGCACCCACAACCACAAAGCTCACCTCTCCCAACCTCATCGTTCCCCCCTCAGCCATCAGAGCAAGAACAGAGCCCATCTCACAACCAACCCCACCCAAACCCACCCACCCCAGTGATGGAGCCTGCGAAGCTATCCAAGAAGGCCAAGAAGAACAAGGCGAAGAAGAACAGAAGAAAAGCCAACCGTGCAGCAGCAGCAGGCGGCAGCGGCGGCGGTGGTGGTGGTAGTGGAGCGGGCACAGGAGCTGTCGAGTCCAGCAACCTGTCCACCAGCGGACAGAGCGAGGTCTCCGACGCGAAGACCGCCCCGGCCAAGTCTGCCAACGAGCCATTGATGAAAGAAGCAGAGACCAAGGGCATCGGCGGCGGCAGCAGCAGCCACGAGGCCAAAGAATCGGCGGCGATCTTGAACAAACTGCCTGAGCTCGCCAGCAACACGAGCAAACTCAACAAGTCGGACGTCAAGTTGGCTGCCGCTACTGCTGCGGCTTTCCGGGATAGAGGTAGTGGAAGAAACCCCAGAGCTAGTCCGGATACTATTGCTGCTGTTGCTGGTCCTCAGGACAAAGGTGGCGATAAGAGCACCCGCAAACACGATCCAGAGACGGCAGCCAAGATCGTAGCCATCCAGGCGGCCATCGACCGACTGAACGCCCTCAACAGGAACCCGTCTGAGTTCATCGAGCCGATAGAGGGGCTGCTGAGGATCGAGCCTTCGGCCGGTTGGCAGTCGTACGCGGGTGCCTTGTCGGCCAATGCGAGAATCGCGAACTTTACAGTGATACCCTGCCGGGGCCGGCCTGGGGCTGCAAGGTCCGAGGTACCTCCCGAGAATGCCGGAGATGAGTCGACTCTCACGAAGGCCTCCGACATAAGATCCGGTTCTCCACCGCCGTATTCGAGGGATCCTGAGCCAAGCACGCCTCAGGGCAACACCGTTACCACTCGAGCCCAGCTCACCCCCATCCAGGAAGCCACCGCCGAAGGCCAGAAGAAAGTCAAAGCGGGTGATGGCGATAATGATAAATCCGGCACTGAGGCAGGAGGAGGAACAGAAGGAGGTGACGCGCACGATCTGACCCCAAAGTCCACCAGCACGACCTCCACCGCATGGACAACCAGCCAGCAGGCTCTTCAGACCACGCCCCAGACCGCCGTGACCTCTGCGCCATCCACCAAGACAAACACAACCGGCACCACCCAGCATAAGGCCAGGGGAAACAATACTACCACCACCAACACGCAGTCCAGCGCCATCAAACCAACCCTCCCACCACCATCCCACCCCCACGTCGCGAGTAGCAGCCACGCGCACCCCTCTCCACCTCCACCGACCAGCACATCCCCACTCAGCACCACCGCGAGCACAACCACCACGACCACCACCCATTACCAACAAATCTCCAACGTCCGAGGCGGCACGCTCTCCAGCCAAAAGCCCGAGGGCTTCTTCTGGCAACTCGACAGCCACGGGTTCCCCTGCGGGCTGCGCCACTGCCCGAAGCGCTGCAACTCCTGGGACGGGGTCACGGTGATCTGCCCGGGGTGCGGCCCCTTCTCGGAGACCCGCTACTGCAGCCGCGACCACCTGCTCCAGGACATCAAGACGCACTGGCCCGTGTGCGGCGACCAGGTCTTCGTGCACCCGTGCCGCGAGAGCACGATCCCGCGCGAGGTGCGCGAGGGCCCGCCCCTGATCCCCTGCCTGCACAACTACGACATGCCCGAGCGCCACCGCCAGGCGGTGTACTTCCGCATGAACGCGCGCCAGGGCGACTACTTCATCTTCGCCGACTGGGCCGACTACGTGCGCGCCGGGTTCCCCGAGAACACGACCACCGTGCGCTGCGCCAAGCGCGTGGTGTACACCGTGCGCTTCGAGGATCCTGAGGAGAAGGATCGGTTCCGGCGCGTGCTGGCGATTTGTTTGTTTGGTATGTGATTTGAGACGAAAGTTTTCCCTAGAGTCGAGTCGTTAAAAACAGTGGGTTGGGTGAAAGTAAAATCGGGGCTGACTTCTTCCTACTAGCGACGGTTGAGGTTCATGCGCTGGTGGACTACATGTACCGCCTCATTCGGGATCACCTCCGCGCCGCGAACGCAGCCAAGCAGCTCGAGGCCGCGCTACGCTACCAGATCCATGCGGAGACAGGCGTGTCCATCCAGCAGTACATCACCGGCGAGCGCCACGCTTGTGCCACGGATTGGGACGGCCGCAACCGCCGCAACTGTCCGGATCAGGTGTGTCGGTCCGAGTATCGTCGCCTCCTGGGTTCCTTGGGCGGAGGCGGTCTACGTGAGGTGGTGAGGAACATGGAATCGACTTACTGGATTCTCCGCGCAGCCAGAACCACTCATCCGACAGTCAAAGACCCGAAGAAGCGCATGCTTGGTGAGGGCTTCGAGGGGGTGGCGGAGGAGGATCAGAGGGTCTATCGACGTGGTGATGGCTGGGACGGCGCCGGCACCGGCAACATGGAGATCGAAGGTATGAATGAGGGTCCTGAAGAAACATGATTGACATTCATGTCTGCCTGTTTCGAATCCCGGCTTCAAGTCTCTGTGTTGTCCTGTTGTCGGACTTCCTGGTGCGTGCTGTTGCAGTTGACGGTGTTGACTTTTTTTCATCTATGTTTGCTCTGGGTCAATTTAAGGCAAGGTAAGCCAAGTATCAAGCGGAGGTTACTTTTCACTTGTTAGTGCTCCGGCAGGATGGAGATAATGTCATGTAAACACAAAAATTGCAAATTGCAAATCTATTCAATTTTGCTCAGTCCAGCCTCCGACACATGAAGTCTATATTATCGTAAATCCGTTGTTGAAACCAGTGATTACCAAACATCGATACACATCCACCCATTCAAGAGTCGTGCAGTCTAAGTTACTGCTTGATGTACTTCTTCAGGCCACGTAGTCTCTCTTTAGCCGTTTCGAGCACATCGTCATTCTTGCAAACGGCAAAGCGGAGGTAATCCTCAGCGATGTGGGCATTGGCATCCGTGTAGAACTCGGTGGGAGGAATAGCTGCAACTCCGACCTCGTGGATGAGGAACCAGCAAAGCTTGAAGTCGCGAGGACGGCTGGCCACATGAGGAGGGAATGGGTAATCCTCAGGCAACTTCACAGAGGCCATGTTCGCAAGGACGAAGTATCCGCCCTCAGGATCCGAGTACTATATAACTCAGTTGGTAGAATTCTTAGATGATGCACGACATGTCACTTACCGGAATGTTGAGTTCGTCGAAGACCTGGCAGAAACGCTCCATCTTTCCCTTCATCTCCTTCCTACTCTCGTCCCAAAAGCCGACCTTGTCTGCCTGCTCGAACGCCACCGCGGCAGCTTCTTGGAGAGGCGAAACACTGCTATAACAGATACGAGTGTGGGCGCCGGAGACATACTTGATCAGGTGCTCGGGTCCGATGAGGTAACCCACACGCCAACCGGTGGCATAGAAAGCCTTACCAGCCGAGCCCACGGTGAGGGTGCGCTCATAGAGCTCCGGAGACAACGTAGCAATGCGGGTGAAGGGAACGTAGTAGAGACGGTCGTAGACTTCGTCGGATAGAATGATCAGGTTGTGTTTCACACAAAGCTCACCAATGCGCTCGAGTTCGGCGCGGGAAAAGACCTTGCCAACGGGGTTGTGACTGGTGAGGTTAGGCTTGGTTCAGTCCATACCATACCAAGATGGATGCGAGCACTTACGGCGAGTTCAAAACCTAGCGATCTACAGTCAGTTGAGTACATTGACGGAAGTGTCCAAGTGCCTTACAATCATCTTCGTCTTCGAGTTGATCGTGTTCTCCAGCTCCTGGAAGTCAATGGACCATTCTGCCGCGGAGGAAGTGCGTGTAGCGCCATCCTTGGGCGGGTGAAGCGGGACGTAGCGGATTGTACCACCGGGCATTTCGATGTTGCTGATGTATCTTTGGACGGCGTCAGGCGGGTAGCAGAGGAGAAAGACCGTGCAACCTACTGGTCGAAGAATGGCTCGAAGACGATAACCTCGTCGCCGGGCTCGATAAATCCCATGAAAGCGCTCAGCATGCCTTGTATTCGGTCAGCTGTGCGTGGTTCCTCGCTTATTCCAGGCGATCCCACCTTCATTAGCCCCCGTCGTAACGACAACCTCGGTGTCCGGGTTGATGGTGCGGCCAAACGAGGGGGAGTAGGCATCCGCCAGGGCTTGCTTGAGACGAGGACGACCCTGAAGACGTGTGAGTGTATGCGACAATGCGCTGTGGTTCCTTGGGTGTAGGAATGTACCTTGGTCGGAGAGTATTGGTTGCATTCGACGCGGTCGAGAGCTTCCTTAGCAGCATCGAGAGCAAACTTGGGAGGGTTGTAGCCACTGAAAAGAAAGCGTCATTAGTTGTCTACTCCGGGGGCTTTCGAAGCTAGTCGGGTACTCACAAGAAGCCCTGGCCCATGTTCACGATGGGCTGAACGGGAGAAGCGGCAGCAGCCTCATTGACAATGGACCTGCGCGCCCGTCAGCAATTCAGGCCGCAGCACAACAGGTTTTAGTTATGCTTCGTACCAAACATCCTGTTTCTGACCAGCGACCCTCTTGGCCGGGCGAAATGGGTCGGGGCGAGCCGCAGTGGCCGACATTGGACGTGTGCAAGCTGGATAGCGGGGGAGTGCGGAGGTGAAGGCAGAAGTGCGCAGCGAAGATGCGGAGGGCTGAACCTGAAGAGCTGTAGTGGAGGCAAAGAGACGTGAACCACGGAACATAGAGGCAGTCAGGAGTGAAGCAAGCGAAAGAGGAGAGGAAGAGAAGAGAAAACGAGACGGGACTGCGGCAGAAGAGGGAGAAGAGTCCGGGGATGGAAAGCGATGGTGGGGAAACTCAAGCTTTCCGCTTTGGGTCGAACCGGAAGTTATTGCGTGCTTGGCCTTGGCAATGAGTACCTGATAAGAGAAATCTATCCTGTAGACGTGCTACAGCAGCATCATGGAGGTGTCAATTGTCTTGATTTCATGGAAACAATCGCGTTGAGGCGAGGATAAATCTTGTTGACAGTGTCGCACAGGAATTCCTGGCCAACCTTAGGCATTCCGGCATTCAGGCATTCAGGCACCCAGCGTCACATGTGTCATCGGAGATTGACAGGATTAGTCAGCCACTGGCTCTTATCGCCGCCTGTGGCCGACGCGTGGGGAACGCGTTAAGCATCTTCTCAAATGGCCTCAACGGTAGTCGACTCTATCCCCGATAGCTGGTCTATCAGATAGCGCGCTACCAGTCCAATTCACTGAATTATCAAATTGCTCGTCAAAATGGTATCGTGTCCCATCTGCAGCAAGTCCGTCCCCAGCTTGAAAATCAACGACCACATCGATTCCGATTGTCAGAACTTTATCGACGAGCCAAGTTCCAGCGCAGAAACCCCCTCCTCGCAAAAAGCCCCAGTCCCGACCTTTTTTCAGCCAGCGTCTGCCCGGAAGGCTTCTACCCAGAGCAATGGATCACGAGAGCCCATTACGGACTCCTCCCCGCTGCGCAATGTCAACGGCAAGCGGACGGCCTCGCTAGCGGCCGAGGTCGCCGTTGAGACAACCCATCAACTACAAAGCAATGACCTACCGTCGGAGCCCAAGCGTCCCAAGATGAACGCTTTCCAGAAAGCAGCCCCGCTGCCGGAGCGTATGCGCCCGCGGACACTGGACGAGGTCTGCGGACAGGAACTGGTGGGCCCGACGGGGGTGCTGCGGGGGCTGATTGAGCAGGATCGCGTGCCCAGCATGGTCCTCTGGGGAGGGCCTGGCACAGGCAAGACGACCATCGCGCGAGTCATTGCGTCCATGGTGGGGAGTCGCTTCGTGGAGATCAACAGTACCAGCAGCGGGGTTGCGGAGTGCAAGAAGATCTTTGCGGAGGCCCGAAGTGAGCTTGGTCTGACCGGCCGAAAGACCATCATCTTCTGCGATGAGATCCACCGCTTCTCCAAGTCGCAGCAGGATGTCTTCTTGGGACCGGTGGAAAGTGGCCAAGTGACGCTCATCGGTGCCACCACCGAAAACCCCTCGTTCAAAGTGCAGAGCGCATTGCTATCTCGATGCCGCACATTTACGCTCTCCAAGCTCACGGATGAGGACATCAGATCGATTCTGCAGCGGGCGCTTCGCGTGGAAGGACCCAGCTACTCGCCTACTGAGCTAGTGGATGATGAATTGATTGATTATCTGGCACGATTCTCCGACGGCGATGCGCGAACATCCCTCAATCTCCTGGAGCTCGCGATGGATTTATCCAAGCGTGCAGGGATCACCAAGGACGAGATCAAACGAGCGCTGACGAAGACGCTGGTGTATGACCGTGCGGGCGACCAGCACTACGATACCATCTCTGCATTCCACAAATCCATCCGAGGAAGCGATCCGGATGCGGCGCTCTACTATCTTGCGCGAATGATTCAGTCGGGCGAAGACCCTCTCTACATCGCGCGACGGTTGATTGTGGTGGCATCGGAGGATATCGGGCTGGCCGACAATAGCATGCTCACGCTCGCGATTTCTACTCACGCGGCCGTGGAGCGAATCGGGCTCCCGGAGGCACGGATCAATCTGGCACACGCGACGGTGGCAATGGCGCTGTCGAAGAAGAGCACGCGATCATATCGGGGCCTCAACAATGCTTTTGCGGCCCTGGCAGAACCCGGAGTCGCTGGGCTGCCGATTCCGATTCATCTGCGGAATGCCCCGACGCGGTTGATGAAGGAGCTCGGGTATGGGAAGGAGTACAAGTACAATCCCAATTATGCGGATGGGGAAGTGGTACAGGAGTATTTGCCGGAGCCGATTCAGGGGCGCAAATTCTTGGAGGAGCTGGACTTGGGGACTCAGGTCGATCCCGATCTGATGCGGTGAGATGCATCCTGCTGCTGAGGAGAGTGCCATTGAACATCTCCTACCTCAGATGTGTACAATCCCCGCATAATATAGACCAGGGCATATAGGAAGCAATTGCATTACGAATTGATGACCCAAAACTGAAGCTGCAGCCCAAATCTAAGCCCTGGACAAACAGTTGTAAATGTGTATAGCATAGCAAGTCGACCGGGCAATCTAATGTTTGTTCCCGTCTTGGCTGCGCTGCGCGTCTCCCTCGCCCGCGCGTTTTCTCCACCACTTCCGACACTCTCATTCATTCTTGCGGCCTGATTCTCCTGACCACCTCAACACCCTCACCTCACATCACATCACATCACATCACATCCTAATCAACAAATCCCTACAGAAACGACACCATACCGTGAATCCCCAATAATTACACGGGCAATGAAGCTCAACCACCTCGCCTGAACCAACGCCCTCCCGTTCAAACCAAACCACACCACCACCACCACCACACCACCCACGGGGTGCCTCACAACAACCAGAAAATGGCCTCCTCCAGCCAACCCTTCGGCTCGCGCTCCTACGCCGCCGGCAAACTGCCCGACCGGTCCCTCAACGCCGCCAACGCCCTCCCCTTCAGCGCGTCCGCCTTCTCGCGCCACCGCGGCCTCGCCGGGGGCGGCGGCGGCGGTGGCAGCAGCATCCCCAACGCCGGCGGCGTAGGCGCAGGCCTCGGCGCAGGGGACTTCAGCAACGACCCGAGCAGCAACAAGACGAACCACCCGCAAGCGCAGCACAGCCATATGGCCGGAGGAGCGCCGGCGCCGCCGCTGCACGGCCAAGACACGAACCCGCTGAGTCGATTAACGGAGGAACAGCGGGAGGAGATCAATGAAGCGGTACGCCCTCCCAAACCACAACAACCCTTCCCCCTAACCGCAGTCAAGCTGTCCCCCTAAACCACACCCCCACCCCCGAATCTCCAACCTAAGCTAACGATCCTACCAAAAGTTCACCCTCTTCGACCTCGACCGCGACCGCCACCTCGACTACCACGAACTCCGCGTCGCCTTCCGAGCCTTAGGCTTCTCGCTGCCAAAACAAGAACTCATCTCCCTCCTCACGACCTACGGCGTGCCGCGGCCCCAAGTCCAGCAACAGCAGCAACAAGCCGCCCAAGCGACCGCCAACCAATCCCAACCGCCGCAAAACCCGCCGCAACCCCTCCAGAAATCCACCGCCAACAACCCCCAACACCCGTCCAACCTCCTCATGCCCCTCAGCGCCTTCCAGGCGGTCACCGCGCTCAAGATCCTGGAGCGCGATCCGCGCGACGAGATCCTGCGGGCCTTCGAGCTGTTCGACGAGGGCGGGAAGGGGTACATCGATCTGGAGGATCTGCGGCGCGTGGCGCGCGAGCTGGGCGAGACCGGGCTCGAGGAGGAGGAGCTGCGCGCCATGATCGAGGAGTTTGATTTGGAGGGGGTCGGGGGTGTGACGAAGGAGGCGTTTGTGAGTATTTGTTGGCAGTAGGGGTATAAGAGTACAAATTCTTGGGGGCGGGGGGGCGGGGGGGCGGGGGGCGGGGGTGGTTGGTGACTAGGGGGTGGTTTTGGGAAAGGGAAGGAGAAGTGTTGGGTTTAGGATATCGAGGCCAGGGTTGCATGGTTGGGTTTGAGAGGCTTCATGCTTGTTGGGATCATGGTCTGGGTTAAGGCTATAGGCGTGGACTCACCTCTTGGGTGTCGTAGGGCTGTGGGAACTATACAGCGGTATAGTTTGGTTATGTGGTCCCAGCTCCGAAAAGCGGACCGACGTCTGGTTTTTTTTTTTTTTTTTCTTTGTTTATCATTTTGGGCATTGGGCGGGCGCCGATTGTTTATCCTCGCTTGTCTTATCATGTACTCTTATTGCTTTTCACTTGGCTAGTTGTCGAAAAGATATCCATCTCAAGCTGCATGAATGTGTCGAACTGAAGCTTAGGCTTACATCCTACAATGGTATACAAGCTGTGGCAAGCAACACAATAGTCTAATATAGAAATCGTGAATAGTAACCGGTAGTCTAGCGAGATTTAGAAAGCAACATCTTTATTCACGAACCTGACTGTACAATGCGGTCAGAAATGACCAATATGATACCCAGCACATAAAATGCACCCCCAATAGAAAATCGAATAGCCACACATCCAAAGACAAACACCTAACACCACCTTAATCCAATAAGAAAAGAAGCAGGTGTCACAAATATGAGTCTACAATGCTCATCATGCAGCGCTCGTGTAAATGCACGTTCTACGTGCGTGGTAGAAAGAAAACAAAATCATGCATAGCGCCCTTGGGGCGGATATTGCGGGTATTGCGGTCCGGCTGGTCCAGGTCCGGGGTACGGCGGCGGCGGCGAGGACAAGCCCTGGTATCCCTGAGCTGGAGCATTGTTCGGCCATTGATTCATGGGCGGAGACGAAGCCATCGGCCCGTTCCAGGGCCCGTAGGGAGGTCGGGGTGCAGGTCGAGCCATGGGGCGTGGTTGGCGACAGCGACGAACCAAGCAGGAAAGCAGACCAAGAAGCAACAGGCCTCCCACTGCACAGGCAACCCCAATCACGATGGCCTTGTGGTCGTTGATCCAGGATTTGACATTTTGTCCCTTGCAGTCTCCGTTGCTGCAGTGGCCGCCACTACCACAGGGAGTTCCATCCAGGAAGTTCTGGTTGAAACCCACGCATTGGCCAGCAAATGAGATTGAGTTGGAACTGCAGATCAGCTCGCACGAGGAGCTATATGCTGAGCAAGCATACGTGTTATTCTCGTGTAGGACGCTGCCCATCACACTGCGGCATTGATAGTCGCGGCTGGTGCATTGGCCACTGGCACACTTCAGGCCAGATCCGCTACTACCACAACTGGTGCCATCATCTTTGTACGAGTCCGAAGGGCATGAGCTGGAGTTGCCGCTGCACGTCTCGGCCAGATCACATTCGCTCCGGCTGGCCCGGCAAACCGTGCCCGCAGAAGCATATTGGCATGATGAGCAGCAGCTGTCGTTCGAATCATCACATACGGATCCCGACGTGAACTTGCATGTAGTGGGATTGCAGCACTTGTTGTCGCCGCAGCCAGCTTCGCCACCGCAATCACAGTCCTCGCCCTCCTCGACGATTCCGTTCCCGCACTGGCTACCTGTATAGGTAGTGACGCCGCGGTTCGCCGAGAGACAGCTCGACTTGACACTGTTACGGCCAATGGCGGAGCAGATATTCCCGATCGTGCACTCGGAAAACGAGCTAATGTCAGTCCCCGTCGTGGGGTTCATGATATACTTGCCGCTCGCATCACATGTCTTAGACGTCAACGGGCAGCATTGCGACGAGGACTCCAGGTTTTGCGAACAAGTGTCAGAATCGCAATCGTGCACTGCACCGAATGTGTGGCCGGTCTCGTGGGCGAAAATCTGCCAGCCACCGCCAGAAGAGCGGACGACGACATTGGCACCACTGACGGAGTTGTCGCCGCTGGTAGTCACATCCGCATTGCACAGCTGGCCCAACCAAGACACGCCGACTTCGCTGCCGGTCGGACAATCGCTGAAGAGAGTCCAATACGCGTTGGAGTCACTATGCTGGCCGCGCCACTCGGAGAACAGATTCAGACGGGAGGTGAGGTTACCGCTCGAACAGGGCATATTCCAAGCAGTAGCCGCGGGTGGGTTCTCGGGGCAAGAACTCTCTGAGATGGTCAAATTCCGCAGGCCAATCGAGACATTGAAAGACTTCTCGTAAACGCTGGAAGCACTGTTGACCGTACTGATCACCCATTGCTTCGCCGCAGTCTCATTCTTGAAGGAGCCGGTGAATGAGCAGTCCGTAGCAACTCCGATCAAGGCCACTTGCTTTGTGTTGGGGCAGCCCGAAGTGTCGCCAATGGTCGACGCTAAATTCACAGTCCCTGAGTTTCCCGAGACGCTGCCGGTATCCGACTGCCGCTTGCTCAGTCCGAATAAAGAATTCATCGGCATGACTCCCCAGCGATCTGAAGCCAGATCCATCTGATAGGATGAGAGAACCGGGTGATTTGGATCGACGTTGAAGTCCAACTGATCAGCTTGACAGGATGTTGACCCCAGCATCGATCGCTTCAGCTCTGTATGGACGCGATACATGTCCGAGTCGCGGTAGACGACCATATATTCGCCCTTGGTGTCGACAATATCGGCATCCTGCTTGCGTTTCTTCTGGAGGTAGGTCGACTTCAATTCGACGTGGTGATTATCCCCATGCACACTGAAGACGCCTTCGAAAAGGGGCTGGTCACCGTCATGCTTGAGATACACTCTCGCCGATCCGACTGGATCCCACATGCCTTGCCCCCGACCGATTAGACTCCGTCCCTTGAAGACTTTGTGATCTTGTCGTGAAATCGGTTCCGCTCGTCGAACATTCCCATCGGCATCGAGGTATTGTACATATGCATCGTCCGCCAGGATGTCATGATTCGGCTCCAATTCGAGCTTAACTCGCTGATTTTTGTCACGAAGACTGAAGGTAATGTCAAAGTGTGTCAGATGGTCAACCCGATGCGAGGGCGTCTGAATCGTCGGGTGGTCTAACGTCGAGATTTGTTGAATGGTGTTGGGTGATTGCGATCGGGCTGCGTTGACATCTCAGCTAAATTGACACAAAGCGCCACGGGGATAGAACGAACCTTGCACATCCCAAGCAAAAAGGGATATTGCGCTTGCAATCAACGGGAGGGAGTACGAAAAGACCCTCATGGTCGCCAACGACTGGACTTCACGACCAGCAAAACGAGCGGAAGGTGGAATGTAAACGAATGATTTGCAAAACAACAACAGCTGACAGCAGCGGTAAGGAGAAGATGGAAGTCAGATCTAATTCCCCCGGAGTCTTTCTAAGCAGAACATCAGGCAGCCGCCAAGCGTGAGACAATGGTTTGGAAGATCACTGCGACCCGTTATTAAAGATGGGGGGGGGCGGGTTTCAAATCCACTCCTGTATCTATGCCAAGGGATTAATTTGGATAATTGAGTGAAGAGACAGCACAATTTCTTGCTTGCTTGGTTGGCAGACAATGGGGAGATGAAGCCGCCTGCAGCCAGTGCACAACGAACGGATAAGGGTCTGATATGGTCTGTTGCAAGACCCTGTGGCGGGAGAAAGACGATCAGGTTCTTTCTCTCACCTTCACACAGGCCGAGGGAGTCTCTCTTGGCCCGCAGAGGCGCAGCAGCCTTGGCGGGGAAAAGCGCAGGAGGAACAACAATAAAAACGAATGGAGGAGTTGATAGACTGAGGCGGATCCGATCGGATAGAGATCCCCAGACCTTCAAGCACTGGCAACAGGCTTGACGAATGTCAACAGAAAAAAAACAACAAACAGAGAGGGTGAGGAATGATGAAGAATGAAAGAATGGAAGACTGACAGGCGGAAAGAAGATGACTTTGTTGTTGTGGCCGACCACGCCAAGCCCCCGCCGGGCCCCCTTCTTTCACTACTTGGACTACAGGGTAAGCGCCGGAGGCTGCATTGACACTTTCATCCATCTCTTATCATTCTCTCTTTCTATGCTACAGTATCAACTTCCTGCTCTGTCTCTTGGCTGGAAACCTCATCGGCAGTCCCTGCAAACGCTACACAAAAACGCTTGCAAAATGTTGAATCATACCTACGAATCAATGCACACATGATGACATCGTCTCCATGGCAATGCGTCACTTCCTGATGTTTAACTCCGAGACCCCAGGGAATATCAATCCGGAGCTGCGTGGTATAGAACATGCGCCTCTCGCGCGAAATGAGGAATCGAGGCACCACAGATCTCACAGGCTATGCAGAGCATGCCCTCTTCCTCATCGCTCTCCTCCCACGCCACATCTACCACAAGATGATCTACATCATTGCGCGGTTCTCCAGTCATAGGCCTGGCCTCAGGGCGAAACTCCGCCATGGTTTCCTTTGTCTCTGAACTGGGTAGGTCTGCATCTTGTGTATAAGGGAAATTTTTAGTCCCTGTGCTTTGAGTCTGGAACATCTTTCCAATATCGCGTCCGCTGCTCTGTTTCCTGTCGCCGGCCCCTTCAACCATATTCGTCACCGCAACATTCATCAATTGAAGGTCCCAGCCTGATTTCTCCGGGTGCAGTTTGCGAAACATGGATAACAGGGAATCATGCACCAATCGCTCTGCCAGGGCATCAATGGCTTCATCCAAGGTAAATACATATGCAGGAAGCGGCTCAGAGCGCGAAGTCCGATGAGCCGATCGCACACCCTCCGTACCCGAATTCCGAAGTCGCGTAGACAGGCGCAGTGTCCGAGGGCGAGCCAGCCATCGGGTCGAGGACTTCTCCACGGGTTCCAAGCTGTGGACAGGTTGATCAGGCCCTGCATCTACCTCGAGGTCCTGCTCCGTCAGGTCGGTTCGCATGCGACGGAGAAGACTAGCGGTCAAAGAGACCAATTGCTTCCGAATTTCTTCCGGGGTATCCAGACGCCCATAAGTGTCCTCGATACTGATCTGGGTGGGCACATCGCCCGCCGGGATGACCGGCGAAGGATCAACACCATACAGCAAGCCCCAGACCCGCGCACCAATATCTCGGGGTGCACCTGGTCCGCCTAATATACGGTCCAGCAGGGCTGGTCCCATACCGGAACACAGCCGCACATCACGAACGGTCTTTGGCTCATCAGACTCCCTGGCAGAATCAGGAGGGTGGGCTGAGCTGGCTTGTGCGCCAGCTTTGGTAAGGTAAGCGGTGATTTTCCGGGTCAGCTTGGAGCCTAACCCGGGAATCTTCCGGATCTCATGTCCATCAAGAAAGGTCACCACATTACTCCCCAATGCGCCTGACTTCGCGTCGTACGGTGGAAGAAGGGTGGTCTGGTTGTTCGGTTTATGGGTGTTACCTACCAACTTGGCGAGTAATTTGGAGGTTGAGATCCCCACTGTGGCCGTGTAACCCAAATGGAACTCGAGTTGGCCTCGCAGGAAGCCTGCCAAGTGCGAGGCCACGAGCAGCCGCGTGTAGAGCCCTGAAACCGCCCCGGTCGAGCTTAGGTCTACAGACGTTAAATTCAGATCCGCCGGGTAAGTGGACCCGTGCACCTGGGTGGCATTGTAGGTGAAACCCACTGTGGGTTCATGCCGGTCAAGATGGAAGAACGAGTGTTCCAGATCATGGCGGTTGAGCAGGTCGACGTTGTAATCGATCATCTCGGTCACGTCCATGAACACCTATGGCCAGGTTAGCGGTGCCACCGGGGGCCCAGACGTGGTACTAAAGATAGTGCATGAACCTGTGGAGGCCCGGCCAACATACCTCATCGAAGCCGAGCCGCTCGACCTTGTCCCCCCAGACGAACGATCGCAGATAGAGGAAAAGCCGCTTGGAGGCATCGCGAAAGCGGGTCAGGTCCTCGCCCAAGACAATGACGACGTCCGGACAGACCTGTTTGGCTTCCCTGATCAGCTGGAGCTTGCGTAGCCCCCTCCGTCGTGCTTCGTAATTACAGGTTACCACAATCTGCTTCTGTTGCACGGCCAACGGCAGCGTCTTCAGCACCGGCTGCTCGACCTCAAAGACGGCGGCGTAGAAGCAGTCATAATCCTGCCGGACGAGATGCGGTTAGTCGGCCGTCGAGGTCTACATCCTACGGAAGCTCGGGCATGGACATAGGGTCAACTGACAAAGTGCAAGATGATTCGACGATCGTCTCTGGATGGAGCTATGGCCATGGACTAATCCAGGTTTTGGGGGTTGAAAGTTCGACGACGCGCAGTGAGAAAGATTGGTGGCAGGCAGCACTGTCGGCCAACCATGCGCTCGATTAATACCTAGTGTGCTGCAGCCTTCCAGTAGCGTGGTGGAGGAAACTCCATTCGCTGATAGGCCAGTACAGCAAATCCGGTTCCTAAGAATAAACAGCAGGATGCAATGAAGGAACTTATGATGGAGACAGAGGCACAATGGGCTAGTTGATATCACACCTGGCACTGCACAAGAATGAAACTTCCAAGGCTGACAGTTACAGCGAGGGATGGTCTGATTGGGTGGGGACGGAAGAGGGAGGCTGGGGGCGTGGCTGGCAGATGGAGAGGTGGCTGGTGCGTGCGCAAGTGGACCCTGGCTGACTCAGCTGGCTCTTCTCCCGTGACAGCAGCACTAACCGTGTTTGGGTCTTCCCCACAGACTAATCTGCATTCGGCCGAGCCCGCTTAGCTAAGTCGAACCAAGGGAAAGGCTGCAGGAAAGAAGACACTATGAGATACAATGACTGCACCATCATTCAATCCATCACTTGCGTATTTCCATCCATAATCCATCCTCTCTCCGCATTCTGGTCGGGACTAGAAGTCGCCAAGGTCGCCAAGAACCGTTCCAATTGGCAAAAGTGACAGGAACCAGAGTCGGAGTCACTCTGAGTCTCGTCTTTATCACTCTATCCACGCCGCTATCGCCCAGTCTCCACCCTCAAAGTGAGCCCGCCGCGTGTCGTCTACACGCCCGACTGGGCCCGGAATGGACTGGATGGGCCTGTGGGAAAAAAGAGAGAAGGGAATAAACAGAGAAAAAAAAAAGAAAAAGACTAGTCGGGTTGGCGTGGGATTGCCTATATTTAGACTCGTCGATGGCACGATAGCTGTCGCTGATAGGCCGATGCGACCTAGACGGGCTCTGCTCTGGCTGCGTCTGGACTGTGATTTAATTTCCACAGCGGCTAATCCTTTGCCATCATCGCCGCCACTCCATCTTTGGGTCGGATTCGTTTTCGGCTCTCTGTTGTTGTCCCGGGACAAGACACACTGCAGCAGCAGGATTTTAAGTGTTGAAGATGATGAAATTCGTTGTTGGGTCTCAAGAGAATATTTACAGAGTGACTGATTAGTTACGACTGCTGTCTACTGTCCATGCCAGGCAGGGTGACTACGACTAGACAGATAGATTATGGGGGATCCACAACCGATCCATCATATCATGACGAGCACGTACTGCTTGATCGCCGGTGTTCTTAAAATAGGGCCCCGTCCAAGCGCCCACCACCAGTCCAGTCGAGTTCAGTGTCCACTTGCACTTGCATTTCACTGACGGACGGACGGACTGACGGCCGATTTTGCCTCTTCTTTTCCGTCACATTATTCTTTCTGAAAATTAGGATGGATTTGGTATCTCTCATGTGTCTCCGCTCAATACAAGAAACTGAATCCAGAACAAATAACAAGACTACTCACAAGAATCCACATCATAAATAATAATAACAATTTAACAACAATAACTATCTGATCCTACCCTGCATATAGCCCATCCCCACTCAATAATATCACAGCCCAGTGGAAGTCGGTCTGCAGCGCCGCTCATCCATTCATCCACTTGCGGGGCGACGTCGCACTCCTCTGTTTTCTCCTCTTCTTCTTCATTATCCTCTTCTCACCCATTTTCTTCTTCCTCTTAACCATCCTTTCCCTCTTTCTTCTTCTTCGACCTCATTTTACATGAACCAGATCTCCTTCCTTTCATCTGCAACTCCTGCTCTTGTATCGCAGAGGGGCCCTTGTCGACCATGCTCGCAACCTCCATGACCCCGCCACAGCCGTCCTCCAACATGGCCTGCAGTTTGGCCCCAACGACTAACACCCGGTCGACCATCACCTCCCGACCGAAACTCACCCTTCAAACATCCTCCCTACCCTTGACCTTCGGTACTTCCTCCACGGGCCTGTCGCTCTCACTAGTGGCCGGCTCGACCGCATCCCCCACCGTCCGGAATACCTTCAAGAATGCCTACGACGTGACTGCGCCCGTCTCCGCCACGGCCTCCCCCTCGTCCAAGTTCCCCAGTCACCGGTTCAGCAAGCCCTCGTCACCGTACACCACCCACAACCCGTACCAACTACCCATGGGGGTGCGCAGCATCCTGCGCAACTCCCCGCTCGAGCCCAGCTGCCGTCGCCGGTCCACCTCGGTGGCTACCAACGGCACGACCGGCGCTCCCGCCACGAGGCGGGTGTTTTTCCCGGCCAAGAAGCAAGTCAGCTACCGCTACCCGTTGGAGGAGGAAATTCAAAATGTCCAATACACCGCGCGCCACTCGGATCTCCACGACGTGGAGGAAGAGCGGCCGAAACAAAGCACAAGCACAAGCACACCCAGCGAGGATTCCGATTCCACGGCAAGCAACCTATCGTCGTCATCCGACACAAACACCTCTGACGACGAACCCCCACGCACATCCCAGCACAACCTACTGTCACCCGTGGAACGGAAGAAGCGAAAACACCAAAAGGCCGAACGGCAGGTCCGCGCGGTCGCCTTGCGAGAGAAGCTGGGGGACATGACGCCACAGACGCCGGTGCGCAAACGCGCCAAGCGGCGCTGCGAATGGCGCTGGACGTTAGGCCCGTTGGAGAACCGGGACAGTCCACTGCCTCCTCCCATTCCAGAGGAGCCGGCAGCATGCGCAGCCGCGTTGTCCTCGGGATCCGACTCCAGCCCTTCCGACCGGGGCTCCCAACCATCGTCGACAGAGTCATCCCCGTTGCTGAGTGCGACGCCCTCGCACGCCCAATCCAGTCCCAGTTCGTCAGTCGCATTTGAGCTGGAAGGCACCGACGAGTCCATGAAGATCACGACTCACGAACCGCAACGCCCTGATACCGACCTCTCACGATAATCCCCAAGTGACGAACATTTACTACTACTACTACAACAACCTTGATGACTTGGCGCTTCCGATCACGAACCTCATGCATATAGACGGCAGACGAATTCTCTTCACTTCTTCACATTCATTCCACTTCCATCCGGCCCACTCAAGGGTCAGTTTTTTTTTTTCTGTCTTTCCACCCGTGGACACGTGGATTCCATTTGTCTCACATAGGATTGTCTAAGACATTTCCAAGGCGGTGCGGTGCGGGTGGTGCGATGATGTCATTGCCCGACCCGACCCTCAGACCGCCCCCCCTTATATTTCACTTTCTCTATATATATATATAATTCTTTTTTTATTCAATACATACGAACCAATGTCCGCACATGCATGCATGCATGCATGCATGCCAATGACTGTGCAGGATTGATTACAAACTCTCACATCTTTACAGAGTACCGAGTATTTGTATATTTTCTCATCCATTGTCCCCCATTCTGCCATCAAAAAATGACAGCAAATCCCCGGATTAATATAGCAACCAAGTGGAGACGAGACCACCACCATGTACATGATATATACCCCGTTGGTCGAAAGAGATGACCCGTCGCTTGTCCAAATATAGATCCGCTGCAGATGATGCCGAGCCGTAAGACAAGAAACTGCCAATGACGCTATCCCGCAGGCAGCACCTTTCTGGGGGGGAAACCAGCCCTTGCTGCGTGCGGCTCTTTGGTATTACTATCGAACCCTGTTTGGGGGAAGGTTTCGAAGCGTATTCGTATATGCCCAGAGAGAATATTCGATTCCTAGACTACCGATCTGTATTTGACACGCAGGTGGGTGTATGTGTATGTGTATGTGGTCCTATTGTCTACGAGGAAAGACTTTACCTGATGAAGATATAGGACAAGGTTCCAGGAAAGTATCTCCTCTCCCTGATATTTTGGGCTGTGCTGTCCATATAATCCCTTGGGCTCTTGTACCGTCCACTGTACTATGTAAAAGGATGGTTTGGGCTGCCTGGACCCGTGGGGGGAATAATGCTTCCAACCGATAGATGGTGTGGGTCGACCTACCGGTACTGTGCGCCACGGGCTTTTCTGGAAATAGTAGGTGTAGTTAGTCGATATACTACCGTGCTCCTCCGTACCGGACTCCCTACTGCATGTCCCGTAGTAGACGTAGTAGAAGTTGGTACTGGACTAAGGGACGTGATGTGACACACCGCGGCTGGACGAGCTGAGGGCGATGGGATGAAGGTTCAATAGTCTACCTTTCGGATATGACAGTCAAACTTATATCGATATCGATGGTTTTGGTGTCAACTGATGTTGTTGGGGAACGAAGTACCGTTATGGTGGATATTGTGGGTGCAGTAAGGGGGTTGAAGGGCGGGGGGAGGTGCCATCGGTGGGTGATGTATTAATAGAACTAACTGTACAGTACGGTAGACTCTTGAATGTGCATGTATAGTACATACTGTACGGAGTACTTCGAGGCAGGTTTCACTTGCATGAGGGTAAATCGGTAAAGGAGGAAAGGTGGACATGCTTGACTACTAGGTACATACTGTGTGTAGATGTTTGGTGAGAGATTTCTCTGCCCCGAGGCTGCGAGGCTGCGAGGCACACGGTCATCGCTCCTGTCTACCCACTATTATGAAGCCTGGTGCTGGTCCAGTATCTACAGACTTCACTGCGTACCTACCTTCGATCTGAGAGCTGGACAGAGATAATCCATAATCGTGTTCTCATTGATAATACCCATCCCATAACTCCATACTTGACGTGCCTAAGTAGTATACACCGAAAGACAAAAGAAGTAGAATCATGTACAAGACAACACCGCACCGCTAATTACCCGTCTCGGTCTCGATGTCCGGCTCGCGACCTGACAAATCCCCCGTGAACTTCATCTTCATCTTGCGCAGAGCATACTTGGTCTCGTCGCGCGCGAACACCGCGTTGCGGACGGGGCGCCACTGCATCATCCCCCGCTGCTGGCGCTGTTCGCTGCGCTGCTCGGCCTTGCGGAGGACCTCGTTGGTGCCGGAGCGACTGGGCCCGCTGCTTGCACTGGCCGTCGCGGTGGTGTTGGTGGTGTTGTCGGACGAGAGACGGAGGTTGCTGTTGACGTCGAAGTCGTCGTCGTGGTTGCTGTTGTTGCCCAGCGCGCGTTGCTGCGGTTGCGGTTGCAGGGAGTTGTTGATCTCGTGGGCCCCCTCGTCATCGGATTCGCTCTCAGAGGAAGAGGAACTGTCGGGGTGAGTCTTGGTTTTCTCCTCCGCGTGCATGGTCCCGTAGGCGGTCGCCTCGACGCGCGGGGGGTTGTGCGGATCGTGCGGCGGGGCCTCCCTGCCCGGCTCAGCGACCTGTTTGCCGTGCTCGTTGAGGTAGGCGCTGGGGTCGTGGCCGAAGGCGCCGCTCCAGTCGTACCCTTGCTTGTCGAGCCAGCGCTTGCGCTCGCGGGGGTCCGCGTGCTTGAGGATGTCGCGGCCGTCCAGGAGGGACTGCTCGTGCAACTCTTCCACTTCTTCGGGTACCGAGGCGGAGATGTGCGGCGAGCGCACTCCCTCGGCGATGCACGCCTCCCACGTCTCGAAGGTCTCGCGCGAGTTGCTGTCGACCACAAACCGCTCGTGCGAGTCGTCGATGCCCGGCGTGAAGCGGCCGGTGAAGCGCAGGCGGCCGATCTCGTGGAGGTCTTCAAGCCCGGGCGACTTCTTCGCCTCCCAGTTTTGCTCGGTGATGTAGTTCTGCGTGAGCCGCTTGCCGTTCTTGGTCGACCAGATAGGAATGTCGATCTCCGTGTTTTCGTTGTCCACCAGGTGCTGCAGCCAGAAGACGGCGTATCCGGCGGCGTGGTGCTTCTTTTGGGCGTGGAATTCGAAGACCACAGGAGAGCGGTAGCGATGTTTGACTGGAAGGCGGAGGCTGCGGCGGAAGTTCTCGTCTGAAAGGTCGAAGGTGAGGTTGTTGTTCTCGTCGACGGAGCAGACGTGCTTGGTGATCTTGCCGCTGCTGCCACCGGTGCGGAGCTTGATCTTGCAGCGTTGATTGAAGTTCACAGTGGTGAGCTTCTCGGAGACGAACTCGAAGGTGCCCACGTCCCAGCCTAGCATCTGAGGTGGGAGGCGAGTTTCGACGGAGCGGAACAGGATGGAGATGCGGATGCGTCCAAATCCGATTCCACCATCGAGAGGATACCATCTGGTGACTTGCGAGCTGGTTTGAAGGAGGTCGGAGATCTTAAGAGGCACGACGCCCAGGATGGGATCGTGCTGGCGGTAGCGCTGGTCGCGGACACCGACAGTCACAAATGCAGACCGCCAGTCACGAATAAATCGCTCGGTTCCGGCGTTGAAAATGGGCTTAGAGCTCAAGGCTTTGGCGCGCGTGCGGTAGACCTGGGAGTTTCTTAGTACTGTGCACTGTGCTTTAGGATAAACAGGACGGTGGGAAGCCTACCAGCTCGTCGTTGAGAATAATCTTGCAATAGCTTGTGGGCAGGTGACTGCCCTCTTCCTCTGTCTGGTCGCCATACGGTTTGGCTGGCTCGTACTCGCGACCCTTGCGGTTACCCTCGCTACCCTTGACATTGTTGATCTCGAGGTTGACGATCTGGTGGACGATAATGCTAATGATACCGCTGGGCCACAAAGGATCAGGAGGAGTGTGAGTAATGGCGTCCTCCTCCTCGCTGCTAATGACGCCCTTTTCGTCCTGGAACTCTTGAACATCTCTGAATTGCTCGGGAAGGTCCTTCTTCTTGCCGTCGGTGCGCAGCTCAGCCCTGAGCTTCGGTTTGCCGAAGAAGCCCACTTCCCAGTGCAGCTCTCCCGGCATCTCACTGCCTTCGTTAAGACCTTGTAGCTTGGACACCTGCGCATACATCTTGCCAGGATGCTGGATCATCTTCCGAATCGGGAGTTCCACCTTGCCGACGATGTCATCAGCAGTCGTGCGGTCCGAGTCCCAGAGTTCAACGCTCAGGCTTTCATCTGCCTTGATAAGCTCAGGAGTAACCAACAAGGCGGCAGTTTCTTCCCAGATTGGGTTCAGGTCGTCCGTGATCACCCGAGTGCAGTACATGGGCTTGCCGTACTTCGAGAACGACAGGTTGATATAGGGGTCGCTGCCACCACCGTAGCTGCCACGCCGATCCTGCTTGCTCAGACCGATTGCCCGGTGAATGCGCACCCACATGACACCCAGAGTCTGCGTCTCCTTGACAATATCATCGCCCTTGAGCAGCATGCTAAGATCCATGGTCATAGACTTGGGGGCTGCGAACAGACCGGCGGCTGTGGCAATGGCATAGTTGACGAAGTTGGAGATCAAGGGCAAGTTGAGAATGTTCACTCCTCCTTTAACCATTGGCATACATCCAGCCTTGACGTGTGGGAGGCCAACCAAGCTGAACGTCACGTCCTTCACAAAAGGAGCCTCGGGCATCATCTGGAATCTCGCACGCACAGTGCCCACCAACTCAGTCAATTCTACAAAGACGGGGAACGGGACTCCAAAGAGGCCTTTGACTCCGAGGTAGAACACAATCTGCATGTGCATGTTGCGCGCCTTGGACGAGGTAGTCTGACCACTTGGTTTGGCATGGTAGGCAAAGGATGCTTCGATATTGTAATAGTCGCCGCCCTCCTCTGCGGCGGCAGCTTCCTGGGGATCTTTGTTCTTAACGTTCTCCTCGTGCACTTGTTCCTTGAGTTGCTTCACATGGTCATCGGGCAGTGCGCGAAGACTCAGGATCCGGATGGGGTTGTTGCCCTGGTCGATTTCTGCGATGCGGACGTTCTCGACCACCCCCGGCGCCGAAGCTTGCATAATATCTTCAATGGTGTCGGCGACGGGAGATAGCATTTCGGGATTGATCAACCCCCAGAACACCCCAAGGAACGAGTTCAGCCATTCCACGGATTCCGGAAGAAGGTTGGCGGTCGCCTGGTTCCCTCGAGTCAGTACATCCACTTGACATATTACAGATGCGAATGTTCTCGTACCATTTGACCCCGAATCTGCTCACTGCTCCATTCCATTTCCCGACCACTGCGAATCACCTCCTGCACCCACAGCCAGACACCGCTCGCGATGCAGAAACTGAGGGGAAGTAGACCCCAGAGCGATCCATTGAATATCCGGCCCAGGAAGACAATCCCCGCCACTATACCGAGACATAGTCCAATTCCTCGTCTTTCCAGCTGATCAAACATCGGCTTGTAGGTCACTGTGGGGGTGGGGTGGAACAGAACGTTGGTTTTCTCGCCATGGATAGGAACGTCGGAAGTGGTGCCCTCTGCGATGGGATCTGGTGGTGCGGTGATATCCTGGTTCTCTTTGTATTGTGAAAGGCTCTGGTCGGGCGCCGTTTTGACCTCCTGCACCCGTATCAGTAATTGCATCCTCCGCTGCATTGGAGTGTAACTCACCGTTGGCTTTCCGAGGTTGGCATTAGGGACTACGAGCTGTAACCGAAGTTAGAAAGACATTTCCTTACCCTTGCTGACGTGGAGGGGAGACATACCTTGGGATCTTTCACCGCATCCATTGAGTCTTCATCCAAGTCTTCCACCTCAATCTCCTTGCCCGTGGTTGGATCGGTGACCATGCGCGTCTTTCCGGTAGTCTCCCGGGGCTTATGAGGCATCTCCTGGTTCTGAGCCTCGCGCTCCCGCTTCCTGGCCGCCAGGGTTTCTTCATGGGCTTTGCGTTCCTGCTTGTCATGCTCTAAACGGTCCATGAAGTGGCTGATGGTCGGGACTGGATTGCCACCGCTCCAGTGTTCACCCATGCGATGGGTTTTGGGAGATTCCCTCCCGCTGGTAGCCTGGGCCATGGTCGCGTGTCTTTCTTTTGCTGTTGTGTGCTCTATTGGATGGAATCGCGGATCAATCAGGGATTGTGGACAAGATAAGAGGAGGGTGGTTCCAGGCTATCATCCCCCAGCTTGTTCCAGCTAGGACCTGTAGGTGATTGAACTCAGAGAAGAGAATATAGTGTCAAAATGCAATGAGGAATAAGAGAAACCAAGGTAAAATCAACGAAGAGTAATCGGCGGTGGTGAAGAGGTGAAGAGGTGAAGTCACCTTCGTGCTGCACTACGTCATAGTGGAGAGAAGCAGCCAAGGCCGATCAGCCAATCGACTGAAGACGCGTCCAGGCATATGCTGGATATTTGGGGAAAGGCCAGCCTTACTACCCACCTTCCCAGGGATCCAGATCAATCTCCATTCACTGTGGTGGCAGTGATTGACAGCTCTTTTACCTTGGTTGTTTACCTGGAAGTCTCTCTTGCTCCGTCATGGCTCGCGGCGGAAGGCTTGGCTTGGCGCGCGAGCGGACTGCCTCCGGTCGAGTAGTAGAGAACGATCGAGTGGCTTGATTAGAACTCATTGTACTGTACTACGAGAGTGAGAGCGCGTTCTGAGGTCCCATGTCTGCTACAGCGCGATAATGGGGATTAAAGCATAGAGCATAGAGCATAGAGCATAGAGCATAGAGCATAAAGAGGCGATAGGAAATGACAAGGATGCCTCTGCTCGTGCATTGTCCCGGACAGACAACATGATGTGATGTCACTTCCCGCTTGCTCTCCCTGTGCTGACATCGGATCAACATCATTTTCACCATCTCTCTGTCCTACCCATTGCATACACGAATTGGTGGCTTGATATTACTTGGCACTTGGGTCATGGAATGTTGTGAGTTTGGTGCAAGGGTGAGTGCGTCCAAATGCGAGTGCCGCAGTCCACGGGTGGTTGCATGCTGATTGCCTGTATCAGCGTAGGGAGCGGTTATCACTATGGTAGGTCTGGATCGTTCAGGCACTTGCTCGATCTAAGCCCTGTAGATATTGCCAGGCCCTATGGATATTGTCGAGAAGAGCTCGCGAGTCGATGTTGTAATATTTCCGAGCGACAAGTAGGTTAGCAGCACTCCGTAGTCTTCATGTCGTGTCGCTTTTTGCCCTTGACAAGCTTGGCCATGGTTCTTGAATTCTCTGCGGCTTCGAACCCATCCATAGAACGTGTGTATTCCAGTTCAATGCTCATAAATTAGCCGTCGAAGAGAATAAACCGCCGTCTGCAGGTCAATTCTTCGTAATGATCAAGGTGCAGTGGACGGAGGTATTGGTCGAAACCACCTCAGGGAAGGCGGCCGAGTGAGTCGGGCTCCACCGCCCGCCAATGAGACTGCCGCTTCTACGGCGCCGACGTGACCTCTCGGCTTCCATCATCATTCAACTTCAACCAACCTTTTGGTATACGCCATCCTCGACTCGCTCTTGGGTTTCCGTTCCTACCTCAGTACTCCAGGACTACTACGACTGTACACGAGAAGCAAGACAATTTGACACATCCTCACCAAGTCAACCGGACATACGACCAAATCGGAAAAACAAACGCTCAACGATCACCCACAAAAACAACAATCATAACCACTCCACAACACCTCCTATTTGCAGTGTTTCAGCCCGTCTCAAAATGTCCTCTGCAGCCGAGGAGTCCCCGGCTCAGCGAGCTGCTCGCCTGCGTCGTGAGCGTCGCGAAGCCAAGATCAAGGAAGGAGGTGCCGCTCGTCTCGAGAAGATCACCAGTTTGAGTGGACGACCCCCCGCCAGTGGTATGTAGCTGTTTACCACCGCCACATCTTACCCATGGGTTTCAACACACCGGCAAAGGACATAGCTAACTCTCCCCAGTCCACGAGGAACCCTCATCATCGCCCAGCCCGCAACCCGAATTCCTATCACAACACACCGCACCGCCGCCACCAGCACCAGTCTTTCCCACCACAGCCCCAACCCCGGCCCAATCCCAAACCAACCCTCCTACCTTCCCCGACCACTCCCAGGCAGAGTCCGAACTCGATCCCGAGACCCTCCAAGCCCAACAAGAACTCTTCCGTGCTCTGCTCCGCCAACCGGCGCCCTCCCCCAACCCACAACAGCAACTCCGCGGTCCCGGCGGCGCTGCCGCCCCCAACCCAGCCGGCGACCTGCTCGGCCTCGACGCCCAAGACCCGACGCTCAAGCTCCTCAACTCCCTCATGGCCTCCAGCTCCGGCGGCGGCGGCAGCGGCAACCCCCTCGAGAACCTCAACCTGGCGGACCTTGGCCTCGGCGACGGCAAGGAATCCTCCACCGACTTGCTCACCAACCTGGGCCTGCCGCCGTTCCTGGCCAACCTGATCGGCAACGCCATGCGCAAGAAGACGGACGCCGAGAAGCGCGAGATCATGATCTGGAAGGTGGTTCACTTGGTCTTCGCCGCCGTCGCGGGGCTGTACCTGCTCTTCGTGCTGGGGTCGGCCGTGAGCGTGTACGGGCGGGCGCCGCCGGCGCCGGCGACGGCCCGGGATCCGTTCACGGTGTTCATGACCGGGGAGGTGGTGTTGACTGGGGCGCGGGCGCTGTTGCGGTCGCGGGAGCAGGGGGGTGGGTTCGGGTTGGGGATGGGCGTGCAGCTGGTGCGGGACGTGATGCGGGACGGGAGCTTGGTGGTGTTTGTGTTTGGGTTGGCGTCGTGGTGGTATGGAGAGCGATTGGTCTGAGCTACTCGTTATGTGTTACAAGACCTTCTGGGATATAGGCTAGGATGAACTGTAGAACTGCGGATTGTCTGTATACACGTGTGATTTCTTTCAATGGTTAACGATTGATATCGCACGCGTAGTGAATATCGTAAACATAAGCCTTATGCGAGCAACACCGCGAAAGCAACAACCACAGACCGGCCTCGCTAGTGGCTATCCCCCTAACCACGCTGTCCACACCTAATCAACTAGGTAGGTACCCATGCTGTAGCGACACTAGCTGCTTAGTGCTTCTACCAGGCCATCAAACCACAGCGCTGCACTCCGTACAATGGAAGTAATGCAAGCACACTGCATCTTGTCCAGAACCCGAACCTCCAACGGCCCACCCACCCAAACCCATGTAATCTAATCTAAACTTCGCCTCCCCCTCCCGCAGGCAAATTTAAGGCATATTGATCCCTCGGCCGGACCTGCACCGGCCACCATCGAACTAAGAATTAGTTCTTACCATGTGCATGTTCCCCTTGTTGCAATTTGCATCCACAGGCTAGAGCATGCACTTTCCACACCTAAGTCTCCCAGACTAGTGCAGTACACCCACCCCTGGAATCCTGGATAGTGGACAATGGACAGCGGACAATCAATGGCGGGAAACAAGACCACCACACTAAAGCCCTAGCCTAGTCGGTGGACGGTGGAGAGGAGCTTAGTTAGTGCCTTTCAAGTTTCGGCGGTGGACAGTGGACGGTGGACAGTGGAGTCGGACACCGGACGACACAGCCGGTCGCGGATTCGGAAGGGGGGGAAGAGAGGGGGGTATAAAGATGATCTTAAGGTCAAGACATGCTTAGTCTGGTACTCAATTACCTAGTTGTGGTGAGCGGAAGCGGATGGTAGAAGCGCAATTTGGCTTAGCTAGCACGCATCGATCGGGACTTGGCCGAAGCAGGCAGGTCCTTTTCTCTCGCGTCAAGATTCCGTTGAGACGGCAGGCAAGAAGAGGATTTTTGACGTGGCATGGTGGCAGGCAGGCAGTGGGTGGGTTAAGTTTGGGGTTTTCCTGTCAAATTGTCTGTCTCCAATCTCCAGCCAGTGTGGGAGTCCGTGCTGGGGACTAAGGAGGTGGCGATCATTTCAGTTGCTAGCTGCGTAGTATCAAGTAGGATCCGGTGGAGGATTTAGCCATGCATAAGTTTTGTACTACTGCTCTGCGATATGTGTTGTATAGACGGGTGTCTTGGACTGTATCACGAGTGTGTCGTAGGTTGGGTTTATCGGCTAATCTTCGATATACTCCTGCGGTGCGGTTTGTGGTGTACGAATACTGTTCGTTTGTCTGCACGCCCCCCCCCCCCCCCCTTGTGACGGAAGGAGTATTCTTTTATGCGCAATTCTTGGAATTCGCAGTATGATTCAGACTAGAAGACTATCGTGTCGGTATGACCGTAGCACAGTCGACCGGATTGGCTATTTTAGGTCTAGAGACACCCGACTTCACCATCGGTATATGATACAAGATCATAAACATGTCGCTGTCCGGAAGTATGGGTATAGTACTGTTAAGTATCTGTTAAGCGAAAGCCAATGGTGTTTGATAAAAGATAGTTCTTGAGACTCATATTATCCAGTGTCTTGAAGTAGGCTCATGTTTAACTTAGGGCTTGACTAGATAATCAACACATAGTCGTGCACAATTTAATGTGGTCACATGACTCGACTGTGCGTCTTGACGCTCATCTTCTCCTGCGTTGCTTCTGAAGCAATTAGGGACCAGCTTGGAATCGCTCAGGGCACGCACTTTTGTGCTCTCCCCACGCTCCGGGGCTGCCCAGTGAGTCAAAAGCACCGTCAGTCCGGGCCTACTGTAGTACAGCGGAAAGAGAAAGTTGGCAATGCGTGTGATTCCCGCAGAGGTCCAGGTCAACGTGGGTTTCCTTAATCTGGATTCGACCTACTTTCATGGATGCCTGAGACTCGCCATTAGAGTCACTACCCTTGACTCTAGTGGCACTTCTGTCGAGACATATATCAGGTGACTTTGGAACGAAGTTGGGTGATTATCTCAAAAGAACAGAACACGCAGCCGGGCACTCCACGACCAGGGGATGTTCAAGTAACTTAGCGGCGGCGGCGGCACCTCAGGCCGAATTCGGAAAGAGAAGCCACCCACTGACCACCCGGAGTGGTTCCGCCAAGATTTTATATGCAGTTGTCGTGATGAAAACGCTCTGGTTTATGCTTGGTGCTGCTGATCATGGCGGTACCGTTCTTTTCTGATTGTATTGTTTAGCCGTGCTAGCTGGTGAGTGGCACTGTGACACCCGCTGGACCCTCAGTGGATGGGGGAAGCGACGACGATTTGGACGACGGACAGAGAGTAGCATGAAATGTGGGTAGCGGCCGTCGGAGCTGAGCGAAATGGCTCATGCTCAAATCCGCAACCGGTTGCCAAACACCATGCCGATATTGAAATTTGATGGGAGGACTGGGGAGGACTCAACTGCAGATTATCGAGGTTAACTGTCAATTATGAAGTAGTAGAAAAGGAAAGGGGGAATCAGAACGGAAGAAACGAAATGAGGGTTAGTCCGGGATCAATAGTGGCCAGTCAAAGATGAGCTGGGTTGAGCGCGTTCACCGACCGACCGACCATCCCCAGAGTCGCATAGTTTCTTTCCCACCACGCGCCGCCGTTCCTGAAAGCACCCTCCCACGGTCAAACAGAGTTGCCGTCAGTCATCGCAATAAACGTTGCCAGTATAGAAGATGATCAGGGCCCTCTCCCCGGTTATTCGGTTCAGAGATCTCCTGTCCTCCGCCCGAAGGTACTGCGACAGAGCCAGGGCCACGGAGACAAGGAGAGCGCCCCATAAAATAGCCGAACCGAAAGGCAATGGCCGCGATCGACCCGAGAGCACTACTATTGTATCATGTATGATGTATGATGTATGGCAGATACCAATTGGCCTGAATGGCTGATCGACACGGGCAACCTGTGCGCCTGAAGGTCATTGTCCTGATAACGCCTACCTAGGTTATCGTCGAGCACTGTCCAAGGGAACCACGGAGCACTGCCTCGGCAAGTGGACAAGCAGTGGTTCGTATAGTTCTTCCCCCCGCAGGGGATTGGTGTGACATGATATACAGATCATGCTTGAGATCGGCCAGCCTCAAACACACGTGTTGGTTATCGCCTTACATCCTCCCGCTCAAATCATCAACCTTTTTATGATTCACCAACGATAATAAAGTTAGACTTACGCTACCTACCTACTTATGTGTAGTAGGTTAGCCTAGGTGGTAACCGCCTCGTGCTCGGAATATCCGGGGCGGTAGCATTTCCTAGTTGGTCTTTGGTTCTGCCTGTCTTCAAGAGATCCCCCAGGCCGTCCCTCTGTCCGCAAACAGATCCATCTCGGACGGAAGATGCCACCAAAGCGTTCCAGTTCCAAGTGGGCGCAGCGCTCCCCCAACAAACGAAGAGATTACTTTCACCTCAGTAAGGTTTTAGAGTTCAATCCCCCGCACGGCACAAGCGAGCTCTGTTAGTCATGTACGGAATACCCTCCAATCGAGGCCGGGGTGGCGGTTCTTGTGATGTTACCTCCCCGCGCTCTTTCCGCCGACGGGCTGTCTTGGATTGCTGGGCTGCTCAAATGAGCGTTGGGGTTGCCTATACCCTTCGTGTTCGGGGGGCACATTGAACTAGTTATAATAAAGGGAATGGGACCCTGGAAAAACGCAAGTACCCAGCTTCATCGCCATTGGACAATAGCCATACCATCCGCGTGGTTGGAAGCCGACTACAGCAAGGAAAGGAGCTAGTGGGAAGGAATAGATTGAGATGGAAGCGTCGCAATCGACTAGTCCATGCATCCGTGAGCACTGGAATGCGACTTTGAGTCCTGACAGACAGACAGTCAGATCGTCGCTTGCCTTTCCCCGGAGGAACGGAAACCAAAGGCTGTCAAGCCCCGCATGGCCGAGCCCAACCTTTTTGCGGCGGCGTGACCAGACTAACCAGGTTGCTACCTAGTGTCCAAAAAGAGTCAGACCTAAGGAGATTGCATTTTCTGGGTTTTATTGGAAACATGATTGAGGTTGGGGATCGATTGGGGAGGGAGGGAGGGAGGGGCATGGGCGGGAAAAGACTGTGCCTGCTAACTTCTAAGAGCTTTGCTTATCAAGGAGGGGCCCGCATTGGTTTGTTGTTGGAGGATGTTATTAGGGTATCAAGTGCCGGACTTCGTCCACTATACGGAATAGTTTTAGTAGTTCTCCAGTCAACAAGGAAAGGGGAAGGAACAGGAAAACTCCATTGGGACAAGGTCAATGGCATCACCAATTGCAGCAGTGCCGTCGTCGGGTAGGTGGAAGACATGGCAGCTCTCGGATCTTGCTCAAAGCTCATGTTTTTTTGGGGGGGGGGGGGGGGTTTCAGCACCACCATTACCCATGGACCGGTTTGACTTTACGGGGAACGGATGGAGGGAGGGAAGGAAAGAGGGAAAGAGGGAAGAAAGTGGGAGGAGGAGAAGCCGAGCAATGCAATTACACCGGAGTGACAGTACGGTAACTCTGTTCTTGTCTGTCTGTCTCTCTCTCTCTCTCTCTCTTAGTCTACTCTCCCCCACTGTGGGCGCGCGACACCGGGGGAGCGGGACTGACTGACTCTCTCAACAATAATCAATAAAATAATCATAAAATAATAATACTACCATTACCACCACCATCCAAAAGACTCCAACGGACATTCTTAAATATCGGTGCCCCAATCCCTCTAACCCCCGGTCCCTGAAAACAATTGTCTTCCTTCTTTTTCTTCTCTCCCCTCTCTAACTTCTTAATTTCTATCTTCTCCTTCCCTCCTCTCCTCTCCTCTCTTCTCCGGTGTAATCTCCTCATCTCAACGCAACCTCCCCCTACCCCCCTCCCTCCCCCCACCATCCACCAACCAGTGCTGGTGCATATCAGTAAGTCGCCCGCGCAATCTCCGTCTCACGTGCCTGGGCCGATCCTCTTCATTGCGCCGGAGACTGAACTGACTCTGTTCGTTTCCAACCCTCCTTAGAGCCCAGCTTCCCTCGACTCCGAATTACCAGTTGAAATTCCGTTGGGACACACATAACCAATCATAAAACATGGCGGACGGCAGCATCACGCCTCCCAAGCCTTCCGTGGTAAGAAAAAAATCCCCACGCCCACGCCCTGGGCCGAGAAATCTCCGGGTCTCCATCTGCTAATTATTCTGCCATTGGATCTCCAGGTGCTTGAGGCCCACGATGTTGATACTTTCCACGTTCCCCAAGCTTTCCACGAGAAGCACCCCTCCGGTCCCCACTTGAAAGATCTCGACGAATACAAGAAGCTCTACGAAGAGTCGATTCGCAGCCCCAACACTTTCTGGGCTCGCATGGCCCGCGAGCTCCTCACCTTCGAGAGAGATTTCCAGACCGTGCACACCGGTTCCCTAGAGAACGGTGACAGTGCCTGGTTCGTTGAGGGTCGCCTCAATGCTTCCTTCAACTGCGTCGATCGCCATGCCATCAAGAACCCCAACAAGGTCGCCATTATTTACGAGGCCGATGAGCCCAGTGAGGGCCGTACTATCACTTATGGCGAATTGTTGCGTGAAGTTTCCCGAGTTGCTTGGGTCCTGAAGCAGCAGGGCGTTAAGAAGGGTGACACTGTCGCCATTTACCTTCCCATGATTCCTGAAGCTCTCATTGCTTTCCTCGCCTGTGCCCGTATCGGTGCCGTCCACTCCGTTGTCTTCGCCGGCTTCTCCTCCGACTCTCTGCGGGACCGTGTTCTTGACGCCGGTTCCAAGGTCGTCATCACGACTGATGAGGGTAAGCGTGGCGGCAAGGTCATTGGTACCAAGCGCATCGTCGATGAGGCACTGAAGCAGTGCCCCGATGTGACGGGCGTCCTCGTCTACAAGCGCACCGGTGCAGAGGTCCCCTGGACCAAGGGTCGTGATGTCTGGTGGCACGAGGAGGTCGAGAAGTACCCCAACTACTTTGCTCCCGAGTCCATGAGCTCCGAGGATCCTCTTTTCCTGCTCTACACTTCCGGCTCCACTGGCAAGCCCAAGGGTGTCATGCACACGACTGCTGGCTACCTGCTTGGAGCGGCCATGACGGGCAAGTACGTCTTTGACATTCATGATGACGATCGTTACTTCTGCGGTGGTGATGTCGGTTGGATCACCGGCCACACCTATGTGGTGTACGCTCCTCTCCTGCTGGGTTGCTCGACTGTGGTCTTCGAGAGCACCCCCGCCTACCCGAACTTCTCCCGCTACTGGGATGTCATTGAGAAGCATAAGGTCACGCAATTCTACGTGGCCCCCACGGCCCTGCGCTTGTTGAAGCGCGCTGGCGACGAGCACATTCACCACAAGATGGCTCATCTGCGCATTTTGGGATCTGTTGGTGAGCCCATCGCCGCCGAAGTCTGGAAATGGTACTTCGAGGTTGTCGGCAAGGAGCAAGCCCATATCTGTGATGTATGTGCATGTCAATCTGAAGGTGCAATGGCTCTTATGGCTAATCTGTGGCATTATGACAGACTTACTGGCAAACCGAAACCGGCTCGAACGTGATCACACCCTTGGGTGGCATTACGCCGACCAAGCCGGGTAGCGCATCGCTTCCCTTCTTCGGTATCGAGCCCGCTATCATCGACCCTGTTTCCGGAGAGGAGATTTCGGGCAACGACGTAGAGGGTGTGCTTGCCTTCAAGCAGCCCTGGCCCAGCATGGCCCGGACCGTGTGGGGTGCTCACAAGCGCTACATGGATACCTACTTGAATGTCTACAAGGGCTACTACGTGAGTACCTCCAGTCATCGATTTCCATGTGTATCGCTCTACAGTGGCTAACTTGTGGTTATTCAGTTCACCGGAGACGGTGCTGGCCGTGATCACGACGGATACTACTGGATCCGGGGTCGTGTGGATGATGTTGTCAATGTTTCTGGGCACCGTCTGTCCACTGCTGAGATCGAGGCTGCTTTGCTCGAGCACCGTAAGTGATTCAAGACCCCATTTCGAGGACTATATCCTAACATCTGCATAGACATGGTGGCTGAAGCTGCCGTTGTCGGCATTGCCGACGAGCTGACCGGTCAGGCTGTCAATGCCTTCGTGGCTCTCAAGGAGGGTAACGAGACCACCGACCAGGTTCGCAAGGACTTGATCATGCAGGTTCGCCGCTCTATCGGACCGTTCGCTGCCCCTAAGGCCGTCTACGTGGTTGAAGATCTTCCCAAGACTCGCAGTGGTAAGATCATGCGTCGCATTCTGCGCAAGATCCTGAGCGGCGAGGAGGACAGCCTTGGTGACACCTCCACCGTAAGTTTCCTCTCCTTCGTATCGTTCTTCAACTAGCGCTAACGCAAGAACAGCTCTCCGACCCCTCGGTGGTTGATAAAATCATTGCCACTGTGCACGCTTCCCGCGGCAAATAAGTGTTTTATCTTCAGTGAACGATATTAATGAAAGCGAGAGTTGGGAGGACATGTGGCACTGCCATCAGCACAGATGTGGTCTGCATCTGTGCTCCTGAGCTTTATAATGTCTGAAGGCGGAGTTTGATTCTTTTTTCTTGTTATCTTGTGATTCCCATCATGATCAGAACTGCAGCATTCTGATAAGCTGTCGATCTTCTCTACGTATATACCAATGATGAAAGAAGTTTTTCTCGGGTCTCACGGCTGTAAGCTGATAGTATTGTTGTTTTGTGGAGAGTTGTAGTACCTGGTTAATGTACTCAATTATGAAACTACCCACTTATCTGTTTGTCACTTTGTCGTATGTAAGATGGAGAGCTGTACTCTTTTAGCCGTGTGTTCGTTCACAGGCCCGACATTAAATCCTGCCCTTATAGTAGAGACAAATGCAGCACCTGGCTGCTTATTATGCTATGCCTGGGAATCTCGTGGTTAGATAGTGGCTTTTCTAGGTTGAGGGTTCAGTTGAATGCGCTAGGTCTTGTTATTGCAGCCCCCAAAAAAAAGATGCTTTACTTACAGCCTAAACATCTCCGGAAATATATACAGCATCTTGTACTGGTGCGCCATTCAGAGTAGCACTGCACCACGGAACACAAGCATGAAGCAGGCTGGTCTTTTACAGTCACTTCTTTGTCAATTCTATGTCACTGCAGCCTCACATCTTTCGTCTTTAATAACGCCCAGCGTCATCTGGGGAAAACACGAATAGTTGAAGAGAACAATCCTCAGGCAGATATTGCTCATTTTCGGTGGTGGTTTCAGGCCGCCAACGTTCACGTGAGCAATTGGTAATGAGGTGTACTGACTGTCAAAATTACCGGATGATTCTGCCTGGAAGTCAGCGAATTGCCAGCGGAACAGTCCGTACCGGAAACGTAAGCGAGCATGTTACCGCCTGACCGTCGCCGCCTCTTCCCTTTTGCAGCAACCTCTTTCCCGTCACTTCGAACTTCCTCTCCGTCGCGCGCCCTCCTCCTCTTTCGACCAGCTCTCTGGCTTCTTCTCATCGTCGCCTCCCAGTTCAAGGACGCTGAACTGCATCTCCGCTCTTGACGGTGACGCCCCGTCTCTGGCTGGCGAGACATTCTTACCCTGCTGTCCTTCCCACCCCACAAATCACATTTCCTCTTGGGCGCGTCGAGATCTCGGCTTCTCAATCCAACCTTCGAGCTCGTCGCTTCGCACGCTTCGCACGCTTCGCAACGCGCCGTGATCGATTCATCTCCAACGTATCACCGCTATTTCCGGGACCTACGCTCGCATCTAAACGTTGACGTGGACGAGGACTCGGCCTTTCAGTTGGAAAACGTTTCGGAACGGATGAACTCATAAGTCGCAATAACTCAACCTGCAAGATGTTCGGCGGAGGATTCGGACAGAACACTCAGCAGAGTTCCGGCTTCGGATCCGGCAATGCATTTGGTGGAGGCACAACTACTGGTGGAGGTAGGTTTTGATCTGTTGACAAGCTTCGTACCTGCTTCTTTCCCTTCCGTACTCCTGCCTCCTCTCTGGTGTTTTTTTTTGGTTTTTTCTCAACACTGGCTCGGCACTCCCCAATCGACCCAGTAAAGGAATTCAATCTGGCTCGTGCTTTGGACGTCAACCCACGGCAGTTTCACCTCAGACTCATCGACACCTCACCGCCGTGTCGACACTTTTTACTTTCCTTTCCGACGTCAAGTAGCACGGCAGCACTGCAAGAGAAGGGATCGCGGCTTCAGTACAGTCTCTGACAGCATCTCCCACGTCATCTAGGCTTTGGATCTTCACCGTCTCCTGCTTTTGGAGGTGGGAACACATCGGGCGGTGGCCTGTTTGGAAACACTTCCAGTAGCTTCGGTTCCGCTGGAGGTACGTGCTCGACGACTATATTTCCATGGGCTTGGCGATCCTTTCTCTTCCATCTGTACCTTGGGGCGAACCCTGCGGTTTCCTACATATCACCTATCGGGCTGGACTGTAAACACTGCCGCTCTGAAACTGTGGACGACTGGCCTTGTCTCGCGGCCCGGAATCTTCCCTCGAACAGGAATTGTCGATTCCCAGCCGCCTTCTGCCTGCCAAGGACATATGGAACTTAAAACTCGTCACATGCTCTGAGGATATTCGGCTGTAGGCTGCTCGATAGCGTCGCTAACATCACTTCTGCTTTCCTAGGATTCGGCGCCAATACACAGACACAGCCCAACTCCTTGTTCGGTGCGGGGCAGAATCGCACCAGCGGCTTCGGCAGCACTCCGGGACCCAGCACCGGCGGTAGTTTGTTTGGGTCAACCAACACATCGGCTACAACAGGTAATACCGGCTTTGGCGGCTTTGGCTCCGCTGTGAACACCGGCGGTGGCTTTGGCAGCAGTGCTGGAGGTGGTGGACTGTTCGGTGCCAACAAACCTGCCACCGGTTTCGGTAGCACCGCTGGTACTACCGGCTTCGGAGCCAGCGGTGGCGCCAGCACCAGCGGGTTTGGAAGCGGAGCAGCACCGGCTTTTGGTGGTGGTAGCGGTACCGCTTTCAACCAAGCTGTACCTCCCTCCGAAGGCACCGGCAGCACCCCGTTCACTCCCTTTACAGAGAAGGACGCCGCCAGCACCACTACCAATCACTATCAGAGCATCGTGTTCATGCAGCCTTACAGCAAGTATTCGTTCGAAGAGCTTCGGTTAGGCGATTACAACGGAGGCCGTCGCTTCGGCAACGGAAGTGGACAAGCAGGCGCCTTTGGCGCTTCCGCCTTCGGCAGCTCTGGCTTCGGTGGTCAAACTCAATCCACTGGATTTGGAGCTGGAAACACCTCATCACCGTTCGGCGCAAACACAAGTGCCCCGTCGGCCTTCGGCAGCCAGACCCAAACCACAGGCGGCTTTGGCAGTAGTAATACCTCCAATCCGTTGTTCGGAGCTCAGAAGCCTGCCAACACTTTATTCGGCGGCGGAACGCCAGCTGCTGCTGCTGCTACTACGCAGTCGGGCCTGTTCGGCAGTAACACGGCAACATCGGGTGGCTTTGGAAACACTGCCGGGAGCACTGGATTCGGGTCCGGGGGACTGTTCGGCAACAGCGCCAACAACACCCAGCAACAGAACAAATCTCTCTTTGGCGGAGGTAGTACCTCCACCGGCGGGGGCGCATTCGGCGGCTTTGGCGCACAGAACACGAGCGCAGCCTCTCCATTTGGCGGCACCGCAGCTACGTCTTCTCCGTTTGGAGGCCAACAGCAGCAGTCGAGCGGTGGTTTGTTTGGTAGTGGTACCGGCTTTGGCCAGCAAAACCAGGCTCAGAATCAGGCACAGACCCCGAACAAAGGGCTATTTGGTGGATTTGGTGCTAACACACAACAGCAGCAGACGAGCACCCCGAGTCTTTTCGGCGGCAGCAACACCGGCACCGGCACCGGCACCACCGGCACCTCCCTCTTCGGTCAAAACCAGCAGACCCAACAACCTGCGAGCGGCGGTTTGTTCGGAGGCAATACCACCCAACAACCAGCCCAATCGAACTCTCTTTTCGGCGGATCGCAGCAGCAAGGTCAGAAGAGCCTGTTCGGAGGAGGTACGACGGGCACGGGCACGGGCACGGGCACGAGTGCATTTGGAGGGTTCGGCAACACACAGAACCAGCAGACTGGTGGTGGCTCGAGTCTCTTCGGCGGCGGTGCGGCCCAGCAACAGCAGAAGCCGAGTCTCTTCGGTGGAGCTGGAGCCTCGGGCGGCAGTCTCTTCGGAGGCGGCGCAAGTACCGCGGCCCCGGCTGCAACTGGGTCCCTCTTCGGCGGCGGCGCGAGCCAGAACCAACAACCGACTACCCTGGGAGCCTCCAGCCTCTTTGGTGGCAGCCAGTCTCAATCCGCACAGCAGTTGGGTCAACAACCCGCCCCTGGTAGTCTGCAGGCCTCCCTGCTGGAAGGAAATCCCTACGGCAACCAGTCTATCTTCTCTGGTCTGCCAGCACCCAGCGCTGCAAGCCCCGGCCCCTTGGCCACGCCGCTGTCTTCCTCCAACAAGCAGAAGCAACGCACTCCTCTTCCCGTTTACAAGATCACCCCCACCGCCGCAAATCGCCTTCTGACCCCCCCCAAGCGTGGCTACGGTTTTTCATACTCCACATACGGATCTCCTTCGAGCACCGCGAACACTCCAGGCGGACTTGGTGGTAGTGTCCTTGGTGGCAGCATGCGTAGCAGCTTCAATGCTAGCAGCCTGGGCCGCACCAGCTTCAGCAAGAGTCTTTCGACCAGTAACCTACGAAAGACATTTGATCCTGAAGCCGATAGTGTTCTTTCCCCCGGTGCCCTCTCTTCCGGTAGCTCTCGCCTGTCTAGTGGAAGCCTGAAGCGTCTGACTATCGACCGAAGCCTCCGGAATGACTTGTTCACGCGCTCGACCAGTACTCCTCCTCCTGCAGCCATCACTAACGGTGAAGAGACTGCCGCTCCTGTGGACAAGGGAAAGAAGAAGGTCAGCTTTGAATCGTCCTCCGAGGTTGCACAGACTGGCGGGGAGATTGTGCCCGTCGAAACCCAAAGTCCCGAGCCGACTCCCGAGGAGCTGGGATTCCTGCGTTCCGTCCGCAAGAGTGGCACAATCAACGGCGTCAATGGAACCAAGACCCCGGAGATTGCTGCTCGTCCTGAGATGGAGTCCGTGCGCAACAACGATTTGCCCGCTGCCTCGGAGCCTGCGCAACCGACCGCGACCAACGCCGCCCCCAAGCAGCTCTCTTTCATTCCCGGCGGAGATCCGCAGCCTGGAGAGTACTTCATGAAGCCTACTCGCGCCGAGCTTAGCAAGATGAGCCGCGAGCAACTGAAGAAGGTGGTGGGTTTCACCGTGGGACGCGAGAACTGCGGTCAGGTGACTTTCGATGAACCCGTGGATCTGACCACCATCGATCTGGACAATGTCTGCGGCGGTCTTGTCGACATCGGCGTGCGGAAGATCACCGTCTACCCTGACGAAACCATTAAACCTCCTCGGGGTAAGGGCTTGAACGTCCCGTCCATCCTTCGTATCGAAAACTCCTGGCCCCGTGGCCGCGACAAGAAGTCGCCCTCTCCCTTGACGAGTGGCCCGTTGTTCGACAAGCACGTGGACCGGTTGGTCAAGGTGCACAACACCGAGTTCATCGACTACGAAGTGGAAACCGGCACGTGGGTTTTCAAGGTTCCTCATTTCACCACCTATGGTCTTGATTATGATAGTGATGAGGAAGAAGAAGGTGAGAGCCTAAACCAAAGCACTTTGAGTGCTGCTCCTGACACCCCGACTCCGAAGGCCCAAACCCCTGCCAATCACGACAACACCGTGGGCTCGGAGCATCTGTCAGCCTTCTCCACTGACGATTCCTTCCTCGGTTCCGTGGCCGGCGTCGATGACGACACTTTCGATTTCAAAAAGCGTAAGATAGTCCCCGGAGCATTTGGCCACCAGGCGATGGAGACGATGGACGACGAGCACTTGGGCTCGGAAGAGGAGGAAGAAGATTCTTTTTTAGAGGACGGCTCCACGGGTTCAACTATTGAGCAAGACAGCGACGACATCACCGAAAGTATGGAGACTGTCGAGTCTGAAGTTGAATTGGATGAGAGTGAGGAAATGGACATGGCGGGCACATTTCCGGACCTTCATCATACCGTGGAGCGCGACGACACCGCAAGCACCGACACATACATGGAAGACCCCCGGCTGTCGCTGAAGCCTTGGAATACTCCGGCGAAGCCCCGTCTGGATCTAACGGGCGACTGGGCTGCACAGTTGCAGCGAACCATTAGTCCTCGGAAGCAGAACCGGGATGCCCTACGTGAGATCCAGGCGAATGCCTTCAATGAACGCTCTCTGCATGAGGAGACCCAAAAGCAGTCTATCAGCGAAACCAAGCAGAAGGGTTTCGCAACTAGTATTGATCTAATGAATTCCCTATTTCAGCAACCCCGGAGACAACAGACTGCATCGCCTGTGAAAGTACAAGACGCGCGACCTAAAGGTCCTGAGGTATGATTACCCTTCGTTCCCTTCCTTGTTGGATTGTCTTCTGCTTGTTGCCCTGATGCATACTCGTCAATGCAATGTCGCACCGTTGGTGCCTGAAGCAACGCTTCTAACTTCTATCTCTATAGTGGCCCTACCACAAACAGCCCAAGACTTATGCCAGCGAGACCAATGAGTTGAGCGCCGATGACCTTGCCTTCCACTACTCCTTCAAGCCACGCTGGGGACCTTCAAACGCATTGCTTTGTGTACGGAACAACGCCGATTCTGTCGAGGCCGGTCTGAGTTACTGGGAACATAGTCTCACCGTGACCAGCGAAGGACGTGACGTTTCCGTACTAAAGTATAGGAAGCCCAATGAGCCGGTAGCGATGCTGGACGCCCAGCGCGAAATCACGATTATCAAGCCCGTGGATGGAGTAGTGCCCTTTGCTCGCCTGGCCCATGCCGACTTCCATAGATTGGCCGCCACAGCCGCAGGCAGTACATTGGTGGCTGACCAAGAGCGGCTGCTCTGGCAGCTGGCCAACATCCTGTTCAACGATGAGCTTGAAGACGATATCTCTGTCGGCGTGCCCAAGGAGATCCGGTCCCAGTTTTCTCACCGTATTAAGAAAGACCGCCTTACCCGTCTGCTGGAAGAAATTATCCGGCAAAAACAGGCCCAGAAGCTGGGCAAGGTGGGTTCCCCAGAGGAACGGGCTGTCAATCTCCTTTGCGCCCATCGGGTTGACGAGGCGTGCAATGTCCTGCTCTCGAGCCAAAATTTCCACCTCGCCACTCTTGTTTCGCAGATTGGTCGGGATGCCACCGTACGGGAAGATATGGCCAAGCAAATTGACATGTGGCGTCAGAGCAACGCGTACTCGGAGATGTGTGAGCCTGTGCGCGCTCTGTATGAACTGTTGGCGGGCAATGCCCTACGCAGTGAGGGCAAGACTACTGGGGCGCTCGAGGATCGGATTTCTGCATTCACGTTCTCAGAACGATTCGACTTGGACTGGATCCAGGCTTTTGGTCTGCGTCTGTGGTACGGGATCGGTGACGATGAGCCGCTGGAGAATGCCGTCTGCAACTTCGTCGAAGATCTACGTAGTGGTGCTGAAACCGCACTCCCACTACCAGATCCTTCCCAATTCTACCAATCTACCACTGCGCCGGGTCGTGAATCTCCACTGTGGGTGCTGTTGAAGGCCTATGCCGCCACTACGGAGGCAGCCCAGAGAATCGAGTTGGACGGATTGGAGTTTCCAGCCGCCCTGCTGCCCGAGTCGTTGACGGGTGACCGGCTGACCAACCGCCTGTCCTTCCAACTGTGCCATTTCCTCGCCGCGGCCGTTGGGCGCAATGACCAACTCCAGTTCAATGTGGCTCAGATGGATCAGCTCACCTGGGACTATGCATGGGAACTCTTCAACTCGGGTGCCCTTGCACGGAGCATATTCGTCTTCTCTCACCTCTCTCGCGCTTCTGATCGGGAACGAGCCATCAAGGATATTCTGGCTCGAAATGCGCTGTCGCTTCCACACCCGGTCAAAGAGGACGGATCGCCGAACAAGATGTGGAAGTACCTCGTCACAGACTCGCAGATTCCCGAGAATTGGATCTGGGTGGCGAAGGCGCTATATGCGCGCGACACCGGTAATGCTGCACACGAGGTGGACTATTTGGTGCGGGCCAAGAACTGGAACGATGCGCATGCCACCTTCTGTCGCATTGTCGGACCGTCGGCAGTGATTGAAGGTGACTATGCCACACTGGAAACGTTGATCTCAGGCTTTGGTGCCGAACCGGAGCGCAAGGTGCGCGGCTGGGCTCAGGGGGGCGGGATCTACGAGGATTTCCTGCATCTGGCCACGGGGAGAGTAGGCAGGCGAGACCCCGCGCGACTGCATCGGCTGGTGCAGGCATTGGTCCAGCTGGGCGATCAGATTCGGCAGGGTTCTGGCGTGGAAGGCTTGGAGGAGCGAGTTGCGTTCCGGGAGATGAGCCGAGCTGTGGCAGGCTGGACGGCACACGAAGACAGCCAGGTAAGACGGTGTGAGAATTGGGTAATCGAAACAAGACTAATAATGCGTTAGGCCAACGATCTGTCGAGTGTGCTCAGTCTGCCGCTGACGGGCGATGCGCGCCTCACGCAGACGGCGGAAATGAGTCGACGTTACTACGGGGTCATCATGGCTGGAGGGTATTAATTGGATGATGGATGAAGGCACGCATGGCAAAAGTCTCCAGTGGTTGGGGCAGTCGTTGGATTTGATATTGTGTTGTCTGGTCGTTCTTGGATGACCTCTGGTGAAGGGCGTCTTTACTTGTCTTTTTTTCTCTTGTTGCACCCCCCTCTGCTCTCCTCCTCTTCTCCCTCTTCTCTCTCACTTGTTCTCTGTCTCTCCCCCCCCTGTCTTACTCCTATTTGTATCGAAGGGTCGACATCGATGTGCGGCTCTATGTATCCTAGCTGATTTGCTCCTGTCCTTCGACTGCATGTATTTGTGTGTTTCTTTTTCTTTATGCAGTGATCACTTTCATCTTGGGTTCCACATTTTTCGAGAGAGTGCCTCTAAGCTAAGTCATAGTCAGCCACAGCGAATAAATTATCTCGATATGAGGATGTTCTCATCAACTCCCTGGAAATTTCTGACGATATAAAGTATGGCCACATTGGCATGCAAACGGTCCCTTCTCGCAGATGCAGTCTACGACTTGGCTGGCGCAGTACATAAAACAACTATCATCCCGATAGAATAGATACACAAGCTCGCATATGCTTAAACCTGGTAGCACGCAACGAATCCGATGTTATCAGCACACCTAGTCTGAGGTGTCGCCCACCCCCCAAGAGACCAGGGAAAACGGGCGATGGGCTGAGCCGCAGGGGAAAAAGCATCTCAGGAGGCATCGGTGCAACCCCCGCAACCGGCAACCAGCAATCATCTTGAGTGAGTGAGCGAGTGAGTGCGTGAGTGAGTTAGACCAGGAGCGAAGTGCCAACAACAGCGACAAACGCCAAGGGCATGGCGCAGTTAGACACTACTTTCGAGTCTTGAGATAGGATAAACCCAGTCAGTCGGACTACCGTAACATCAGCAGTAGTCCAGGGGTATTGTACTGGTTTGAATGGGATGATATGAAATCCTCCTTCCGTCGGGACGGAGCCCCGTGAACCTTCATTGCACCTGCCCCCTCTCCCTTCCCCATCTCCACCACCTGCCCCCCTCTCGACGTTACCTACCTACCTACCTACCTACATACACAGTGAAAGGGGGAGGTGGTTCTGTGGGATGGGCGTAGTCTAGTTTCGCTGGGCGAGGGTGGAAAGCTGGCGGTGGTGGGATTTGGGGCTGTTGTTGGGGGTTGTGCTGCCCATCTTTTGGGGGTGCTTTTGCGTGAAGATAGTGTGCTGATTGAGAATGATAATACCCCGCAGGATGTGTATAATGGTTGGTTCTGGTCTGGTCTGGGTCTATATACTGGACTCCAGGGAGACTCCAGGGAGAATAGTAGTAGTAGTAGTAGTAGTAGTAGTAGTAGTAGTAGTAGTAGTAGTAGTAGTAGTAGTAGTAGTAGTAGTAGAGTAGTAAATATTAATGTATAGTCTTAAGTTAGGTTTCTAGTATAGCTTGGCTAAGCATTGCAAAAAGCTTTTAGCCAAAACTGAATAAAGGGTTAACTATCGCGTGGGGTGGAAAGGCGTCAGCGTGGCCAGACCACTCACTCCCAAACTGACCTAATATTTCCCCTCTTGTCTTGTATGTGACTGCTGTCACAATCAATCTCAATTGAGGGCAGAGAAAATGCGAGGAGTGGCTGGCTGGTCCGCGTGCTGCCACCCCCCCGCTTTTGGTTGACTACTAGTATGCATGCTACTTCTTTGGGACTATGCCCATTCTGAGAGGATTGTAGATGTGATGAAAATCATGTTTATAGCAAGTACATTGCTGTAAAGTATATAACAACAACCATCAAGACCGCCATCCAAAAAAATCAAGCAGAAGCCCCATCCAACTGGAACCGCAACTCCGACTCCAGCTGCTCTCCCACCATAATTTCCCGCGCCATTGCAACCATCTCCACAAAGGACCCCTTCCCCACGTACCAGTCATACCGCCAGGTATGCCGGGCCGTTTTGCCGGAGATATCACAGGCGATTAAACAGCCACAGAAATAATGGATGTAGTTCCTAACCGCTACGTGTGCCGCCTGCTCATCGAAGGGCCGTCTGGCGGTTCTTGGAAACGAGCTTGCGCTGTCGTGCAGAAGCCTCAGCAACAGGACCTTGTCGACTCCCTCGATGTCGATCTCGAGGTCTCGGTCGGCCATCTTGACGGTGGGGAGCTTGCTTAGACGCGGACTGGAATCGGTCTGTTTCTAGAAGGGTATGGAAGGTTGTCGTAATAGGTGTGACGGAGTAAAAAGAGTATATTTATAGCTTGCATGATCGAGACCCAGCTCCATCGCACAAACAAAGGTTGCCGGATTCATGGTGATCATCGACTGTCGCAACAGCGGCGACAAAGCCATCGGTGTGCCGGCTGTCTTTGACACGCAGTCTGCAACCAAGGCTTCGGTGGAAGAACCCATTTAACTCCACCTCTCGGCAAAGACTCCATCCGGAAGGAACGCCTGCACCGCAGCATCCCCTTTGTGATACCGTTGAAGGTACAAGCAGATCGAGGGACATTCCACTCGGGCTCTCAGCTCAATCCATCAGATGCTGCGACCGGCCTTGCGGTACCACAGATACAGCAACACGAGCGCGGCAGGGTCCCTGTTGCGGAGTATGTCCTCAAAGACACCATGGATACTGCGGATGAAGAGCTACACTGGACCGGTCGTGACTCTTGTGTCTGGAAGGTCCAGGATCTGGGCAACAGCGTGGGCGGCCTCGAAGTACGGATTCTCTGTCGCCGTCGATCCCTCGTGAAGGACGCACAGGGCCGCCACGGCCCGTGGTATACCATGCACGCCGCGCTGCGGCAAGGGGGTGTTCATCTGCGCAAAGGTGGGCGCCATGACGCGGAAGACACTGTCTGGGCGTAGGGGATCGACGATGTGCCACAGTGCCATTTTACCTTTGCTCAGACGGACCCAGTCCAATGCATCGGTTTGGTCTGAGAGGGTGAAGGGCCACGATTCTTCCGGCGTGCATGCCTCAGGAGAGGAGAAGGCCAGGACGGCCAGCGCAGCCAGCGTGCCCCAGAGTGGATCCTTGTCTTCGGCGTTGATCGGCCGCTCCCTGAACCGCCGGTTGAGGAGTGCGGTGCTCTGGTACCAGTGGTAGCACTCGTCCAGACTGCGACGGCTGCCTGTTGGGGTATTCAGGTGGCGGTCGTAGGTGAGTGCCACGGCGAGAGAGGCGTGCATGAGATAAGGGTACTGTCAGCGTGAGATTAGCCGAGTGCGATCTAGGATGTCGAGCCCCACACGATCATACCGGATAGTATGTCAGTACTTACGGCGAAGGCTAGTTGCAGGAGCCTGCGATTCACGTGCATCATGTTCGGGTCGTCCGGGCTGAGAAGACTACTTCCATAATACCGGGTGAGGAAGTCCTGACACTTCGTGTTCAACTGATAAAAAGTCGATTGGTCCGCGGTCCAGACTGCACTGGCAACGGGGCGTTGTAGCTCGGCTTTCCCTCGAGCCGTCAACCCCGTCTCAGCGGTGATGGGCTGTAGGTCGGGGATATTGAACACGAAGTTGCATGCTATCCCGAATGCGCGACATTTCTTGCAGTGAGGTCTGCTTTCGTCGCACTGGAGAGGCTCGGAAAGTACAGTACAATCAGCCAAACACGAAACAGTCCAGTTAAGGCGAGCCAACCAGCCAGCCTACCTTGAGTTTTCGGAGCTTGCAATTGCGGCAGCCATATCTGGATCTTCGTTGAGTGGTGCATCGCTTCCGGACAAGAGCATTTTCTGCACATGCTGAGGACATTTGGTGGGCTTGGGAATGGTACGGAATAGATGGGAGGTACCTGAGGTAGTCAGTCAGTCAGTCAGTCAGTTAGTCAGTCATTGGACTCAGTATAGGTAGTTCCCACATCGTCCCCTCAGGCACCCACCTTGCACGCACTAACCTTTTTGGGCACGAGATCTTCTACGCGGCGCTAGCCACATTTCGGATGCAGAGGTCTCTGATTGGCTACGAGGATCTATAACCATCAACGCCCTTCACATCGCCAGAGTCACCCTGTAGTCAGAAACAACACTTCAACAGCATAAATACCAGCCTCAATCCACCCAATCCCCAACCCTTTCTACCTACAAGAATCTTCTACTTCTATCCTCCCCTCCACCCCCCCCCCCAAAACCCTCCCCCAAAATGACAACCACCCACCTAGCCGCCATCTCCCCCGGTCCAAACCAACCCCTCGAGCTTCACCCGCGACCGACCCCTCAACCCGGCCCCAACGAGCTCCTCATCGCCGTCAAATCCATCGCCCTGAACCCAGCCGACCACATCATGCAGGACACCGGCCTCTTTGTGCCGGCCTCCAGCTACCCGACAGTCCTAGGCTTCGACCTCGCCGGCCTCGTCCTCGCAGCCGGCGCCGACGTCCCATCCCCCGAATTCCGCCCCGGAACCCGCATCGCCGCCTACAGCGCCCTAGTCTGGAAAGCCAGCCACCCGGACTACGGCGCGTTCCAGGAGCGGTGCCTCGTGCCGTGGCAGCACGCGGTCGTCCTGCCCGACCCCAACAACCACGAAGCGGCAGGGAACTTGACCTGGAACGAAGCCGCCACCCTCCCCGTCGCCGTGCAAGTCCCGCTGAGCGCGTGGGATGCGATGGGCATTCCCTGCACCGCAGCACCTACACACTCCACCTCCCAAAAAGAAAAGAATCAAGCCCTCCTCATCTGGGGCGCCGCCTCCAGCGTCGGCACCATGGGCGTGCAGACCGCGCGCCTCCTCCGCACCTCCCCAACCACCCCCTTCGCCGCCGTCTACGCCACCGCCGGCACACCCCGGTCCCGCGCGTACGTCGCCGCGCTCGGGGCGGACCGCGTCTTCGACTACGGGGATCCCCTCGTCGTTCCCAAGATCATCGCCGCCGCCCGGGAGGAGGGGCTGGTGATTCGCTATTGTTTCCTGGCGGTGGGCGAGTGGGCGTCGTGTCAGGCGGTGGTGGGGGCGTTTGTGGCCGACGCGAACCAGGAAAACGGGATGGTCGCGTCGGCGCCGCCGGTGCCTGTCCAGGCGGAGGGGGTGGTGGATGGGGTGGAGACGGTGTTTGTGAGGCCTGCGGCCGGGGAGGCGGAGAGACTGGCCCAGTTTCGGGGTTGGTTGGGACTGTGGTTGCGGGAGAATTTGGGGAGAGGGAGGATTCGGCCCAGTCCGGAGGTGAGGGTTGTGGGGAGGGGATTGGGGTTGGGGGCTGTGAATGCGGGCTTGGATGAGCTGCGGCGCGGCGTGAGTTGTGTGAAGTTGGTGGTGGAGGTTGCGGCGTGATTGATCGTGTGTTTGATGGGGTTCGGGGGTGAGGAGGCTGGATGATGGTCTATCTTGTTGTACTTTGTTTGTTTCAGCGTGCGAGATCAATCATATCTTTAGAATGGTCAGTTTCCGTCGTAGATGTTAATATCCTTTGAACAGTCAGTTTCCGTTGATGTGAAGCTTGGTAGAGTTCCCATAGAGCGTGTATGCAATACTTCCTAGCCATAGACTCCCTTTTACGCTGAGGGTGTTGCTATGGCATCACATCACTGAACCGACTCCGATCACCCACGGCAGACTATCCACAACAACAGATACTCTGTACTATCACCACCAGTTACCACCACGAACATCATAACAAAGAAAAGATATGAATTGCTACCAAGACTGTACATGATCGAACAAGACATGAAAAAAGAAAATTGAAACACCACCCACACGCAGACATACACCCAGACCCTTTCTCTAAGATCAAGCAAGAAAAAGAAGATTTGATTAATGTCTCGGACTTTTCCTTCCACTGACCCCCACCCCTTCAATTAACCTACTGGCCGGGAGAGATCAACTTGCCCTCAGCCCGGCTGTTAGGGTGCCATCCACCGGCATAGGGAGACTGGCCGCCGAGCTGCTCAGCGTGCTCGCGGATCCGCGCCTCCAGCTCGGGCCGGAAGTGACGGATCAGACCCTGGATGGGCCAGGCAAAGGCCTCGCCCAGAGCGCAGATGGTGTGACCCTCCACCTGCTTGGTCAGCTCCTGGAGCATGTCGATCTCGCGCTCGCGGGCCTGGCCGGTCTCCATGCGCTGCATCATCTGCATGGTCCACTTGCTGCCCTCACGGCAGGGCGTGCACTGACCACAACTCTCGTGCTTGTAGAAGGTCGACAGGCGGGAGATGGCGCGGACGACGTCGGTCGACTTGTCCATGACGATGACGGCGGCGGTACCCAGACCGGACTGGGAGTCCTTGAGGGCGTCGAAATCCATGAGCTGGTCGTCGCAGATAGACTTGGGGAGGATGGGGGTCGAGGATCCACCGGGGATGACGGCCTTGAGGTTGTCCCAGCCACCGCGGACACCACCGCAGTGACGCTCGATCAGCTCGCGCAGGGAGATGGACATCTCCTCCTCGACGGTGACGGGGTTGTTGACGTGCCCGGAGATACAGAAGAGCTTGGTACCGGCGTTGCGCTCACGACCGAAGGAGGAGAACCAGCTGCCGCCACGACGCACGATGGTGGGCACCACCGCCACGGTCTCGACGTTGGTGACCGTACTGGGGCAACCGAACAGACCGACGGCAGCGGGGAATGGGGGCTTGAGACGGGGCTTGCCGGCCTTGCCCTCGATCGACTCGATCAGGGAGGTCTCCTCACCACAGATATAAGCACCCATTCCACGGTGGATGTAGACGTCGAAGTCGTAGCCGGTGCCGCAGGCGTTCTTGCCGATCAGGCCGGCCTCGTAGGCCTCGTTGATAGCCCGCTGCAGGACGGTGGCTTCGTGGTAGAATTCACCACGGATGTAGATGTAGGCGGCGTTGGCGTTCATCGCACGGCCGACGACCAAGCAACCCTCGATGAGCTTCTGGGGGTCCTTGCGCATAATCTCACGATCCTTGCACGTTCCGGGCTCACCCTCATCGGCGTTGACGACCAGGTAACGGGGGCGGGGGTCCTTGTCCCAGTCCTTGAAGTTCATGAAGGACTAGATGCCACGCCCGATTAGCTCGGAATTGACCAATTGTTTGCCTCCGCACTAGAGGGAACTCGGGAGACACTTACGTATTTCAATCCGGAGGGGAAACCGGCACCACCACGACCACGAAGACCAGAAGCCTTGATCTCAGAGATGAGCTGTGCACCGAACGCAATCATTAGCATTGAATCGTTATCGATACCACATATCCGTCCACGTGTCGGCGATGGGGAGTGAGGTGGTTATCTTAGGGGCAGCGTACCCAGTCGTGACCCTTGAGGACAATGTCCTTGGTGCGGTGCCAGTCACCGAACTTCATTGCCGACTTGAGGTCGGCTCCATGGTGACCGTAAAGGTTGGTGAAGATGCGATCTTGGTCCTTCAGGCCGCCATAGTGTCGTACGGGGGGAGCGTTGTCCTGGACAGTCGCGAAAGAACGGGCAGCCGGGGCCTGGGCTCGGAGGGAGCGGGAGGAAAGGTTGGCGATGGAGGAAGATGAGGGAGCCGCCGCTCGGGATATCATGGTGAATGTTGGCCCAGTGGCTGCACGGAGAGACTGGGGGGAAAGGTGTCAATTGGGGGGGGGGAGGCGGAGGGGATCGAGATGATGAAGGCGTTCAGCAGTTGAGCTTCCACCCTTCCGGCGCGGCAATTCCTGCGCCTGCTGAATATCCGCCTTTCCCCGCCCGTTGATTGGCCTTGTTTATGTCACGTGATGCATAATGAATAAGCCGCGCTTTTGTGCTAGTTATACCTTACATTTAATTCTATTCCTATTCGTGATCAGAGTCTTGATCTCATCGAGTCATCATCCAATTCTTCGTCGCGTGTACTCCTCCTGAGGAATATACAAGTACGACCCTGTGGACAACATCACCTGCCCATCGCTGGCTAGCAAGCGCAGCGGATCTTCAGGCATGTGCACGCACTCCTGCTCTGCTACCATCCACGCCCAGCGTATCCAATTGGGCGACAGCCACCAGTCATCGTTCTGCCATGGGCCTGTGTAGGCCTCCAATCCAGTAAACGCGCCAGAGATCTGTGACTTGATCTGCTCCAGAGCCTCATCAAATTGGCTCACTAGGTACTCATCATCCTCATCCTCGAGCGCCCAGGCCACATCATTTGGCGGCGGCGGGTAGTGCTCGAGCAGGAATTTCGCCCATCGAGTAAGTCTAGGCGACAATTGGCCTCCCGCAGAGCCTGGGACCTTCGTAGTTGTACCAGCTGCGGCAACGAGACACAAGAAGATGGGAAACGCGAAGGGCGATGTCTCCGCGCTACCTCTGAGTACGGGGATGGCATTCTCCGTGGTGTTGAGGACATCCTGGAAGCATGCCTTGCATGGCTGTTGCATCTCCGTCGGCAAAAGGCCTGGCAGTTCGGTCAATGTAAATAGTTCCCCGTTCTTGGTGAGCAGTGACTGCCTCTCTAAGATCCGCATCTGCAGCCGGGACAAGATCCCCTCCGGGAATTTGCCGGCAGGTATCCGGGCCATATGGGCCCCAAGTATCCTTTTCGTTTCTTCCCAGCTACCAGTGAAGCTGTGCTGCCGCGCGCGGTTCAGAGTCCATGCAGCAATCACCAGAGCGGTTTCAGACAGCATGATCTGGCTGTCACGGTACATCTTCGCGTGAATCTGTTTCAGATTCCTCGGGCGCTGTAGATCTTGGCCGGACGCTCTCAGCTTCACAGCATGATTGATAAGTTCAATGACAATCTGGCTCATTGCAGCCAGCAGCGCGCGTGAGTTACCGTAGGCGCCGGGAATTTTGATGTCGTGGTCCGTGATTTCTAGAGTCTCCAACTCCCGATTGTTCGCCGCCAGGACGGAGACCGCATTGAGGAGAGCGGGGGAGAAGATCGAATGCTCCATTGCAGTATCCGGGGCCAGCAGCGGATAGAAGATGTTGAAGACATAGTAGTGGTCTTCAGTGTCCACAGCCAACTGCGGGAACATTTGGAGCTGGTGGGAGCGGGCCTGCTGAAGCGGACTACCGGGTGGTGCGCGAAGACTCACAATGCGATAGTCACAAGGGTTGCCCGGAAGACAGAAACCGTAGTTCATCATCACTGCTTGGGCGTCAGTCCAGCTGTCAAAACAAACATTGAAGACAGCCATTGATTCTACTTACATTGTTCATTATTCCGAGGTCCGTAGTTATTGGAGATCTCCTCTCCAGCACTCACGTTCTCCAGAACCACGAATCTGACCTCATCCTTCTCCGCTCGCCACTCGACCTTAGCCAGCGGCCGATGATTAGCCACGTCGAAGAAGGGCAGCAAGACCGAGATATTCTCCTCCGACAGCTCCTCTTTGGGAATCACACCGGACAAGACCTTCGCAGAGAAGGCGCGCGAGAAGAAGATCGTCGAGGCCCATAGATAGAGATCCCTAGCCACACGAGGTTAACCCCAACCCCCCGTCATCCATCCCCTTTCACCAACAACAAAAACAAGACATCCACAACACAAAGCCTCAAACAAAAAAGAAGAAAAGCAAGAATACGCACCAAGTATACGCCTCCACCCCCTCAAACCCAGCCTCCCTCAACGCCCGCACGGCAGCCTCATACTTCCCCTTCAGCTTCTCGACCCGTTGCTCCCTGGCCGGCAACAGACTGGTCCCCTGCAACCACCGCAGATCCTCCCCCTCATAGTTGGGCGGCGTCGTCAAGGTGCCCGGCTGCGGCAACGTCCGCAGGTACGGGTACCAGAAGCTCTGCGCGCCGCGCAGATACTGGCCCACCAGGAAGAAGACGGTCGCCTCCTTCGAGCCGACCGCATCGATGAAGGCGCGCGGGAAGTCCAGGCCGTGGGACTTGAACTCAACGATGCCACCGTCGTTGGCGTCTGCATCTGCATTGGAAGCGGCGGCGGCGGATGATGCACGGTACCCGATGACGTTGAAGTACGAGATCGTCGTGGTCAGCGGCGTCTGGATGATGTGCGTGTCCACGGCCAGGAGACCACCCTCGGTGCCCTGGCGGACTTGCAGGTGCACCCCGCGTTGCTCGTCTTTGGTGACCTGCACGGCGTGGTGCAGCTGGCCACCGTGCTGGGCCATCCAGGCTTGGAGGTCGGCGTAGATCTCGAGCCCGGTGGGGGCATTGGTGGTGCTGCGAGGGAGATGTCAGTTCCTTTCTGTTTTAGGTTTTGTGTTCGTGTTATTTTATTTTTATAGGGAATAATATGAAGAGAGAGAGTGTGTGAATGGCAACAGAATACCATCCAGTGGACGCTTATCATATAGCTCGTAGCGATTCAACGTCATGCTTGGATCCTATCCGGCGATAGAACGAAAGTAAAGCCTCGACTTACCTGGGAGACCCCGCGGTCGTGCTCGCAGCCATACTATGAGAGGATGGCCACTTAATTGGTTGACTCGGACGACTGACCACTAGAATAGCTACCTTTGTTGCTGAGAAGTAGAAATTGCAGTTCTCGGAAGGTCAAGAGCTGAGCTTGAGAAGAACCTTGGCGGGTCGAGCAATTAATTGACATGATTCGATTTTCGACTCCCGAACCGGAAATTGTCCCACTTTTTCACTCCCGACTCGGGATTCTGTCGCAGCACAGCACTTTTCTTCGTATCAATAACAATAAGTTTACTACGGGCACGATGATCATCTTCGAGAAAAAACAAGATCAAAAGCCTTTGTCTCCCAAAAGTATCTTACAATTCCGACAAAAATAGCAGTAACACAGTAGGGTGCCCCCAAGATCATCCAAAACGCAGTAACATCAAGCATATTCGTTATAATAGAATTCTCGTCACTTCACATCATTCAAAGCTCTAATTGCTTTGAGAATGAAGATAAAACAGAAAAATAGGAGGGAGAATATATTATAGCATACTCCCCACGAGATCATGCGGCTGTAACAAGCATCCATAAACAGCACCATCTCAAACTCGTGATCAAGCCGACCTCATCATCACAGGATAAGCACACGCGAATGCCATGCAGTCAACTAGTGTACATCAGATGGAATCTGTACTAATCCCATCAAGTCAAGCATTATCAAAGCAACCACCCAAGACGTAGTAACCTAAGATTCACAGTAACAGGAAAAGGGAATCCGCGAAAGACAGAAACTGAAGGGGAAGAGGATATCAAAAGAGCAAACAAAGATGAATGATCAGTGCATAGAAGATGTTGAAGACTTCCTGCCCGGCACTAGAATCTCGACTAGCCCGTCATCCTCCCCGTCGCTGCTGTCGTTGTCGTTATCCTCGCCGAATGGAGAGGCCCCCATGCGGGATCGAGCAAAGTCCATGTAGCGCCCCGGTCCCAAGTCGGGATAGCCGAGCGATTCATTCATGATCGCCTCATCCTCTTCGTCCGAGTCCATCATTCGAGGGTCAGCAGACGGCCCCACCATCTCGCCCATGTCATCGTCGTCGTCCTCCACTTCCAGTGGAACCCGTTCCTTGCGCCGCATGCCCTCGGTTCGACCTTCTCCGTCATCATCGGAGGAACCAGTGGAGAACGAGTCGGGAGGGCTAAAGCCAGACTCCGGGAAGGTGGGCGAGGAAAACGGCTCGTCTTTGTCACCCGTCGGAGGGAAATCGTTGGATGGGAAAGCGGCATCTGCTGGAGAGTGGTTGCCTTCCGTGTCTTCGTCAAGGCCAGCAATCACAAAGGGATTGGTCGGCCACTGGGACTCAGGTGTCTCATGTTCGCTCCCCAGATTCCTGTCTTCGGCCCCTTCCGAGCCGTCATTAGTCTGCTGCTTTTGAGCCGCAAGACGAGCGGCTAATTGCCGCCGTGCGCGAGAGGGTCCTTGACTCATCGGAGCAGGGGGCGGGGGAAGAATGGGTATCGGTTGGCTGGTCGAGTTGGCAGATCCCTGAAGATAGAGTAAGGTTAGCAAATTTGTAAGCAGAGCGACTTGAAATGCTTGTTTCCTCATATGCATGGTCAAAGAACAGGATAAATGAAGCTTCATAGATGACAAGAACTAGGCTCAGCCGCAGCGGGAATTCAAAGAACTACTCGTACGGGGAAAGGTATTGCTTGGTTGTAGAAAGTCATCCGCACATGATATCGGGGAGTAGTACTGTTCTGAATGACTTCATACATATTGAGAAGCGCTGCCAGTCCAACACGTTGTGCCAGGCCCTGTATGGCCCGTACCACTCCCGTCATCCATCATGTGTCTAAACTTCCAGCGGCCCGAGTTGGGAGCGAAATAGTCAAGGGATTCGAAAGAAAAGGTTCGCGAGGACGGATATAGATGGGGCAGCCTGAGTCGATACGAATCGCCTCGGCAATATGTTGAGGGAGGTTCAAGCATCGCGCATATCGATATCTGTGAAATCGTGATCACCCACATTGTCTGATCCGGCTTCGGCGGATTGATCGGCCAGGTTTCTATCGTCCTGATCTTCCATTTCCTCGTCTTCATCATCACTCGAGCTGGCGAACCCGCTCAGGAGAGAATTCCCAGCAAGTCCGAATGCCCCGCCGGATACGCTTCCTTGGTTCATCATGTCAAAACCTTGAAAGCCAGAATTTCCCGAAGAGCCATTAAGCCCTGCATCTGCAAGCGCCGATGAAGCATTGGCGCTCTGGCCTGAATTGATCATGCCTTGGCGATGTCCAATGGACATGTCCGGCCGTACGCCACCGAGAATTGCATTGTCACGTTCCCTTGTCTCGGAGAGCGTTTGCTCGACATACTCAATCCACTCAGGGTTGAGGACACTCTCCATCACAGTCGGTGAAAGCAGCTCCGGTGGGTGGCGTTCGCTGAACTTGACGACCTCCTCAGCGATCAATGTGAGATGACCCATGTAGCCCAGGCGGATCCGTCTTGTGCGCTGGGTTTCGTCACTTCTCTTCTGTCCGTCGACAATGCTCTGCGTTATCCGTCCTGTCTCGAACACATCAACAGCCAGCATCCGGTTGTAACCACGTTCCATTGGGCCATTGAAAACTTGCTGTACGACGTCGTAGACGACGTTATGAAGGAAGTTGTTCCACGGAAACCGGAAAAAGAAATCCTGCGATGCTGTTAATTCTGATACCATAACCTGGGAAGCTGAAGGGGAGACAAACCAAGATGGTGGGAACAACCTGGTTTTCTACGAACATAATCTTAAGATAATCGCCAACCACAGGCTGCCCATTAGAATCAACCTGAATGTCAGGGTGCAGTGGTTGCTGTGAAGAAGAAGTATCGCCGACCTGGCCAGCAGTATCAGGCGAGGAAGAGCTGGGTGGCTGATTATCTTGATCGGGGGCAGGTACCGCTTCAGGAGTGGGCTGCGTCTGACTGGCTGGCTCGGTAGTAGTCTCAGCAGACGATTCATCCGGCTTGGCGGGCTGCCCACCGTCGAGGCTAACTTCCTGAATTTGATCTGCTAAGCCAGACGTAGTATCAGTCCCAGTGGGAGGCGCCCTGGTAGAACCTTCTGTCTTGCTTTCAGGTGCCTCAATCGCAGTCGGGTCTGTGACATCAGCAGATTCAGAAGAGCCGTGTGAAACAGCTTCAGGCTCGGACTTAGGGCTGGGATGGTTCGCTTCCCTGACCCCCGCATCCTTCTCTTTGTCAACGAGGACGCCGGATGCGCTGACATCCTCAAAGCTCTCCTCGCCGGTGTTGGCAACTTCAAGAACCCTCGAACCTTCTGGTGAGCCGTAACCAATAACAGATCCGTTCACGAAGTCCACAGTAGAGTCATTGCCATCAAAGGCGGACGTCTCCTCTCTGTGCGCGTTGAAGGCACCTTCACGCATGAGCCTTTCGCGCTCAGCATCGCGCTGTCGAACGTACTCGTCACTTCCTGGCTCATTCAACAGACCCATGTTACTGCAGTGTAGCAGTTCCGCCATCAGCTCACAGGTCTTAAATCTATCGAAGCCCAGAGGCTCGATTTTAGCGCCCCATGCCGAGTTCAGCTTTCCCCTTTCAACTGTCTTCACTTTTCCGCCGTCGTTGACCGTATGCTTGGAGCTCTTGATCAAGGCCATGAAGTCGGGTATGTGCTTGGCAAAAAGTCGGAGGAGGTTGCCAAGGTAGATTGGATCATATGTGGTGGGTGGTGATTCCGGCCCATTGATGTTCTCCGGATCATAGTCTGAATTATTCTTTCGAATAACCTCAATAATGATACCCACACCGACCGTCAGTGGATTTCCACCCTTCAGCATGGATTTGATCAAAGTCTCTATGCAGGTTGTGGAGACTAATTGCCGCGTGAGACTATTGGGGCCGATGCAGGACTGGTCATTCTGCGTTGCATTTGCCGAAATAGTGATTATTGCTTTCAAGAAGTCACCTGCCGAAGTTTGGACGGAGGCAGGGTATTCCGGCGACAAGAACGATAGCAAGGTCGGTATGAGGTTTTGGGACCTCAGCCACTGAGAGAATGGTCAGCTTGTGTTATGAGCACCCGGTCCCATGGCTTTATCAGACTCACATCAACAATCCCTTGGCCACCTTCAACTTTCTCCAAGCTGATAATCTTCAACAACAGATCCATGACCATGGGGTTATCCACATGCCGGAGGATGGCCGGAACCACGCCATCCATGGACTTCAGCAGGTCCAGCATCTCGGTCGTCTTCTTGTCAAACAGCGTCTCGTTGACTTTGGTGAAGTAACTCGCCTGGACCGAGTCCAAGGACGAAGGACGCTTCAGAAAGCCCCAGAAGTGCTTCAGATGATCGGGGTTCAACATAATCGACTCCACAATCGACCAGATTTCGGATGACAGGATTTCGCAGGCGACATAAGCCCGCTTCAACCGATCCTTCTCTGCCCGCTCCAGGTCCTCCGGGTCCAGCATATCCCTGAGCGGGTCTTTGTGTTTCTCCTCCACCGCCGATGCATCATTGTTCGACTCGGTGACATTGCTGTCATTGGTATCATCGTCTTCATCATCGTCGTCATTCACTAGCGACGGGGCGATCACGTAGTCCATAAGCCGTTTCAAGACATTATCCTCTCGTAAGAATTCTATGAGCTTCGTATTATTTTGCTTGAGTTCCTGGATCAGTTCCGACTCATCCAGCAGCTCCTCCAGGCTGACATCGGGCTTGTCTAGCAGGGTATCAATGCTAGAGATACTCGCATATCCTCCAAAACGCCAAAACATGATGATTTATATAACCGGCCGAACCGAGTCATGGAACGAAGATTCGGTAGAATGCGGATTTTTCTAGCGGCCGGAGTCCCCCGTCGAAAACGTTGCGACTGGAACCTGTTGTATGTTACAAAAGCCGTGAGAGTGTCCAAAGCCTCTAGCCTATGGAACAACCCATGCAATGTTTCAGGTCGTCGTGAGTGAGAAGTGTGTGTATGAAGGCGGGATCGCAAGCGTAATGGTCGTTATGTTCACGCGTTCCAGGTATAGAAAATGAGATCGGGAATTTCGTAAGCGGAGATGAGCCTGGTCGGAGCGTCCAAGCGCTACATGCGCCGAGTATCCCAGTTAGCAAACCTCTTCGCGCGTTGAGCGTCATAGTCATGGACGAGGGGGGGGAGAAACGTGGATTGTGAGGATCGGGAACATTAGGGGTGGCTTCGCCCGAGGATCGGAGGATAGCAGGGAAGACTTCAGGCAGGCAACACAATGACCGGGTCAGGCATTGCGGCCGCGACTGCAGAATTCACCAGATGGCAGGCATGAAGGCCCAGCAAGCGGAGGACAAAAGCTTAATTATTGCAAGATATACCATATAAATTCAGAAGAAACACACGTACCTTTCACAACCTGAGGGAGTGACAAGAGAAGAGAGAACGGTGGTGGAATCCTCAACAAGGGGAGGAATCGGGGTTCGTCGGCCTTGCGCTGCACGGGGTGAAACGAGTCAGTCAGTAAGATGAAGCAGGAATAGTGCGTAATGGGGATGATGGATGAAGGTTAAGGCAGTAAGTCAATGGATGGTGCTAGGCGTGTGTGGGTAGTACAGTAAGTACTGTAACTACAGTACCTTAAGAAGAATAGGTAGATAGTCAAGGAAGGCGGGCTGACATCCGCAGGGCAGGCAGTTCAGTCGGACTGTTGCTGCGTTGGCTGGCTGTGTCTGGATCGGTCGGTAACTCTGATCCCTGGAGGTGACGAGAGAAATGATCCAGGCGGAAATACCCAACACGCCCGAGCGACGGCGGGGGGAGGGCAAATTTTGGGACCAGAGATACGCGAGGGCAGAGTAAGAAGATTAAGAGAGGGGGGTTGAACGAGGAGGAGGAGGAGGAGGGGGGGGGGGGGAAGTGGGATAGTTCAGTCCTGCGGAAATGAATAATAATGGTCGATGAGTTTCACAGTCTGGGAATTGCTTAGTGGGTTGGAGGGAGTTCGACCCGGATGATTAATCAGAGAAGAGGGCAAAGGCATAAAGCATGAAGACTAAAGACTACAAAGTTGTTCTCTTCTTTGGTGATATGGTAAAGTGGAATCTTGGTATTTCCTCTATCTTGACAAAACGTCTGTAACTACTGAGTAAGGAAAGGCGCAGTGCAGTAACAGTCGGAGTCTTCAGGCTGGCTGCACGAGACGAGTTCCAGTTCCAGTTGGTATTGCTTGCTTCCTTGCATGGCCGGTGCTGGGAGGTTCGGGCCTACGTATCAGGTACCGCACTGACCATACCCGCTCGTGTGTGGGTGCAAGTACCGGGTACGACTAGCCCATCATTGCGGAATGCTGATTGCGTCGGAGCCTGCAAACCACCCTGCAAACTGTTACTGTGTATGATCCCAAACAGGCAGAGTTGGGCAAACCAGACCAGTACGAAGCAAGTTACTCCGTAGTCAATGTGGAATCTGGGGTGTTGCTCAGATTCTCCATTTACCCCGGTCGGGTCGGTCAGATGACCCGTGGAGTGTCTGTCTGGTCAATCCCCAAATTTAGGATGCCATCTCGAAATTCAGCCTGATAATATCTAATGTCTTACATCTTGCTGTACCGACACAATCGCCGATCGCTAAGACTTCCGAACGCAAGCGCTCAGTAATGTCGCCCGTCAAAGTCTGGCTTCGGATCAGATTGCGAGAGAAAACGACGAACACTGTTGCCTGTCACTACACCCTCACACATTCATGAACAAAAGTAAGCACTTGGAAAGTGACGTCTACCTCGCTGTGCTCGAAGTACATCCAATACTCGAAGGTAGGCGGCGAGACTAGTAGTATTTACTGCCTAACGGACGGACGGTGTTCCTTCCCAGTTCCCGCCCTCCAAATAAACCACTCCAGCTTCCATTCATTCGGTTGCCACAACACAACCCCAACTCTTTCTCCCCAGTCCAGTCACTCCGTCATCATCCCCTTCTTGATCATCTCTCATAAAAGAAGAAACCAACAATGAACCGACTATTCGGTAGCAAGAACACGGCTCCCAAGCCAACACTGGACGGGGCAATCAGCAATGTATGTGTCCCACTCTCTCCCTTCGCCTTTCCGGTTCACCCCTCCCTCTCTCTCTCTCTCTCTCTGACACTTTCGCATCTCCCCTCTCGCTTCTCCGCCCTTCCCCTCCAAAAACCAACCCCGCACGCATAACCTGCAATGGCCTGAACTAACCCATTCCACCCCCTCCGCCTTTTCCCTTGGAAACAAACAGGTCGAGAATCGCATCTCCAGCATAGACGTGAAGCTAGCGGCCCTGAACTCGGAGCTCTCGACGTACCAGGCCAAGATCGGCAAGATGCGCGACGGGCCCGGCAAGACGGCGCTGCGCCAGAAGGCGCTGAAGGTGCTGCAGCGGCGGAAGCAGTACGAGGCGCAGCGCGACCAGCTGTCGCAGCAGTCGTGGAACATGGAGCAGGCGGGGATGATGCAGGACAACCTGAAGAACGTGATGACGACGGTGGACGCGATGAAGACGACCACCAAAACCCTCAAGAAGCAGTACGGGCAGATCGACATCGACAAGATCGAGCGCATGCAGGACGAGATGGCCGACCTGATGGACATCGGCAACGAGATCCAGGAGAGCATCTCGCGCGCCTACGACGTGCCGGAGGATGTCGACGAGGCGGAGCTCGACGCCGAGCTGGAGGCCCTGGGCGAGGAGACCTTGATGGAGGGCGCCATGGCCGACAGTGCCATGCCCAGCTTTCTCCAGGACGAGGTCGCGCCCCCGCAGTTCATCGATGAGCCGCCGGAGCAGAGTAAGATCAAGGAGCCTGCGGGCGGGCTTAGCTGATTGGGTGCAACCGGGGTGGGTCTCGTCTCTGTTAGTCTAGGTGTTCGAACTATGGAAGCATTCGGAGTTGGGTCATGTCTATTCTCCTTCAAGATTTCAATTGAAGCAATTTGATTCTTTTTTTTTCTTCCTTCCTTCTGCTAAGCTATATACTGGGAATGGCTGGAGATCGATCCAGGCTAGAGTCTGGCGCAATCTTGCAGTCGTAAAAATTGTCTGTCGGCTCAAGCTTCAAGCCTTGCCGAGTCCAAGGAGAACAAGAAGCGCGACGTTCATCACCACAATAATCAACCAGACAATAACAGCGATGATGGTTACGAAGAGATTGTTTTTCATCTTGACTCCTCCCGGCGCCGATTCTCCGCCCTCGAAGACCCGGTCAGTTGGGACGGTCATGTAACGGTTGCGACATGTAAAGTAGATAAGAGGCGCGCTGACAAAGGGAAGGATGACACTCAGAACCACTTGGCTGGCATTTAAGGTCTTGTCCAATCCATCCTTGCCGACGGCAGCCGCAATGATTATGCTAGGGATGATACTGATCGATCGAGTAATCAATCGACGGAGCCAGGGTCTGATAGTCCAGTTCAACATCCCCTCGCTTACCATCTGCCCCGCCATGGTACAGACAATTCCGGCAGAGATACCCGAGAGGAGGAGCGCTAACCCGAATATCAGACCCGCCGCAGGAGCAACTGAGCTGGAAAGTAAGTCGTATATGCCCCAGAGGTCCGCATTATCGGCCCCGGGAGTGCCATAGAGTGAGGCACCTGCAACAATGAGAATGGCGCTATTCACAAACAGGGCAAATGTGAAGAGTGACAACGTAAGCTCAATGATTGAGTACTTCATGCAACCCCGGATGGCATGGATGGAGGGTCTATACTCGACCTCCCCACCGGTGCTTCCGAGGCAGACGGATGGATCCACGTAGCCTTGAGTAACATCGAATTCTTTCAGTCGGGATTGAACCACTCCGCTGCCTAGGAACATCGAGTGAGGCATTACCGTTGCGCCGAGGATGCCGCAACTTTGATACAGACTGCCAACCAACATGTCAGGACTGTGCATACGTAAAGTAGATGACGGCTTACATACCCTTCTGATTGGACGATGGCAGATGAGGGTAAGTAGCCCCGGAATACGTCGCCCACAGATTGCTCTTTGATCAGCGAAAGCTGAATGCAGAAGCAAATCACAACCCCCAGTACAAGAAGCATTACGAAGACTTCGAACAGACGCAACCCCCACATGGCCCCATTTGGTCGGTAGAATATGAGGATAAAAAGGACGTCAGCCAGAGTAATCGCACATCCAGCGACTAGAGGGATTTTGAGTAATAGGTTGAGCGCAATCGCCGATCCAATTACCTGCCAGGGCGGTCAATTGAACATTCCGCCTAGGAAACGGAGTCAAGCTCCTCGGAGAGAGTCGGTCTTACCTCTGCTATGTCAGTGGCGACAATGGCCGCCTCTGAAAAGACGTACAGAACAATAGTGAGCCACTTCGGAAGGTGTTCCCTACAGTTCTCCGCAAGGTTAAGCCCGGTCACTGTGCCAAGCTTAACGCACAGGGACTGGAGAAAGATAGCAAACAAATTGGAGACGAGCACGATGAACAGAAGAGCGTAACGGTACTCTGCGCCTGCTGCAACATCGGTCGAGTAGTTTCCAGGATCAATGTAGGCTACTGCGATCAGAAAGCCGGGGCCTATGAACCGGGCGAATTTGACAAGGCTTTGCGCCACATGCGCAGGATATGAAAAGATGGTTGATTTGAGAGAACGGCAGGGAGATCCGCTGTCTCCCCCGGGGATATGATCCCCAGGGGCGACAGAGATCACCCCACCGGGGCACTTCTCCTCTATCTCGGTCTCATTCCCGTCTAGACTATGCGGTCGATGATCCATTGCCGAGACACCTTCCTCTGAAGCGCCTCCCATCCCCGACGCGTGCCGCCTATGGACCTTAGAATTGGCGAGCCCGTTAAAGTCACTTCGGGTGGTGACGTCTGCGTTCAAGGCGGGCGGATTCTGATTCCAGTCGGGATGCTCGAGGGTATCGTCGGTGCGTGAAGGGCAATTCATGGGGGGCGAGGTGGTTATATGCGCTGGCACGAGCGTGGAAGATTTGAGAAGTGAGTGTACTGGGATTGTAAGCACACCAGGTGGTTAAGTGGACATGGATTGCCACGAGTGTCGGAATAAAGATGAGGCCAGACTACGTCGGGATCTCAACCGGAAGATCAAGTACCCTGCGGGGAAGAGAGCCCGAAACTGCCCGAATGCGGTTATCACCAGTCACACACAGGGAACGAGAACGACAAAACCGGCCAGATCACTTCCTGTGCGTCGGAAGTATAAAGCTGGCAAGACAGCGAGCAGAATGGGTGATGGTGGATTTAGTTTGGCGACCAGTGTTCGAAAGCTAGCTCAAGGTATGAGGTGGAAGTGGTGGAGGGAAGAGAGAGGAAGGGAAGAAGAGAATTTTGGAGGCATGACGGCATGCGGCATCCCACTGGAGGCTGTTCGCGGTGAAGTGGTGGCCAAGCCTTCGCTTCTTACTAAATGCGATCGCATTTCTAGGCAACATTGAACCTGGCTTGGCTTATGATTTAGGTTAGTCATAGGTGGTGTAGTTAGTGGTAGAGGAGGAGAATGGGCAAGAATGATGAAGGTAACCAAGAAGTACACTGATCAAACTGATAAGCGGGGGAAGAGGGGAAGAGGGGAAGAGACCGATTATAAAGAGGGTTGTTGTTGATGAGATTGTACAGTACAGTACAGGCCATTGTTTGTCCTGATTGTCACTAAGGAACCTAAGGAATCCAAGGTACGGCTGGGCTCGGCGGCTCCCTTGCAGCCTTCCCGCCTCAGGCGCCGCCTTTCCCCGCGATGATAGCCTTGTGAGGGATTATTGATTGGGCCACCCAGAAGACTATCTTGGAACTATAGGACAGAGTGTACAGGGTACCTTGCACTACTTGCACTACTTACACTACGAAGCTCAGTACATCATCCAGAGCTGTCATCATTGAATAACAAACTAAATACGACTAGCCAGCCTTAGACCTACGCCGTTATTAATTTATTTTTTGAAGTCTCAGATAGAATGTCACCATTGTTTTCCCCTTCCTACTCGTATTTCCGAGACCCAGTCCTACCTTATGGACTAGATCCCCCACCCTATTGTGGCAATAATCCGGACTGTCACAAGTACGGAGTAGTTATCATATCATCTCATATGGAATTCTGCCAGCCCCCCCAATATAACATCATGCATCCCGGGCAACTGGCAGATCAGCCGTCTGAGAATTATGACAGATGCCATCACTTCCTCCACTATGACATCGTTTTCAGCTTAGAAATCCAGTCCTCATGACGGAGATGGTCGGGCAGCAGCGATATCAGTGGTATCAGCAGCAATAGCAGCATCAGCAGCATCGTCATCCTCGTAATCTGCAGGCGATCAGGCAGGTGATGGCAGAGGTTGATATCAATCTATCGCATCCATCAACTTCCGGCGCGACCGGCCGAAAACAGGTTGGTTGCCCGGGACAACCCCGCCGCCCGCAGCATGTTTACACCCTCCGCTTCATGCGCGGCGCAGTTCATCTCCAGCCGTTTGGCTATGGCGTATGGGCTCCATTGCCCATATGCCGATTAGGTTAGACAGTGGAGGAAGCATGCTCGTTCTTCTTGCCTTGTCCCCGAGCCTTGGAAGTCTTCAAATGCCCGGCCCACCCACCTGAGGTTGGCGTTCGTTCCGGTGTGTGTGTCTGTGTGTTGCCCCCCCGTCTGCTCTTGTCGTGTCTATGCGTGCTGGCTGTTACTGCTAGTCACAGTCTAATAGCGGGCGCTGCCTTCACGCGTCTTCCTCTCCTTCTTCCTTGTCGTGTCTGGTATGATCCTCGTCTTCGCTTCCTTGATAGATATTTCGAAATTCCTGGAGCTTCTTCGATGTCTGTTGTTACCTTGAGCTGCATGTCGCTGCTATCTCGTTTCGCATAAGACTTTCCCTCGTCTTCTCTTCGTCATCGCCGTTATTCCGCGTCGCTGGTGATCCTTTGTCTCATTGTGCTGGGGCAACTGCACCGTGAGTAATTTATGCCTAACTACTCCGTCCTTCTCCATCCCCCTACTCCACATCCATACTAACCAGATCCGCGATTCTCAAGTCAGCTCCAGGCAGAAGGGCAATTCTTCGAAATGGCACCCACTGTGGAATCCCCCAGCATCTTTGACGACGCCACCCGAAGTCCTTCCAGGCCCTCAGTCTTCCGAGCATTCTTGTCCCCGAAATCCCACAAACGGAACTCCTCTGCGGATGACGCCTTCCCCTCCAAGGCTTCTTATGGAAGCCAGTCTTCCGACGGTTCCACTACACCGCCTGGTGATGGGGCCTATGCGTCATTCAACCAACAACCACTCACGGAAATTGCCCCAAACCGGGAATCGGCCGACATAGGCTCAGCCCAGAGATCGCCGGGGAAGCAAGGGAAGAATACACTGCACAAGAAGACCAAGAGTGCGGTCTCCCTAAAGTCTCTCAAGAGCTACATGGAGCGAAAAGAGCCCAAACCGGAGGAAGCCCTGGATGTTGACGCGCAGAACCTGAGGCCAAAGAAGGCTAAGTCGGCCAACAGCCTCTCTGCTATCCTGAGAAGGTCGCAACGCGGAAACAAGACGGAGGGTTCCAAGACTGCTAGGGACAAGGAGAATCGAAGCCCATCGGATTTAGTTGACGGCATGGCCTCACCCGCCTGGGACCAGTTTGTGCCGCCCTTGTACCCCGACCAAGCCGCACTGTCTCCAACACAGAACAAGCGTAGAACCATGCAAGAGGAGACAGCCCCATGTACACCCAGGGCATATGGACCGACACATCAAAGTAATCTCTGGGACTACGATCAGCAGCCATCTCCCACTCCTCGCACTTTACGGACCGAACCCAAACCGCGACCGAAATCAGACTACCTCGCTGGAAGCCGCAGAATGAAGGAAGTCCTGGCCCCTTTACAGGCTCTATCTTCCGACAAGACGGCGACGACGGACACAGCGGGATCATCGCCATCCAAGCGATTCGGAAGACCTCGAGCATTGTCACGGCCAGAGAAGGGCGAGAAAGCTGAACTGGCGCGAGAGCAGAGCCCAAAGGTCTCTCGCGTTCAGGCCGCTATCTCCGCGTTGAATGCTAAAGAACAGGAGGCTGAACTGCGGAAACGCCTAAACCCGAAGGAACTCGACTCAGAATTCGAGAAATTACTGGTGAGATCCCCTGTAACTGCGCACTCCCACTTAAGCAAGGCAGCTCTAATTAATGGGGCAGGATGCGCGGAACATTCCTCACAACATGCGAGACAAAATGCGATCTTTGGACACCAACATCAAGGCCGATTTTATCTTGAAAGATCGAACGGAGAACACGACCCCATATACTGCTAGCAGCAGTGCGAATGACAGTACCGGTCGTCGAGGACGCAGAAAGGAACACAAGGAAGAAAGACAGAACTACGATAGCAAAGGTTCACGATCCCGATCCAGGAGTCGTGGTTTCAGCTTCTCCAAAGGCAGCTCGTCGCCCAAGAAGCGCCCGGACAGTGGAAGCTTCTACCGTCGTCCCAAATCCGCCGATTACTCTTTGCCCGCGGGCTTCTCTAAACTTTTGACGCCCAATGCTTCCACCACCTCGCTTTCCGCGACGGCGCGCGACACAGCCACTGACCCATCAGACTTTGTCCACTATCTAAGGGAGATTCAGAAACCAGAGATGATAGAGATTGGCAAAGTACACAAGCTTCGAATTCTTTTGCGCAATGAGACTGTCAGCTGGGTTGACGCGTTCATTGCAGATGGTGGCATGGACGAGATAGTCCAGTTACTTTATCGCATCATGAAAGTTGAGTGGAGGTGAGTAATACATCCGGGTTCGTATGGTAAATATCAAAACCTAGTGCTAATACTTCCACAGAGAGGAACACGAGGATAACCTACTTCACGAGACTTTGCTATGTCTCAAAGCTCTTTGCACTACCTCTATCGCACTCGAGCACCTCTCCAAAATTGAAGGAGAACTCTTTCCAGCCTTGCTCAAGATGCTCTTTGACGAGGAGAAGAAAGGACCCAGTGAATTTACCACCCGAGGCATTATCATCAACTTGATTTTCACTCAGCTTTCGGCTGTATCCTCGGATGAGATGGCTGCTGACCGTGCCTCGCGGATCCTCTCGTACTTGCGCGACCCTTCGCCATCCGAAGAAAACCAGCCGCTAACCTTCATTGCGAACATTTACCAGTCACGTCCTTACCGAGTCTGGTGTAAAGAGGTTACGAATGTGAGCAAAGAAGTCTTCTGGATTTTCTTGCATCATCTGAATGTGATTCCGACCCCGAAGGATGAAACACCTTCATCAGCAACATACCGAGAGCGACACTTCCCAGTCCCTCGGCCGCCGGTGCCAGCTGCACCCTATGTCGGCGGTGTCGAATGGGATGCTACCAACTATCTGGCGGCTCATTTAGACCTATTGAATGGAATCGTGGCGTCTTTGCCCACTACCCAGGAGAGAAATCAACTGCGTGCCGAGCTCCGAGCTTCAGGGTTTGAAAAGGTCATGGGCGGTACTTTGAGGACTTGCAAGGAGAAGTTCTATTCCTCTGTGCATGATTGCCTCCGCACCTGGGTTGCCGCGGCAATCGATGATGAGTGGCCGCACTTGCCTGTTCGTGAGGGACCTCCTCGCCCGGAGATTCGGTCACCATCCAAATCCCCGGTCAAGGCAGCAGGTGGAAGCCCTAAGAAGGGTCTGCTGGACGAGCCTCCCAAGCTGGAACTGGCGCTGGACGTCCCTGCCAGTACCGGATTGCCTCCGAGCAATGGCATTGGCAACTGGCTGTAGACCTTACTGTTTCGCGATCGGTGATGGCCACATGCTACCCTGACCAGCCATAGCACCTTTGCTAAGACTATTTTACCCTGACAGGGCCTGTTTATGCAATCGTTGCCGGAAGATCCAACATTGCTTGATTTCATTACTTTTCTTGTCCCATCTTTGTTTCTGACGATTGCGGAGTATCTGGGATTGGAAGGCGCTGGCATTTTCTAAGGTGTTTTGGGTGCATTTGTCCGTTCCATGACGGCCACGGCGAAATGACTTGACGACGGCAACAGGGCCACAGACCTGACTGGGAAATCATCTGACGTTCTTTTTTGGTATTCGTTTCTTGCGAGCATGGTCAGGCAGATCAATCGTTTTCTCCTGTTGGACAGACGCGCTAGGGCTGCGCACCTTTCACGACCCACAGTCTAGTACTTCAGGTCTTCTTGGATGTCATTATTCTATCTTTCTTGTACATGGACAAGGTAATATACAGTATGCGGGTCCTAGGCCTTGTTCTCCATCCATCTTGGAGTCTGTTCTATCCTTGCTCTATGTATACCAACCGACGCATAGTAGCCATAACTGGTAGAACCACCTACTCTCGATCTTTCTCGGCGGCGGCCTCCCTCACGGGCCTTGGCGGCGCAGGTGTGGAAAACGCCTCCTTCAACCCTCCAAAGACCGCCTTCCGAATCTATTCAACGTATCAGCCCAGTCCAAACTCCACACCAAGTGCCCAAAGCACTAGAGCAAGCAGAACAAAGAGTGGGGGGGGGGG